CTTCTGACTGCCCCCTTCTTCTGACTGCCCCCTTCTTCTGACTGCCCCCTTCTTCTGACTGCCCCCTTCTTCTGACTGCCCCCTTCTTCTGACTGTCCCCCGTTTTTTCATTGTTCATCGAGCTAATCATGCACAGGTACCAATTGGGGAAACCTAGGACACCCTGGTGGTTATACCTCATATGATTATGGAGCTGTCATTACCGAGGATCGTCTAGTATCACGCGAAAAGTACAGCGAGGCCAAGCTCGAAGCCAACTTCCTGCAAGCCTCGCCAGCATATCTCACCGCGATCCCTCAGAATAACACTCATGCTAATGGAAGTTATACCAACAATGCCGAGATTGCCGTTACTGCTCTGCTAGGCAACAGGACCAACTTCTTTGTTATCAGACATGCGGCATATAACTCTCGTGCCTCGACTCGATTCAAGTTGACCCTACCTACTAGCCAAGGAAACATCACCATTCCTCAGCTTAACGGGTCCCTGGTTCTGAACGGCCGTGACTCCAAGTTCGCGGTAACTGATTATGATGCGGCCGGAACCAATTTGCTCTACTCATCTGCCGAGATCTTTACTCAGAAGTCTTATGATGGCAAGCAAGTGCTGGTGGTCTACGCTGGCCCCAATGAGAACCACGAGCTTGCCCTGACCCTATCTTGCAGCAGTGAGGTCGTGGAAGGATCTGGGGTCAATATTGTAAAGAAGAAGGGTAATACTATCCTCGGCTTCCAGAGTAGCCCCGAGAGGAGAATCGTGAAGATCGGCGAGCTCTACGTCTACATTCTGGACCGAAACGACGCATACAACTACTGGGTTCTTGACCTGCCTTCGAGCCCTGTTTCTGGTAACTACACTAATGGAACCTTGGAGACTTCCGCCGCAATCGTCAAAGCTGGCTATCTCCTTCGCACGGTTGAGGTCAAGGATACCACTCTGCATCTCACTGGTGATATTAATGCTACCACCGACATTGAGATCATTGGTGGCGCACCAGCCAAGCTTACCGGGCTCACGTTCAACGGCGAGAGCATCAGGTTCGCTCAAGACAGTTGCTCAGGCGTGGTAACAGGCTCTGTTGCCTACGAAGAACCATCATTCTCTATCCCTGATCTCTCCACCGTCGGTTGGAAGGTGTTGAACTCCCTGCCTGAGATCATGCCAGGATATGACGATAGTCTCTGGAGCGACGCGGATTTGACCTACTCCAACAATACCCAACGCAACCTGACCACTCCTATGTCACTTTACGGGTCAGATTATGGTTACAATGCTGGCAACTTGCTATTCCGTGGTCATTTCACTGCCACTGGTAGCGAGAGCTCCATCTACCTCCAAACTCAAGGTGGCTCAGCCTTTGGCATGTCTGCTTGGCTGAATGGAACTTTCCTTGGCTCAGCACCTGGTATTGATGCCGCTTCAAATGCTAATTCAACCTTCAACTTGCCCAACGTCGTTTCAGGCAGCTCGTACGTCCTGACCGTTCTCATCGACCACATGGGGCTCCAGGAGAACGGTCAAGGTGGCTCCAGTGAGATGAAGACACCTCGTGGTATTCTCAACTACTCTCTGAGTGGTCGCAACGCTTCTGCGATCTCGTGGAAGTTGACTGGCAATCTAGGCGGAGAGGACTACCGGGACCGCACCAGGGGTCCTCTCAACGAAGGAGGTCTCTATGCCGAAAGACAAGGCTACCATCTCCCGGGAGCCCCTACTTCCAATTGGGCCAATAGCACTCTTGGACCTATGGCTGGTATCACCTCTCCTGGTGTTTCGTTCTATTCCACGACCTTCGATCTAGACATGCCTGCCGGTTATGATATTCCCATCGCTATCTCATTCACCAATGCCACATCAAGCAGCAACGGCTCAGCTCCTGCTGCGTACCGCAGTCAGATCTATGTCAACGGCTACCAATTCGGCAAGTACGTTTCGAACATCGGCCCACAAGACGTGTACCCAGTGCCACAAGGTATTTTCAACTACAATGGACCTAACTACCTTGCTGTCTCGCTGTGGGCTTTGGAGGAAGGTGGTGCAAAGATTACCAATCTGAGTTTGGTCGCTGGCCCTGTCATCCAGAGTGGTTACGGACCTATAACTCTGAGCCCTATGACTGGATGGTCGAAGAGAGAAGGTGCATACTAAGGGGCGACCGGAATACCTTAATGTATAAAGTCTTGTGTAGCGAGACCTAGATGTAGTTATGATCAGCACAAAGAGAAAGGACTTCTATATCATAAGAATCTTGTATGAAATCAGGTATGCAAGCTGGAGTCTTTGCGGCTGGGTCAGTCGAACTGCTCAAACATCGGCATCCCGCTTACTGGAGTGACTTGGCGGAGAATGGTTTCCACGAAGGAGGAAGGCGCACCGACCCCACACAGCTAGTTGCAAGCCACACTCCTCGTTCAATCCTCACCTTCACGACTCTCTCGCAGCACCTTTGAAACTTAATGTCTCGACACTGATGCCGCTTTGTCGCGGCTTTGCAACATGACCATCGCGCGCGCAGCTGAAGTCGGCCCTTTTGCTGACTTGTTATAGGTCAATCTATCCACAATTGCTCCAATTAGCCAGGATCATATGGTCACATCCTTCTACCGGTGCGTAACCCAGTGCGATGGTCCTTGCATCCACCCCCGCCCTGAATGCATGCCAATCTGGGGCCCCAGGGTGTTCGGCCTCTCGGTAGGATCATCTTGTCTATCTGCCGTACTACTCGTACTGCTCCACTGGTCACGCGGACATTCACGTCTTGGTTGTCAAGTACCTGTGGATACAAGATCGCCCTAATTCTGTATGCTTCCCGAGTCCTTTTCGTGAGTTTGGTTGCACAAACAGTATCGGCATTTGATGGGTTGCCCACGACGAGGGTTGTGATTCTTGCTCCATTCGATCGATGGCTCTAGCTCTATGTGCTGAGGTACCTGCTGCTCTAGCAATTCTTGGGCACCAACTCGAACATCAAGATGACTCTGCCTCAGCACCTCAGAATGCTGGTCAACGTATCCAACCAATATCCAGATCATATCTTTGAGGTACAGCAGCAAAGATACAAGAGAAGTAGAGCAGCAAGATACATCGACAATAGCTGTCCGCTGTTGCGTGTATGCTTTCGAGATCAACTCCTCACGAGACCGTTTGCTTTTAGGCTTCACCGCACGTACCCACTGGAACAACCAAAGGCCGATCCTGAGCACTCAAGACCAATCAGCGCCTTCAAAGCAACTCTGTTTTTCCGAGCATTCTGGAACTAGGATAGATCTGGCAAGGTGTAGCCTGTGCTACGTGACCCCCGTGGGGTAGTTCTCGGAAAATCATCCTCGAGGCCTGAAGCCGGATCATCTCACGGAGTATAAGTAAAGCCTTGGACGATGTAATCTCCCAACAGATCATCTTGAAAAGCCCTTTCTTTCTTGAAGGCACTTTCTCTTCTTTCTTCACGCACACACGACAACGATACTTCACCATGGCGGACATCCGTGATGAACCGCTGACCTTCCCCGAAAAGGACGAGCTCGCCCATACCAAGTCCAACAATGTCACGATCGCAAATGCCAAACTCGCCACCGAGAAGGAACACAAGATGACCCTCCTGCAGGGCATCAAGTTGTATCCTAAGGCCGTCTTCTGGAGTGTCCTCATCTCGACCTGTATCGCAATGGAAGGCTACGACGTCTGTCTTCTCGGTGCCTTCTACGGTCACCCCAAATTTAATGAAAAATATGGTGTACAATTGGCCGATGGATCATACCAGGTGCCTGCTCCATGGCAAGCAGGGCTCAGCAACGGTGCCAATGTTGGAGAGATCATCGGTCTTTTCATCAACGGTTTCGTCTCTGAGCGCTTCGGCTACCGCTACACTGTGATGACTTGTCTTGTCTTCATTGCAGCTATCACTGCTGTCTTCTTTACTGCGCAAAACGTCCAGACTTTGTTGGTCGCCGAGATCCTGTGCGGGTAAGTTGACGTAACTGATCTTGTAGCAAGAACAAGCATCTGACCACCTTCATAGTATTCCATGGGGTATTTTCCAAACCCTCACCGTTACCTACGCTTCTGAAGTCTGCCCCGTCGCTCTTCGTGGATACCTTACAACATACGTCAACTTCTGCTGGGGCATGGGTCAGGCTATTGGTATCGGAGTTGTGAAGTCTCTGCTGCACCGCAACGATCAATGGGCATACCGCATTCCCTACGCCTTGCAGTGGATGTGGCCTATTCCTCTTCTTATCGGCATTACCTTTGCTCCCGAGAGTCCTTGGTGGCTGGTCAGAAAAGGCAGAGTCGAGGACGCCAAGAAAGCCCTCCTTCGCCTTACCAGTGTGAACCGTGAAACCGATTTCGACGCAGATGAGACTATTGACATGATGGTGCACACTACCAAGCTCGAGGAGAAGATCACCTCTGGCGCCAGCTACTGGGACTGCTTCAAGGGAACAGATCTTCGCCGTACCGAGATTGTCTGCATGGTCTGGGCTATTCAGAACCTTAGCGGTAACTCCTTCTCCGGATACTCGACTTACTTCCTTGAGCAAGCTGGTCTTGATCCTGGCAAGGCTATGGATTTCGCAATCGGACAATACGGCATCAACATGGCTGGTGTGTTCGGTGCTTGGTTCCTCATGAGCGTCGGAATTGGCCGCAGAACTCTCTACTTGGTTGGTCTTTGCGGTCTCTTCACCATGCTTCTCATCATGGGTTTCCTCGGACTCGTGCCCCACGCTCACAAGGACGCTGCATCTCTTGCTACCGGCTCAATGATGTTGATCTGGGCCCTGTGCTACCAATTGTCAGTTGGTACTGTCTGCTATTCGCTCGTCGCCGAAATCTCGACCCGTCGCTTGCAAATCAAGACTATTGTTCTTGGTCGCAACCTTTACAACATTGTTGGCATTGTTTGCAGTGTTTTGACCCCTTACATGCTCAACCCAAGCGCATGGAACTGGGGCAACTATGCTGGTTTCTTCTGGGCAGGCAGCTGCTTCCTGTGCATCATCTACACCTACTTCCGTGTACCTGAGCCCAGCGGTCGCACTTTCGCCGAGCTTGACTTGCTTTTCGAGAAGAAGATCAGCGCGAGAAAGTTCTCCAAGACCCAAGTCGACGTCTTCGCCGACAGTCTAGAAGAGAAGGTTGAAATTCACCACAACGAGAAAGTTGATGTTTGATTTGCGAATTGAGTTGCTAACCTGAATCTCAGGTCGGCGTGTTTTGACGCGTTTCTTGCTTGATTGCTGCTTTATTATGATGTCTGACGAGTTTCATTATTTATTATGCCCTCCACGAATTTGTACATAGCTAGCTCATATTGTAAATACAGAGCCGTAAGCCTTGATGGCGGAAATATATATTTCTCAATTTTTATTCATCTTCATATGGTGCGTTGCTTGTCAAGATGTCACGTCATGAACTTGTCTGTCTTCTAGAGAAGCTGATCTTAGCCGCTCACATCCGGTCGGAGCGCTCGACCCCTTGGTCGCCCCTTTCTGATATTTGTTGGGATTAAAAGCCAAATTGGCAGGAGCGCTTCGGAAAAACCATATTCCTGCTTGCTATAGCTGGGGTGACTGCTGCGTCGCCCGCTGCATAGCGAGCCATCACCTTTCATAAGGCCCGACTCTCCAAGCTATACATTGTGCATGAAACATAATTTTGACATTGCAGTGCATCGAGACAGACTTGTTGCGACAAATTTCTGAGACCAATAGATCGCAACAAACGACGAATATTCTCTCACTTAAGAAGCCGATCGCGCAAACTTGAAAGTGAAGCGCTAGCGTGGCCTGTGCCTGTATCTCATGTGATAGGTCAAGTCACTCACTTAACGCGCCTTGCTGATTACCCTTGGCTTTTGACTAAGACAATCAGTGCATCGTTAGCTTTCTAGGATCGATCGCTCTCCACTCTAACACTCTAAGCTATCGCTTACACGTCTCACTTTCTTGCTCACCCATCACCTCTCTTTTAACGCGACCGCCCAATATCTACCATACCAATCGTTTCTTTCGCGAATTCATCTTCGGCATCTGAATTGAATCACTCTTCCGGCGCTGATTTCGACGCGTCACTTCACTCAAAATGGCGCCGAAAGTCGGGGATATTCTAAAGCGCTTAGGCTTGAGAGGCGCTATCATCCGATATGGCGAGCAATGGAAAACCCAAGAAGTCAAAGACCTTGAAGACGACATCAGAGCCTTCTACCAAAAATACGAGCCTTATCTGAAACGCGAGGAGGAATATCCTTTCGAATTCAACACCGACATCAACGACATTCTTGAAAAACATGGTCCAGTTCTGTGGCCTGATGGTCCACGTAGCGAAGACACGACACTATGGTTGTTTCCTGCAGGCGAGATCGCCGAATACCTTGAGGACATCTATTACAGTCGACACTTTGACAAGTAAGTCGGCAGTGCATATTATGCAAATTCATTGGTGACTAACAAGACATAGGATCCAACCACTCTTTGCGACACTTCTGACCATGCGAGTAAAGGTGTATCGTAGTAATCAACGACACGCAGAACTCAAAGCCAAAGAGAAGCGCGAAGCCGAAGCTGCTGCTGCTGCTGCGGCCGCTGCCAATGCCAGCACCAATGATCCTGACCATGCTCTCTCGGACTCTGACTTGACCGACTTTGACAGTCATGACGAGTCACCATCTCTTGTACATGTCATCAAGTTCGATACTAACCAGAGCAAAGCCAAGCTGCAAGAAATCTTTGAAGCTGAAGAAGTCAGCTTGAGGAAGAGAAAGTTCAAGACCGACTCGCCCCTGAGATCCGTCAAGCGATCGAAACAATCAAGAGTACCCTCTGAGCCCATCGAACCGAGCCAGAATCTGCCTACTTGGACCACTACCAACGCTGATATGATCCGTGTTGCTAGCCCCTTCCAACTTGGTCATGAACATGATCTTCTTGTCGCAGCAGCATCTGGTCACACTCACGGCTTTGTGCCTGTCAACCGGCCCGAGCAGAATGAACAACCTGCGCAACATGTCTCAGACAGCGATGAAGATGGATCTGTGCTCGGAAGGACCGCTATGAGTCTGCACTCGAGCGACGGCAGTTCGCCCAACCACGAGTCTCAACACCTTCCCGAGACCCCTGGCGAGGGCGTTCTTCTACACACACAGTATGCACTGCCTCAGGACACCAATCCGAGTGCACAGACGAGTGAATCTGCTCCAAAGTCCCCTCAACACGGACAGCCACTTCAAAGTGTTGCACCAATTTCAGAAATATCTCCGGAAGCCACCTTACAGCCTCAAGTCACCGATCAGTTCATGCACTGGCCAAAACTTAACAAGAGAAAAGCCAAGAGATCAAAGACTACCTTGCGTCCGATGGTCAGCACCGAAGAAATGGAGCCTCCGGCACAACCTATTCAGAGCTTGACGGAACCACCAATGACACACGCACCTGGCCTTCCAACCCTACCTCCTACTCCTCAACAGGATGAGTCATTTGCATCTGTGAATGACGACAATGGTACCGAGAGCCGGAAGCTCACGAGAAGAACCCATGTCCTTACTCCAGCAACGGAACCATCAAAGCAGCCGACAGACAACACCTCGACGGCCACGCCAAGCGCTTCACAACACAACATAACACAAATCAATCATTTCACACCTCTTTCGACTCATACCCAAGCACGTACATATCAAACCCCTTACGCGAACTCACACCCACTTGTGCCCACCCCGCAATCAAACCCAACACCGGTCGACGCAGTTCCCGGTGTCGTTAATTCACATCCTGCACCAATCGACTCCCCGCTCACCATGTCTGGACCAATTCCCACTATCGTGAACAAGCAAAACCCACTGCCAACACCATCTGACATGCCTGTGTCGGCACAAATCATCACAAATCACTTTGCAAATACCTTTGTCAGGTTCACTTTGACTGTCAATGGCCGTTCAAGTCACAAGAACATCAAGCTCGCCGATTGCTTTGATGTTGTTGCCTTGCACCAAACAGTCAAAAATCGATTCAAGTACGGGCTCTCAGGCCAAGTCCCCTCAGAAATTGTCTTCATTTTTGCCGACGAAGAATTTGGAATTGATACACCCGACGAGAGCGGACAAAGTCTTTGGGACGAGTTCATGCAGATGATCGTCAGCAATGCTCCTGCAGGCACCTGCCCGATCACTGCGGCAGTCAGAGTCTAAGGAGACCACATCTTTCATTGATGCGAAGAGGGATTGCGAACATTTCACATCCACACGAAAGTATTTTGAATTTGCACAGGAAACATCCGTCAAGCACCATTTGCATGGCACAGCCTTAAGGACTCGGAAAAAACATAAGTCTAATATCAATTTGCTTGCTCTGCTTTGCTTATCAGAAGACATGGAGGGGCGCTCAAGGGATTCACCAATTGCTTTTTTTCTGTACTTTTAGCATATCTACATAACCCGAGCACAAGCTTAATAAATCAGGACGATGAGATTATATCTTTCAATTTTTTCCCCACTCGTTTTGCTGTGATGCGAATCTCAAGTTCTCAGGAAGTGCTTGGTGTCTCTTTCTCTTTGATACCCGTCTTCGTCTCGGTATGCTCCTTGCTCAAGTGGCTCCTAACAATAAAGAAGCTCGCCACAAGGCCAAAGGCACTTACTGCCGTCATCAAAATCCATGTCCTCTGCAAGCTAAATGCGAATGCCGCCTTAACCGCATTCCTCTGTCCCACGTCAGGAATATTCTTGATCAACTCTACGTTTGCAGCCGCATCTCCACCAGTAAACTCAGAAAGAAGTTTAGGCGAGAGACCAGCAGCACGCAAAGCAGAAGACTTGGAAGCCATAGAGTTCTGAATCACAACGCCGGCAATCACAATCGACATTGACGTTGCAAGGTTACGGATGAAACCTAGCGTTGCCGTTGCAGTAGCCACATCATCTTGTTTGACAAGCGCTTGCATGGCGATCAACGGAGGTTCAAACAGCATTCCTGCACCCAAGCCTTCGACGACTTCGAGACCGAGGATTGTGGCTAGGGGTGTGGAGGCGTCGATGTAGATGTATAGACCCATACCTAGAGTGCACAAAGCCATGCCTACCCAGATTAGTTCTTGGTAGCGACCGGTTCTGTGGATTATGAGGCCGCTCATGATGCCCATGAATGCTTCGCAGAGGGTAAGTGGTAAGATGTAGATTCCGGAGTGGATGGGAGTGGCTTGTTTGACGGATTGGAAGTAGAGAGGGAGGAAGTATTCTGCTGCGATGAAGATCTATGAGTGTGTCAGCAAGGCACTCGACAAGAAGCCAAAGAAGAAAACTGTGTCAGGAGGGAACATACAAAGCCGTGGCAGAAGGTGACAACCAAACAAGCAACATTGCTTGGATGGCTGAAAATACCCAGTGGCATCAGTGGGTAGCGAGCGTACTTCTTTTCGCTCAAGATGAATAGACCGCCCATGACGACACCAAAAACGATCAGACAGATGACCTTTGGCGAAGACCAGGGGAAGATCACACCGCCGAAGTCGAGGCCGAGAAGCAACATGAGAGTCAATCCAAGGACACACAGACTACCCAAGAAGTCGATTGCCATGATTCCTTCTACAACCTTTGTTCTTGGGTTATGGACATCGAGGAAGAAGAGAAGGAGGAAAAAGGCCGTGCCTGAGATGGGCAGGTTGACCCAGAAACACCCTAGAGGTTTGGTTAGTCCAGTTCCAGGTCGGCGGTAGACAAAAAATCTGCTTACATCTCCAAGACACTGATTCAGAAAAGACACCTCCGACAATAGGACCAATACCTCCAGCAAGAGCCCACATAAACTCCATGAGTCCAATAAACAAAGTGCGGAGCCTCATACTGAACAAATCCGAAATGGTAATAATGGTAACCTGGATCAGTGCACCGCCACCAACACCTTGAAGTGCTCGTCCAGCAATCAAGACAGACATGCTAGGAGCAGTAGCACAAATAATAGAGCTTACGAAGAACCAAGCTACTGATGTCAGTAGAATGATCTTTCTGCCCCAGATGTCTGACAATTTGGCCCAGATCGGTGCAGCTGCTGCGTTAGCCAGCAGATATGCTGACCCAACCCATGTATATCCGCTCGCAGAATGTAGTTCAGATGCAATGGTTGGCAGTGCCGTTGACACGATTGTCTGATCCAAGGCTGCTACGAATAAAGCGAGCTTTACAAAATCTATTAGCATGCATTCATTTTCTTTTTTCCTTGTCACGACAGCGGGAACAGCATCCAAAAACCTACATTCAAAGCTAATAAGATAGCTGCGATCTGAACTTTGCTCCTTGGCTCATCTGCCGGCGAAACAACGTCCATTCCTTGAGTCTTGTTGACTGCCGGTGTGGAGGATGAGGCCCTACTCTCAGGAACCAGATCATCCCGAGACATGGCGATTGGATCAGCCATAATTGATATGAATGATAAGTATATCCTCAAGAATGTGATACAAATAGAAACAAGGAGATCTAACAAATATACATGACCTCTAAAGCCTGTCAAATTGATCAAAGAAAGGGCGCCCAGAGTCGAGGAGTCATCGTCGTTGATTTCGGCAACCCCGAAAAACGTTTGTTTTTTGGACCTTTTTTCTCCGCAAGCCCTGCTGAAAAAGGCAGTTTCTCGCGGAGCTTTAGGCGGCATCCGGTCCAGTGTAACTTCCTACCTCGACAGTCGACTTCTCCCATGTCATGCTGTCTGCTCACAGATATCTTGTCAAAGGTCAAGATTCGAACGAGAAAATACTTACATCTCAAGAGCTGGGCGCGCAAAGCTCCGATCCATGTGAAACACGAGAATGCTTGAAACAAGGGACCCCAGATGCTCAGCGGTGATTCAAGAACACTAAAAACACATCGAGTGGCACCTATCTCACAAAAGTCTGTTGGGTGACTTGATGTAACAACTAAAAAGGTGCTCTCAACAATCATGTTTTGCAGGTATGAAGACGATGGCCAAGCTATCTAGTCGAAGTTGTTCAGTCAGTATTGGCTGTGAGATCAACTATGAAAGTCAAGTGTCTGGGAGTAGGTGCATGTAGTCTTTGTTGTTTCTGGATACATGTGATAGCATGACTGCTTCCCTGTTTGGGACCATCTCGTTTGTTCAAGCTTCTGTTTGTTTATCACTCTGCCCCTCCATCCCTCTGGCGCCCGTCTATCACTCCCAAGAGCTCTTCGTCAAGTTTATTCACACCAACAGCATTTCATCATACCATCTTTCTTCAAGCTGCAGCTTCTTTGCGCGTCATCAACATGACTAGCGAGGAGAATATTCCTCTCGGAGACTGTGTCAGCAAGAACGCTCCCACCAGAGATGCCAGGCACGAGAACAAGGTTCCCGCCAGTGATCAGGAGAGCCTTCCAAGATTGACGGGACCTCTGGCAATTCGATCCAACATCCCCTGTCCACCTCCTGTCGAAGATCGCCACTCTGCTGAGGTCGCTAAAGGCAGCGCATGTGAAGCACCCTCCGTCCCTGAAGGCAGCAAGCTCGATCGCGACAATGTTGAGCAACAAATCCAGCTTGGACAGAGCAACCACGAGCGCAGCAACTTCGGTTCACCTGACGAAAACATCAACAACCAGCAGAACAACGAAGACGAGTACGATTTTGACTCTGATGACGACGACGACATTTCCATCGACGACGACCCCTTCTTCGGTGACGCAGGCAGTGAAGCGGTCCCATGCCGACCCACTGAAGAGCAAATGGATGCCATCCAAAAGACCATGGAAGAGGACGAGAAGGCCGCCAAGCGTGCCTATGAAGAAAAAATGAGCCAAGAGGCAATCAGAAAGGTGCTGACGGAAGATGTCGAACCACCTGCTCTGATCAGCAACGACGACAACGACGTTCCTGATCCAATTGTGCCTCCTCATCCTCTGCTCACGGATCAGAACTACAACGCCACAGAGATGTTGATCAGCATCAGATCGTCCTTCGCAGGCGATGTGTTCCACATCGTCGGTGTGACCGAGCCACTGTTCGAGATGAAGAGAAAGTTTGTTCAGGCAGTCAATCTGAGCCCATCTGAGCTGGGTACACTCGAGTTCTTGTGTGGATACCATGTCATTCAGGACGATGACACTGTCGAGAAGGTTTGTTGTTCACCACATCACTGTTTTGCGCAAGTCGCTAATGCAGATGTAGCTCATGATCGGACCCGAATCGATCATCTACTGCCAGAAGATTGGCGACATGCGCTATGATCTTCCGCCCCTGCCACCATCAGACTTTACGGATGCAGAGTAGAAGTTTTGAGGTCGGCATACATTGGCACTCGTAGCGATCCGTGATTGAAAAAGGATTGATACGCTCACTTGAGGTTCGAGAGGGTTTAAGAGCCGGCTCCTCTGAGCCTGTTGGTTGTCGAGAGGGATGTGCTTATTGACCTAGAGTTGCACTTGGTATGATGTCTCGCTGGAGTGATTTCTTATGCCACTCGGAAGGCTGGAGGAGAAGATGGATGGTCCTGATTTAAAAGAACCAAATTGAGACAGAGGTGGAAAGAGAATCATGTACAGTAGAATTGGGGTATCAAAAACGCTTCTACATCTCGAAATGACGGAACAAATTCCTTAGATGGACCAGCCTGCAGCCTTCTTCTTTTTCTTTTGCTGCTCTACCGTAGCGTTGTACTCGGCTTGTTGATCTTGCAGATTTAAGGGCTCCAGATGTTTTGCGAGATTCTCAGCTGTGAGGGCAGGTGCAGAGTCCTGTGGTCCTAGGCTTCCGAGCTCTTCTGCCAGTTTGGGGTCGTCAACCTGAGGGTTCTCCAGAGAGTCTGCGTGGGTTTGTTCGGCCAGCTCTTCCTCGACTTGGTCTTCTCTGGAATTTGTCTCTTCTTCCTCCTCTTCCTCTTCTTCCTCGTCATCTTGATCGTTCTCCTCGCCGTCTTGAACCTCTGCAGTGTCCTCGTCGGCTTCGTTCTGGAAGCCTACAGCCTCGACAAATCTGTCTAGATCCTTTGCCATTTTTCTGCTGAAGCCAGTGGCCTCTACCTCGATATCCAAGCGCTTGTTTTTATCGGCGTCCTTGATGGCATCCTCAAAGAAAGGACCCGGCTCGTCAGATGTGAATTTGAATTGACGGGAGAAGAAACGCTTGATACAGTTGACATCGCGATCGAAGTACCATTTCGCGTTTTCGTGTGTTGTGGAAAGCATTTGAGGGAAATCGATAAGGATGGGAGTGGACTTCTTGGTGACGGGGTCCTCCTTGATGAGCAAGTTGAATTCGTTAAAATCACCGTGGATCAAGCCGACCTTTGCGAGGCGTACGATCAGATCCATGAGGTCGCCGTAGAGTGTGAGTGGGTCGGAGACGTTGTCGATAGAGCGGAGAGGGAAGGAGTCGATGAGTTCCATGACAAGAGTGTGTCTGGTCTGGGCGATAGGTTCGGGGACAGGGAAGCCTTCGCGCTTGAGGACATGCATGAAAGCGAACTCTTTCATGGCTGCTAGACGACTCAGGTACATCCATGATCCAGTAGTGCGGTTGCGCAGGTAATCACGGTTGGCCTTTACGGTACGGAAAGAAATGCGACCGAGTCTGTGAAGCTTGAGGACGAGTTGTTTGCCCGTGGGGTCTGCGACGACATAGATATCTGATTCTTTTCCGACACCGATCTGGTTTCCGAGACTGAATACGGTGTCTTGCTTGCGTAGGGTATTGAGGGAGAGGTAGTCGAGGCCGCCGTAGGTCAAGCGGTAGCCGTCGTACTTTGCATTCTTGATTTTGGCAATGAGACCAGACTTTGCGAGAGTTGCAATACTCTTGTGGACACCGCTGCCTCCTCTGAGACCGGCGATTTGGGCGATCAGGACGGTAGGGACGAGTTCGTGGTTCTTGCTGCCCATTTCAACCTTGATAAAATTGTCAGTGCTGATGCAGAGAATGTGCTTGTTGATAAACGTACCGCCGTGAGGACTCGCCAGTCCTCGGCTGTGAGGTAACGCAACTGTCTCGAGTCCAACTTCATATTGCCGTGTGTATGTTCTGTGATTGATTTCGCTCAGAAGAATAATTCAGAAAATGGCAGCGGGGATGGATACTTCTGCCAGCGTCAAGTCCGAAGGCGGTGAGTTGATGCCAAGGGTCGCGCTGTTTCGCAGGCAGTCGGCGTCATTCTAGCTTGAGAGCTGCTGCTCGCCGCATCGCCGCCATCAACACGCCCTTCTCTCACACGACATCTCCCTATCCGTCCATCCAACACTTCTCCGGACCCTTCTCTCCTGGTCATCGGAGTCCGAATCTGTGCTGTAACCCCTCTTCCGCCACCGATCTACCAACACCGACAACCGTCCAAACATCACCATGGCCCAGGACGACAAGCCTGTCGCCGACAAGGGCAAGGCTCCTGCTGAGAAGCAGACCACCGAGGTTCCTGGCGCAAAGGAGCCTCATGAGCAGACCACAAAGGACGGCAAGAAGCCCGTCGATCTTCCCGCTGGTATGTGAATACACCCACACATGAAACCATCCATAGCCTGACCGCGACCAGACGAGCTCAATGAGGAGGATCAAAAGCTTAAGGACGAGCTGGACATGCTTGTCGAGAGATTAACAGTGCGTCTATTTTTCCCGCATCGCAACAGCAACTTTGATTAACACACTTGCAGGAGTCCGACAAGTCGCTGTACAAGCCCGCCCTCGAAGCCATCAAGACCTCCATCAAGACTGCCACATCGTCCATGACTGCTGTCCCGAAGCCTCTCAAGTTCCTCCGCCCTCACTACGAGAAGCTCGAACAAACATACGAATCATGGCCCGCAGGCGACGACAAGAACTCACTAGCCGACACTCTTTCCGTACTAGGCATGACTTACGCTGACGAGGACCGTACCGACACGCTCAAGTACCGTCTCCTAGCACCTTCGGGTGATCTTGGTTCATGGGGTCACGAGTACATGCGCCACCTGGCTCTCGAGATAGGATCTGATTACCAGAAGCGCCTGAACGAGGAGCGCGATGCCGACGAGCTCGTTACCTTGTGTCTGGCTCTCGTCCCCTTCTTCCTTAAGCACAATGCAGAGGCCGATGCTGTCGATATTCTGAGCGAGCTTGAGATGATTGAAGCTATTGCCGATCACGTTGACGAGAACACTTACGCCAGAGTCTGCTTATACATGGTCAGCATGGTGCCACTCCTCACCTACCCCGACAATGACCGCTTCCTCCACACCGCACACGACATCTACAGAAAACACAACCAGCTTCCCCACGCTCTTACCTTGGCCATTCGTCTTAATGACTTCGACCTGATCAAGAGCGATTTCTACTCCACCAAGGACAAGAACATGCGTAGACAGCTCGCATTCGTACTCGCCCGCCAAAAGATCCCGCTTGAGCTTGATGACGACGAAAAAGAGGCGGACCCGGAACTGCAGGAGTGCCTGAACAACACCAGAATGCCTGATCACTTCAAATCACTTGCTAAGGAGCTCAACATCCTTGATCCCAAGGTTCCCGAAGATATTTACAAGTCGCATCTCGAATCGAGCAGAACCGCTGGCCTGACCAACACCGACTCAGCGAGACACAACTTGGCTAGCGCTTTTGTCAATGCTTTCGTCAACGCTGGATTCGGAACTGATAAGATGATGCTCGTTGAGGGTGGTATCAAGTCAAGTTGGGTGTGGAAGACCAAGGACGACGGCATGCTTTCTACCGCTGCCTCTCTTGGTGCTCTTATGCTCTGGGATGTTGAGAACGGTGTTGACAAGATTGATACATACACTTACGTCCAGGAGGACTCGATCAAGGCTGGTGCTGCTCTGGCCACTGGTATCGTCAACTCCGGTGTGCGTCTCGAGGCCGACCCCGCCTTTGCTCTTCTGGGCGACAACCTCGACGGCTCAAAGCCAAAGTCGGTCAGAGTCGCTTCGCTGATGGGTCTGGGTTTGGCTTACGCTGGTTCCAACCGTGAGGATCTTCTCGAGCTGCTCCTTCCCTTTGTCACCGACACTTCTCTGGACATGCAACTGTCTGCAATGGCTGCCCTTTCTCTTGGTTTGGTCTTCGTTGGATCTGCTCAGTCAGATGTTAGCGAGGCCATTATTCAGACATTCCTCGATGATGACCGCAACAAGCAGCTCAAGGACAAGTGGACTCGCTTCATGGCTCTTGGTCTTGCCCTGCTCTACTTCGGCCAGCAAGAAGAGGTTGATGTCATTCTTGAGACTCTCAAGGCCATTGACCACCCTATGTCCAAGCCTACCTCTGTTCTCGCCGAGATCTGCGCCTGGGCTGGTACCGGTGCTGTCTTGAAGCTGCAAGAGCTCCTCTACACTTGCAACGAGCACATCGAGGAGGGTGATGAGGACAGAAAGGGTGACGAGCTTGTTCAGACCTACGCTGTTCTCGGTCTGTCGCTTGTCGCCATGGGCGAGGAGGTCGGTCAGGAGATGGTCCTTCGCCAGTTTGGTCACTTGATGCACTACGGCGAGGCCAATATTCGCAAGGCTGTTCCTCTTGCCATGGGTCTGATCTCTCCTTCAAATCCTCAAATGAAGGTCTACGACACTCTGTCGCGTTACACTCACGACAACGACCCTGATGTTGCCGTCAACGCAATCTTCGCTATGGGTCTGCTCGGTGCTGGTACCAACAATGCTCGTCTGGCTCAATTACTCCGTCAACTTGCTTCATACTACCACCGTGACCCCAACGCTCTGTTCATGGTTCGCATTGCACAAGGTCTGCTGCACATGGGCAAGGGTACTCTTTCCCTCTCACCATTCCACACCGACCGCAGTGTCCTCTCAAGAGTGTCAGCTGCCGGTCTCCTCACTACTCTCGTCTCTCTCATCGACGCCAAGTCGTTCGTCCTCGGCGACTCGCACTACCTCCTCTACTTCCTCGTCACCGCCATCAGCCCCAGATTCCTTATCACATTGGATGAGGATCTCAAACCTCTTCAGGTCAACGTTCGTGTCGGTCAAGCAGTTGATGTTGTCGGACAAGCTGGTCGTCCCAAGACTATCACTGGCTGGCAAACACAGAGCACACCTGTTCTGTTGAGTTATGGCGAGAGAGCCGAGCTTGAAGATGAGGAGTACATCCCTGTGACGAATGTCATGGAGGGATTGGTCATTCTGAAGAAGGTATGTTCGCATCAATCATCTCCTTAATTCCAAGGCACTAACACGTAGACAGAACCCTGAGTGGGAAGGCGCACAAGCATAGACGGTAGCATGGACATGATATGGGCTGTTAAGGCAAAAAGTTCACATGGATGAAGCTTTCGGCACTTGATATACGAATGAACATCAGACAGCGCGAATCAGCGCTGGGATGGAATGTAATATAGAGAAGATGACAGTAGCATGTTTCTCAATGAAGACACACCTTTCACGATTCAACAACATTTTTTTCCCCTGTCTTGTTGGACAAGATGCGCGATTTTGGAGCATCGAGCTGACTGAAAAAAGGCGAACGGCATCTCGGCCCTTGATCGATGCCAAGGAGGGTGTCTGGTTCCCAACTCCGCAATCTCCGCCTTCGATGGGATTCTGGTCCAAACAAATCATTTCCCTTCGAGACTTGACATCTTCTTTTTCGGTAACCACGTCGCGGTATCTCAGCCTTTCTCATCCTGACGACAGCTTACGCGGACTTATCACTATTCGTCCCTCGCACTGTTTGTGAAGACAGTCCATATTATTCGTTACCACTTTATCCATAACACCACCATATCGCATATCTCCAGTCGCCAGAAGGATCACTAGGGGAAGCGGATCAAGAGCCAGAGAATACTTCATCCAGACGAGGCAGAAAAGGACCGTATCACAATGGCGACGCCCAACATCAAATTCGGTGCCCCCGTCATCTTCTTCGACTCACACCCCGAGCAACAACCCGGCTATGTCGCATCATGGGTCTACGCTTTCCGCGACCACTTGAAGATCGCCTGGACTGGTGATGTTCCCAAGAAGTTGTTCCCTGGCACCTTGCGACTGGTTTGGTGGACTGTAAGCTCTCCCTTCGAACCACTGGTTATCAAGAGCTGTATACTAACAACAATCATAGACCGATGGCACACAAGGCCTTCGCGACTTCGAACTCCACCAATCTGAGCTTGTCAAAACACTCTGGGACTCGCTTCTCGACAACCCTGACGTTTCTCGCGCACTCGTGACTGGATACTCTGGTCAAAATCCCTTCGTCCTCAGCTACGGCGACAACCCATGGCTCACAAAAGAACAAAAGGAGAAATTGGTCCGCCGCCACAACGACGAGGTGTGGGCGAAGAAGTCGGCCAAGAGAATCGAGACAAGGAGCAAAGAAGAGAGGTTCGAGGATGAGAAGCAGGCCGCCAGAAGGAAAGAGCAGATTCTGGAGCACATTGATGAGGTTATCCAGAGTAACGAGGATGCTGAAAAGGAGAGACTGTTGGCTACGGATAGGGAGTTTGTTTGAGATATTCAAATCTCTCCCGATGCCTGTCAGTCATCGACCTCTCTTCAATGCTTGCGGTACTGGCTGTTCATTCACATATTTTGTCTATTAGGCTCTTCTTGCATAGTCAGCGGGCGTCAAGGGTTTGCCATCCTTCTTTCAAGATTTCTGTTAATAACCATTCTTGTAATCACATTTCCAGCATATCACTACATTTTGTCATGCAAATCCCATGCTAACATGATAAGCAAAGATGTGTCGAGAGCAGCCGCATACTTGAGTCCCGAGCAGAAATCTTCGCCGAGTCCAGATGTATCTTTACAAGCAACTCACCATACTGAGACTTCTTGTTTGTGATGAGAATGGCCTCCTGTTTCAAACTTATGACGCATCCAAGAAGCGTTTACCATGGCAAAACACCAGTTACAGACTACGAAAGGCTTTCTACGATGACTTTGGGTCTAATACTCTTTCAGATGAAAAGAAACGGCAACATGCGATTCTGAAATGTTACAATGCGACAAACCCAAACCCAGCGCCTTTATTGAAGTACTGCCGTCAGCTCTTCGAGGAGGATCTAAACCCAACACGAAGTCTAGTGACGGAGATTGGCGTTGCGTGCAGGGATGCCCAAATGGCTTTGAATCATATGGAAGACCATGACAATGCTAGTTGGCTTGATGATTTTGCCGAGCAAGAATGGCTCGATCCCGATGAGTACGTACCTATGCAAAAGTCGCCGGTTCGGGTCCCATTCGGGAGACTTATGGAACGACGGACCACCGTATAATCGATATGCTGGATGTTCGGATCGTGAGCTATCAGATAATCAATTGGGATATAGGATTGCTTGGGAGTTTGAGAATGATCTGCTGTGATCAGTATAGGACTTGTTTGAACATTTCGAGGACAGGTTGAGCGAGATTGACCTTGTGTGGTGGGCCACCATTATAGCAGCAACGAATATATGTGTAAAGCCATGCGAAAGACTTTGAGTGGTTCCAAGTTATAATCTCTCTAGTTCGCCCTCAAAAAGACAACTCTTTGGCCAGCAAGACATCGTGCATGCACAGAAATTGCTCAATTCTTCGATTGATGGTATCCAAGGCCGGATCAAACGTACGCCTTGCCCCCAAGATGAACATCAACAGTCTGTTGCGGTGGTGTCTCAACACCGCTTTCAGACCCCGCCGCTTCACCACTGATAACTTCCTTTTCTCTTCGAATCTCCCTCTTATGCAAAAACCTGGTCCCCAATGCTGTGATGATGATGCATACAGACAAGCAGGTCACAGTGATGAAACCTTTCTGGTACTGAGGAGCATCCACCTGCTGCCAGACCAGAAGAGGCAGCCACGCTTGAACGACATATGCCAATTCATTCATGGTTGCTGAGACGATTGCTCTTTCCTCGTTGTCAGAGGCACAAATCTCATGGGCCCAGCTGTGTTTGTCAAAATATCAGCAACAAAATCCAGACAAAGATGTTGAGATCAGGAGATAGCACTTACGCAAAGATCAACCCACTCAACCCATTTCCACAACCACTCAAGATATAACAAGCCCACTTCCACCCCACAGGAATATCCCAAACAGCCAGTGAGATATAGCAAATAATATTCATACAAGCTCCAAAGATCATCGGCGGCCATCTCGCTCCATTGAGTAATCCATCACTAGTCCACGCATAAATCAACGTCGTAACAACCGCAACAGCATTAGTAGTCGTCGGATACGCATTAATCTGCGCCACACTATACTTAGGCTCCTTTGAGTGTTTCAAAAACTGCTGGAAGATAGGTTGAGCTGAAGCTGAAGCATTGTTGAAGAAGATGTAAAGCAAGGTAAGCATGTAGATATGCCACGAACTCAAGATTTTTTTGATCTTGGAAACAGTGTAGGGCTGGCGTTCACGACGTCCTTCGAGTTGCATGCGTTTCTGCGCGAAAGCAATCTCTTCTTTTGTCAAGTAGAAGGCGGTGCTTATTTCGGGGACGTCGGGGAGGAAGATGAAGCCGGCGATGCAGATTGGGAGGGAGATTATGCCGTCGACTATGAAGAGCCTGGGTTGTTTTCGGTCAGTCTGGCATTGCAAGACTTTTGATTTGAACACTTACCATTGCCATCCTTTGAATCCACCTACGCCTCCGAGATGGTAGACTGCGGCCATGAGATAACCACTAAACATGGTTGCAATAGCACTGCTGGTATGGAAGATGCATGATCTTTTCGCGAGTTCATCTTTACGGTACCAGGACCCAATGATGTATTGCATGCCAGGGTAGAAAGCTGATTCGGCGAGACCGACGAAGAAGCGAATGACATAGAGGTGAGTAGCACTGTTGACTTTGCAGGTGCAGAATGTGAGGATGGTCCATATCAGCTAGGTGCAAAGTCAGTAGGTCAGATATGATGAGCTGTGTAGGACGACAAACCTCGAGAGCTGGTAGCCAGTAGCGAGGCCGTATCTTAGTCAGGACTATATTCGACGGGATTTCACCTATAACATAGCCGACTGTCCAGCATGTTTGCATGTAGTTGAGTTGGTTTCCGTATAAACCCAGGTCCTCCTTGAGCCCCGAAACAAACGCGTTATTGATGTTAGACTGATCCAAATACTTAATGAAGTAACCTGAGACGTCCTGTCAACGATATATACAACCCAAACACATAAAAGAAAACATACCAAGAGACGCCAAAGTGAGCAAAGCAGTGTCTATCTTAAATAAGAACTTCCGCTCCTCTGGATTTTTGTCAAAAGTTGAGGCTGTGGTTAGTGGTGAAGATCAAATGTCGCCATCGAAGCCTACTCTCACGACAGAGCTGTTTTGCCAAGACATATGCAACCACCCTCCCCGAGCCCCACCACAACAAATGGTATTCATGTGTTGAGCGGTGATTCAAACAAGAGTATCGATCCTTCGGTTGCCGTGATCCGCATTGAACGGGGATTGAGGTGTCGTGGTGAGGGGTAATGGTAACTTCAGTCGGACCATGCTTAGGAGTAGCTTGATGGTGTGCTTTGCATCCACATCAGGACATGTTTTCGTCAATTAGATTTATAATCCGCAGCAGTTGTACAAAGATAAGTATAGGTATAAAGCTGCGAGAGTTCCGGGAAAGAACTGGTTCGATCATCACTTTACCACTTTGCAACTTTGATATACGAAGCCAAACTCCAACCAGACTTACCATCATGGCTCCCATTGCTATCGACCCATCAATCACGGATGTAGTTCAGCCGCGAAAGGACACCCTTGGTCTTCCCAAAGAAACTCGTGCTCGTCTTGAGAAGGCCAATGTGGATCTCTCGAATGGTTATCCTTACCGTCCAGCTCGTCCTCTCTACCTCCAAGATGCATACAACATCAGAAACGAGCCTTGGGAGCATGACGATGCTGGAGCCAGAGCGAAAAAGACCGATCCTACAAAGCGATCACTCTTCGAAGCTGCAAGCAAAGTCGAGGACCTAACAGCTCACATTGGTACTGAGATTCATGGTCTGCAATTGAAGGATCTCACAAGCCAGCAGAGAGACGAGCTGGCATTGCTGATCGCTGAGAGAAGTGTTGTCTTCTTCCGTGATCAGGACCTCTCTCCCCAGCAACAGAAGGAGCTTGGCGAGCATTACGGAAAGATCGAAGTCCATGTGAGTGCTTGTTTGACAAGTTGGGAAGCTCCTATGCTGACAGTTGCATAGCCTCAAATACCTCAGGTCCCTGGCGTCGAAGGAGTCACTGTAATCTGGCCTGCCCTGCAAGCGACCGAGAAGGCTGCCAACTTCAGAAACCCTGGCGGTGCTTCTCGTTGGCACACCGACCTGGTTCACGAGCGTCAGCCTGCAGGCATCACACATCTTCACAACGATGTTGTGCCATCTGTCGGCGGAGATACTCTGTGGGCTTCCGGCTATGCTGCTTATGAAAAGCTCAGTCCAGGCTTCCGCAAGATCATTGACGGTAAAAAGGCGTACTTCAAATCTGCGCACGCCTATCTCGACCGTAACGATCCCAACGCTGGTCCTAAACACATTGAGCGTGTTCATCCGATCGTTCGCGTGCATCCTGCCACCGGCTGGAAGGCGCTCTTCGTGAACAGAGCATTCACGACAAGGATTGTTGGTCTAGACAAAGCTGAGAGCGATGTCATTTTGAACTATCTTTTTGATGTCTACGAGCGAGTAAGTGTCTTCTTGGATCGGATGGCCCTGGTGAACATGTTAGTTAACGGCTTTGCAGAACATCGACATCCAGCTTCGATTCAAGTGGACCCCAAGAACCAGTGCTTTGTGGGACAACCGCATCACAATCCACAATGCTTCCTGGGACTACGAGAAAGTACCTCGACATGGTACCCGTGTAACATCGTTGGCCGAAGAGCCTTACTTTGAAGAGGACGCGCCGACAAGAAGACAGGCCCTGGGTCTTGATGCTGACGACGAATTGGTTGGTAGCGATTAGACAAATAGTCAGTCGTTTTCAACGCTGGTTGTGTCCAATCCAGGCTCCAAAATCGTGTCTTTGAGAAAGTTGGAATGTTTGGTGGTGACTTATGTTGCTGGTCATTCTGCTGTATTGTGGAAGGCACAACGAAAGGCTCCTGCCATTGGGAATCTTTGACGCTTTTGCTCTCCAGGGTGGAGTTGTGTGAGATCGGCTCGTGCCTTGTTCAACATTCTCAAAATGAAGTTGGGATTAGCTGATGGCGACTTCCTCGTATGGCTGCAATAAATTAAATCCTCTTTTGTTCGCGATCCTCGAAAATGATAGAACAGCCAACCACTTGCACATTTGAATTCTTTTCGTCTTCGCAAGAATAATGGACTTGCCTTTGCGCTGCAACTCGCTCAAATGCCGCGCACGTCTGAGCGAAAGAGCTGTGGTCACAACCTGCAGGTAAGTAGCACGTCGTCTCCCGAAGCCAACGTCTGATTGATTTGACAGCCACATCTTCTGTGAGCCATGCTCGGTCTCTCTCGGGCTTACTAGCTCATCAAATGGCGTTCGCGTGTGCCCTGCCTGCGATGCCCAACTTGCGAACCCAGATGATGCCGTTACTACACAGCTCAATCCGACCGAAGACTACAAGACAAGCGTCCTCAGTGGCCTCAGTCCGACAATCATTATGGAATGCTGTAGCCGTGGGATCGCATTCTACCAATACCAAGTTACACAAGAGATGTGAGCCTGGTAGAAAGTAGCTCAACGACCGAATCTGACAAGAGCAGCATGTATCACGAATATATGGCCAAGAATTTGGCGGACAGATATGCCAACCTCAACTCTCAGATGGATAATGTCATCAAAGACGCCAACTTGGAGATCAGCGGGCTGAGAGACAGGCTGGAGAGTAAGGCACACAATCATGTCATCGCATACGACCTTCAAGACTGACTGCCTTCTGCAGGAATGCATCTGGAGAAGAAGGCGCTCGAGCAAAAGAATCAGGAACTGGTCAACGCATTCAGCGAAAAGAGCAAGGCCCACCAGCGCCTGACCAAGCTATACCAAAGAGTCAAAGGCACACAGGACGCTGAGCAGATACGACACGCCGCTGCAGATGATGTAGACAATGTGATCCAGGCGATGCAAGGACGGGGTCACACCGAAGTGCTCCGAGACAGGACACCTCAGCGTCCAATGTCGATGCCTAGAAGAGGAGGCGGTCAAGATCTGCCTCAAGTGTACAGTCATAGCAGAGTGGGCAGTTATGGCGGTACCAAAAACCAGATGTGGTCGAGTCAGAACTCTCGTGGCGGTCTGGGTAAGTCCATCTCTCTGAACAGAATGCCAGAGCTGACTTGTGGGTATTCAGAGCTTTCGCAGAATACTGGCTCCCCTGCGCTAAGCTCTAGCATGCCAAATTATGGCCTCAGATCTCCAGTGCCCGGTCAGAGACAAGCAACGCCAAATCGTCAGCCTCTCGGTGAGATGCACCGCAACATGACAAGCAGTCAGGGATTCAGCGGGTACGGCAGTACCAGCGGGAGAGGTGTCAAAGTTAGCGGAAACATGGAGCAGCCACGTCCTCAGATCATCAACCGCAACCTATCGCGGGTGATACACCGAGGATGATACAATCTTCGGCAAGGTGATCAGGACTCGTATGCTTGGGACATGGATGGAAGGTGGTGTTTTTGAGAGAGCGGAAAGATTGAAGGTGAAAGAGTGACGCCGAGGCATGTCGGACCGAACCGGCGGGGTTGCCAGGGACAAATGCATGATGCATGTGAATTATGAAGAACGGAAAGCATCTCTATGACTATTGCTGCTTCGTTTCCCGACTGTAATAAGACATCCCTTTATCACATTGATCGCTTATATCCATTGCAATGTCGCAAGCGACTAGCCAGTATGTGAATCCGTCCTATAGTTCACTCTGCTCAGCTAACACCAGACCAAGACTCCCACCTGTCCGAGCATGTCTCTTCGACATGGACGGTCTTTTGATCGATTCTGAAGACTTGTACACAGTATGCACCAACGAGACTCTACGAAAGTACGGCAAGCCCGACCTGCCATGGAATATCAAGGCTCAACTTCAAGGACGTCCCGGCCCTGAGGTATGCACGCGACACCTACCCAGGAAGAAGCACATTGGACAACAGCTAACACGCACTCGCAGGCCGGTCAGATCTTCCACGATTGGGCCCAACTACCCATTACTCGCGAAGACTTCCTCCAACAAACATCGCTGCTGCAACAAAAGTACTTTCCCTCGACACAACCGCTACCCGGCGTCCGCGACCTACTGAGGGATCTCGATGCCAACCCAAACGTGCACATTGCCCTTGCCACATCCTCCAACAAGAACAACTTCGGCCTTAAGACCAAACACCTGGAAGACGTGTTCTCTGTCTTTGAGCAACAACACCGTGTCCTCGGCGACGACCCACGAATCCCCTCTGGCAAGGGTAAACCCGCTCCAGACATCTATCTCCTCGCTCTCGAGACCATCAACGCACGTATCCGTAAAGAAGGAAAAGAGAAGGAAATTACACCGGCCGAATGTTTGGTTTTCGAGGATAGTGTGCCTGGCGTAGAGGCTGGCAGAAGAGCTGGTATGCAAGTGGTTTGGTGTCCGCACCCTGGCTTGCTGAATGAATACAAGGGTAGAGAGGATGATGTGTTGGCAGGAACGAGTATTATGAAGCAGTATGGTGTTAGTAGTGGAGGTAGTGAGGTGCCTGGAAAGGTTGGAGATGGATGGGCGAGACTACACTTGACCCTTGAGGACTTCCCATACAAGAGCTATGGTATGCAGGCATAGCAGGTGAAGAGAAGTGGTGGGAAGAAACCTTCGTTGTAAATACTTGATGCAGTCGTTCAGGTTGTAGGATCCCCTATCGCTGTAATAGAGAGAAGTGGTGGTGTTACTCGCCCTTCTCTGAATACATTATTGCTTATACAGCATCGATTTATATTATCACACATGCAAAAGAGCATCATGAGCAATACGTTCCTGAAGCGCCTATCATCTCTCGGGAGAAAACTAGAGCGACAAACCATAAAGAAAATCAAGTCGCGTGCGCACTCCCACACCAGCCGCCTCTTCGCTATCACAAAAAGTGCAAAAAAGAAAGTCACAACACCATAACTCCATCCCAACACCCCACCAACAACATCAATGTAGTCCGGACTCGCCATCCCATGGGCTCAGTCGCTCTGCCCGATTGCTCGGCTGAAGCGGTGTCCAAGCAGTCTCAAGGCCACGCGCAGCAAATCGCAAGTTACCTGTGCGAGTGGGTGGCCACCACGAGATTCGAACCGGGCACCGATGGTTGGGTTGTTGCCAACAGCAGGGGTGGTAGGAAAGATTGAAGCCGTTTCTTTCCGTTGAGCCATTACAGCTAGGATTCGCAAAAACTAGATGAAATATATAGTCGCAATCACAGTAAAGGCTCCGCGCATGCTCTACGTCCCATTGTCTCGCAGGTCATTGCTGTAATGGCATTGTGATTGTTATGGTATTGCGTCGTCGTTGTTCTCAGTTTACACGAATGTTTTTACGAGTCTCTAACCATTCTACACTAGAGGCAATGATGTTTAGTCGACAGCAATCTGTCTCTCCTTGACCTTACCTCAACACGTACATACCAGACAATTCGTGCCCGACACCACACAGCGATATCGCTACACGAGTGGAAGATACAAACGCAATAATACTATGGTTCATTAGCAATCAAGAAGAATCGCAACAGTAATATCCCTCACGTTGTGTGAATAGAGATAGCAGCAATTTAGCAAAAATTGACTGCTGAGATTATAACCCTGGCCATGATTGCACCAACAACTCTCTTCGCGATCTGACTGCAGCGTGATTTGTCAAGGTGGATAGTTGATGGGCATGGTGCTTGAAGACTATTGGAGCCAGAGTATGGTACATGTATGTGACAATGACCTGGATCAGAACAGAAAGCGCAAAAGTAGCACTACGAATTCCTCAACCTTGAGTACACGGCGTAGCTGAAAGCAAAAGCGGTAGAAATAAGAGGAAGGTAAGTTTGTCGATGGTATGACTGTCGAATACAAGAACAAAGAAGCTGATAAAAGAAGAAAATACCGATACAGAAAATCCACAAACACCAACCCTGCCCATCCTCCTATACTCCATCACGTCCTGATCAATGCAATAAGTTCGTACAAGTCGTCAAATCTCATATCGCGCTCACTCAATCTGGCCACTTGAGAAGTTTCTAATTCATCGTGACTTGCGCTTCTTCCCCTTTTGCACCTGACTTCCTCACGACTCCCAGCTTGAGCAATCTTTCCCACACCCCATCTCTTATCAATGCCCTGTCTTTGGCGAACGACAAGCCGTCGAGGGTGGACAGGTTCTTGCAGCCATTGCTGAGAAGAATCTCATAGACACGTCGTCGCAGCTTGGTATCCTCGTCCAGACGAGCGAGATGCTCGGAATCAGTCGCATGATCGGCGTTAGGCAGGCGATGCGTCATTGCGACCTGCAACTGCAGCTGTGCTTCCGACAATGGCTCTTCAACACTGGCGACAGTGCTGACAGCATTCTTAGCCACAGAGATGGGTGCATAGAAGCCATGTGTGATAGGGTTGTCTCTAAGATCTGTTTTGCGAAGATGCGGCATACGTGCTAGCACGGCGACAGTCTTGCGAAGTCGTGCGATGCGATTTCCCGAAGCATACAGCTTTTCCAATCTCGTGATATTCAGTAGTGGGCGGATATCTGTGATCGCGTTGAAGGAGATGTTCAACGTGCGCAGATTGGGGAACTTCAGGCCAAAGTCGTTGGGCAACTCTTGTAGCCCGCAGGATGCCATTTCGAGGTTCTGAATGCTGTGGTAAGAGTTTGGCAAATCAAGGGTAGGAACAATGTTCGAGGCCAAGAACAAAGAGCGAGCGGAGACTCGTTGCTCAAAGATTGTCAAGTGCTGAGCGTCAGCATGCTTGAGATCTTGCTTGCGCAAAGACAGCATGTCGATGTGATGTAAGTGCTCGATGCCCTCAACAGTCAACAACTTGTTCTCATCGACGTTCAAGTAGCGGAGATTGGCGAAGCTTGATACGTCAAGAGTGGCCATTCTGTTCTTCTGCAAGGACAGGCTGTGTAACCTTGAGCCGGCAAAATCATCCTTGTCTGCGGAGAAGTGTTCAAGCTTGTTGTCATCCAAGACCAGACGCTCCAATGATGATAGCGACTGGCAGCCTGAGACACGAGACAACTTGTTGCTGCTCAGGTCCAGTTCCTCGAGGCGGGTCAATTGACATCCTTCAAAGTCCACCCTCGAGAGCTGATTACGGCACACAGACAGCTTGAGCAGACCGTCCATGTTCATGATACCATCAAGATTCGAGATTTGGTTATCATCAGCGCGCAACTCGCGAAGATGAACAAGCATACACAATCCACCCAGACTATCGATCTGGTTCTTAGAGATATCAAGATACTGCAGGTTGATCATGTGGCTCCAAGCGGTAAGACTACTCAAGGCATTCGAGCGAAGGTTGAGTCTGCGGATAGAAGTCGGCGCTCCTTCAAGATGAGCGACGTTGTTGCTTGACAGGTCGAGATCTTCGAGGCGTGTACAGAAGTCTTCCAAGTTGTGGACTGAGTCGAGACCCCTATCACGAAGGTTGAGCTGCTTGATGTCCTCCCAGTAGGGCTCATCAGGCTCGACATCCGTGAGTGTCTTCACAAGACTTTGAACGGCCATAGCATATCTATCTCCGCTGTTCGTGCGAGCCACTCGTCTGGACAATGCCTTCTCAGATGGACGTTCCTCATCAACGTCGTTAACGGTGAAATCGGGCAAGTCACTGAGATAGAATGTACCATCGATACGAGCAGGGGAAGATACGCCGTACTCATGGTTTGGTGCTGCCATCGTGGGCGCAGGCTGAGCAACAACAGAAACGCTCATGGTGCGCTTGTCAGGGAAAGTCGCAACGAACGATACCTCTCTCTGGTCTTGTCCAGAAGTGTAGCCTCGCTGGAATGTCTGTCTCCTCAAGGACGAGTTTCTCAGCCCACCACGACGTGCAGGCTGGGGAGAACGCAGAGGCCAAGATGGAACTGGAATGCCGCTTCCACGCTGCTTAGGCGCGGGCAGCTCTTCCGTTATCGAATCCTCGTTGGGAAGCTCATCATCCTCACTTAGAAGCTCATCTAGCAAAGAGTCCTCATGCGAGACGTGAGAAACTTGCGATTGGTCATGAGCGATCTCGGATTCATCATGGACCACTTCTGTCACCTCTGAGATATCCTGAGGTATATTGACAGTAGCAAGGTCACGAAGCCCGTCACCAGTCTGTGCGTGTTGCTGCTTAGCCCTGGCTATGCTCGCCAATTCCTCGTTACTCCAGGATGTGGCACGTGTATCAAATTGTTGCTGCTGACTTGAAGCAAAGGCAGAATACTTTGAAGGAGCAGTACTTGATGTGAACGGATGAGGAGCATTGCTGTCACGAGTAGTAGGTCTTGATGCAGTTGCTCCTTGTCTTTGCTGCGGCAGCTCAGTGTACTGATCAAACTCGTCGTCCTCGAACTGCTCTTGCTGTGCAAGGTCCTGACGACGTGCTTGCATTTGTTGGATGCGCTGAATTTCCTTGATCTCATCAACAGTCAAGTCAGGAATGTATGCAAATGGATCGTCCTCGCTGCTGACGTTGCTTGGCTGGTGATAGTAGTCAAAGGTCGGTGGCTTGAGGTGTTTTGCTTTGACCCAGATCTGCTTTTCCTTGTCGTAGGTCATACCAGCGATTTGTTCAGGTATAAGGTGAGCGACCTTCTCAGGCGATAAATTCGCCACGCAATCTCTTGAGGAAGTAGATCCCATTGTGCGTGCCCCGCTTGAAGAGTCGAGAGACGGATGCGACCCATGCTGTGATTTGGTCGGGCTAGTCTGAGTACCTTGGTGCGATGCGTTTGAGTATGTCCGGATATGTCCACCGATCCAACCAGGCTCGATAATTGGCGCATGTTCAAGTTCTTGAGTCGATACGTCCTCATGATTGAAGTCAACAGCTGAAGTGTCGTCGATGTTGAGCGACCGAAGGGATGCATCCACAAGATTGAGATTATCTTTCTCACGGAACTGCTCCAATCGACTGGCAACCATCGGGTCATGCTTGACTTGACTCCTTGGTCTCCAGTTGGATTCGGTACCTTCACGAGAAGCTGGTCTTGAGATGCGGAGAGACCCAACTTGCCTTGCAAGGTCATCAGGATGTAAGTGCGTATTGAATTCCATCTCGCCACTGGATTCTTCGACATCATCCAATCCACTATGTGGTCGACCTTTTGCCCGTATTATTGACATAATGTGCATGGCTTCATCGAGAAAATCTTGGGTGGTGAAGGAGCGCTTACGTACGCTTTCGGGCTCTTCTCTAGAGTGTTCAAAAGTGAAGGCTGCTATGTCAGCTGCGACTGCTTTGGCCTTCTCTGCATCAACAGACTCTGCCGGAAGTTCTGACAGTTCTTCGATGGTTTCCTTGATGGCTTCAAGACGTGGCGAGTTCGAGAGATATTCGAATGTTGCTTCGCTGATTTCAGCCTGGATCTGCTCGCGGCGCCTCTGACTAGGAGTAGGATTTCTAGGCCTCGTGACATCCCTTTTGCTTCCTGACTTGGTCGCCTTGGATGATGCCACTTCTGAAGCTTGTGCATCGTCTGCAACTGGCGCATCAACCTTGATATGAATCTCGGAGCCTTCGCCAAGCTCAGGCAGCTTGCCATCCATCGTGATCAGAGTACGTCGGCGTTTAGCAGTAGGCGCCTTTGCAGGAGAGCTTTGAGGACGTTTGCCTTCCCTGATGTCGAACTCGTTGTTGTAAGGGTCGATTACGGGGAACTGCTCCAGCGCCTGATCGTCATCAGATTGCCTTGATCTGATTGTATTGCTCCTTTTGGATAATTTCCTCTTTAGCTTGAATGGCCTAACTTCGGGTGAAGACTCTACTGGGGGTGCAGTATCGACGTGGAAGCGGAAAGGATGAGTACTACCAGGTGGTACAGCTTCTGGGAGCGGCGAGCCCTCAGTAGACTCAAAAGTAGCGTCAAGATCCAAGCCAGTGGGTATCGAAATGTCTGCATCGAAGTTATGCTCGTCCAGGGCACCCTCACCGAAACTACTCAGATTCGACACTGCACGCTGAGATGGACGACGTCCTTGAGTGTCGACGGTAGCGGAGCTGGAGATCCTACCAGCATTGGACCGCGTCTCTTCGAAAGGGTCGTCGCAAGGATGCGCAGGGGAAACCAAGGGGTGATCGGGATCCAGTCCTTCGAGTTGACTCATCCTCCTGAACAGTTTGTTGTTGGTAAATGTGTCGTGCTGACCAAACAGCTTCAAGGGACTTTGGGAAGGCCTGCTCTTTGGTGGACTAAGGAGAGAGGACTCTTCGATGCCTCCCAGCTTGGGCGTTGCAGGTGCTTTGAGTGGACTGGAGTCTTTAGGAGAGATGGCTGAATCTTGATCGTAGATAGATGACGGCTCGACTTTGGAGGGACTTGAAGGAGATATTCTATTCACGCTCAAGAAACTGGGGATTGGAGGTGTGCCAGTTGGCAGATCATCTGGAAGAGAGACTTCTGGAACACTTGGCATATTCTCAGCGGTATCGTTGTTGTTTCTCCGGAAGCCAGGCGTGGATGGAAGCTCAGAGTCCAAGCCATTGATAGAAGCGTCAGCGCTGGCACTAGCAGAACGCGAATCAAGAGGAGCATAGCTGACGGCGCCAGTAGAGCTCGTGTGTTTTGACAAGAAGACAGGACTAAAGCCCTCGCCTGACAGATCGGTATTAGCGCTGATAGTGCGATTGCCTTGGTGCTTTGAAGCTGAGCGGTCGATACGTAATTGGCTGGGGGAGTTTGGAGAGCGCAAGAGACTATCTTCGTGTGGTTCGGAGTAGTTTGTGTTGTGGATTCCGCGCTGGCATGTGCCTTGTGCATCGGGCGAGTCTAGTTGGGAGGGTTCAATTTGCGAGGGCCATGGTGGGGGACTGGATGGAGGCATGATGGTGTGCTGCAAGAGCCTCGACGGGCTGTTGGACGAAGTCGGGCGGTTGTTGGATGAGGTGGGACGAGCAGGAGAAAAGATGTTTTCGAGACCGGATGGGCCAAACAGGTCGGTCTGGTCGCCGTAGCCAATTTCACCACGAACTAGACGCTTCTTCCATTCGAGAGTCTGGTGCTTTGCTGGCGAGCGCTTGACCGAGTCGTGGTGGACAACCGAGGAGGCAGATGGTTGGCGTTGTGCATTTGATTGAGAGGAGGGCAGGTCCTTGAGAGGATTGCGTTGTTTGACAGAGCTGCTGTTTATTGAGAAAGCGCCGCTACTCCTACGCGGGATACGACTAGACGAGGACGAAGTTTGGTTGCCCTTGGCGGAAGTGGCAGATTGATGGTCTGTGATGTGGTTTGACAGCGACGGCGGCTCGACCCAATCTTCGTCTAGGTCCTCGAGCCATGGCGCAACCTGAGACGACATGTTGGGCTTGTTTGGGTGTGGATGACAGAGCAGGAGGGCCGAAGAATACGAGTGCGAGCAGGTGTCAGAGGGCCAGCATAATAAGAAGAAGGATCTGGACTAAGTCGTCATGCCAGAACGAGACCAAGAATATACAACTCGATGAGCCAGATGCGATCGAGATAATTGACCTTTAACTTGGACCCGAAAAGTTGGCACATGTTTGCGACGAACGACTGTGGAGATGCCCAAGCTTCTGTTGCGCAAAAACACCATCGCCATGACAACCATCCTCTCTACAGACGCCCAGCCAATCACAGCCGCGACACGGCCAATTCTACCAGAGACGATCGACGGCCGTCTTTTTCTAGGTCGACGTCATTTCCTACAAGCAGTCAAAGCACCGTCTGTCATAGCTGTCAGTGCTCGCGACCAACACGCCGTGGACTGCAACACCGCCTGCTGGTCCACACTCCAACCGGCACATGGCACCGCCCACTCACCATCCTGCCATGCGTCAACTACCACGTCAACCGCCAAAGTCGTGCCCGTAAACGCCATCTCGCCCATGGCTCCACGCCGCTGGCTGTGGCCTTGCTCCGACTCCCATGTCCTTCGCCTGCCTGCCTACCAGAAGCCCTCCCTCCAGGCTTGCCTCATTCACCCCGAAAATCCTGACCAAATCCTGGTCCACGACTCTGACGATGATCTTGACGACAATTTCCACTCGGCCAAACGCCGACGCATTGAATCTATTGCCCATGCCTTCCTCAATGGCCAGCCCATCTACATCCCCTCTGCCAGACTGAGAGGCCCATTTCCCGCCGACAGGGACTTGTCAACCTGCTACGATCTCTCTTCGAGCCCTGATGAGCATCCCGTTTCGCCTCCACCCGCTGTCACCGCCGACACCTTCATTCGTCGTAGACCCGAACACCTCCGTCCAAAGTCGATCACTCCTGACACTGCTCTTACGCCGTCCAAGCCTCGCCAGTCTTCTCCCGTTGCTACTGAGAGGCCCATAAGCCGACCACAATCTTCTCGACACTCTCCTCGCTTAACCACCAACAAATCTTTGAGGTTTAATGTTCCATCATCTGCGCCCTCAGAAGCGAGCACAGTATTGCCGCCACTGCCTCAGTTCGTTGCCATCAACAAGGTCTCACTGCAAGCTCGCAACTCGCCAAATCAGCCACCGACTTCCACCGTCCCGTCTTCAAGGGTCCGCATACCCGATACAGACTTCGTCTCTCCTAGTCCACCGCCTTCCAAGGATGACATATCTCCAAGCAAAGCCGCTGTCTTGAGACAAAGGCCTGCTTCCCTTTTGAACAAGATTGGCAAAATCCCTTCCTCAACGGGCAAGCTTCCCAGCGTGAAGAAGAACAAGCGACCAACCAAAAGAGTTTACCAGGCTGCTACATCTTTCGACACTACTTCACCTTTCATATACAGAAAGAATGCCGCACAGTCTAGAAAGGTATCTGAGCTAGCCAGCTCCAACAGGATCGAGCCAGAGGAGGTCATTGTCGAGCCTAAACAGGTGCGCATTGATCTTGGTGTCACACCTGGACATTCTCAGCATCTAGTGTCGCACCCAAAACGCCATCATGTTCTTTTCGAATCATCTCTTGATGTTCCAAATCCGAAGCAGTCTCGAGAACCCCTAACCGCGGATGAACCTGTGCCCTCACCAGACAGAACTCGCCACGATCGTGTACCTGCGATCAACATGTCTTTTGGCCAAGAGTCTTTCGGCATGGACTTCAACCTTCTTAATGGGTCTTTACCTACATCTTCAAGAAGAAGCAATGGCGTGGATGTCGATGTGGACAACCAGAATTCACCACCCGCAGTTGTGGCACCAAATCTCAGCGCCCAGAAACCTCTCTCTGACACCAATGAGGCACAAAGCGGGCAGAGTAAGACGGGGGAGGTCCCGTCGACTGATTCGAACGAAACAGAGCTTTCGGTAATCCATCCAGATGAGGAGAATGGAGATGTCAGTGGTCCAGCAGCGAACACTTCGGCAGTAGTCAATGGTGATCTCCTTGACGTACCCATGCAAGACAACATTGTTGATGATGGAGCAGAGTCCGAAGAGGATGTCGCAGAAGAGCTGCCATACATCAGTACCCAAGCAGCTATGCAAGACGCTCATCGTGCTCTCTTCGACGCATCTTCACCCTTGCAGCCCCAAGAAGGAAAATCCGAGGTGCCTTTCGAGACGCCGGCAAAACAGGTTACAAGTCCTCCATCGAGTCCCATACACACCATCACACCATTCCATCAATTCAACGCCGAGTTGACAACTGACACGCAGGCGCCTCTGCCTAACACGCAAGCCTTGTTTGACGGGTTCTACTCTCCAATCAAGCTCAGTGCCAGAAAACCAAAGACCGCAAAAAGAGCGAGTTTTGCTCCTTCTGTCATCTTGGAGGACGTTGATGACACTGTCACGAGCATCTTTGACTTTCCTGACGACCACATCGTGCGCGAGAACAAGGAACCCGAAGTTGAACCTGAGCAAGATGATGCACCCACTACCACCAACCATGGTGTATCGCCTGTACAAGATCCGCCAAGTCCAATAGGGGCCCAAGATCAAGCGAATCCTCCTTCTCCTGAAGAGACATCAAGACCTCTCATCAGTCCGGCAAACCGCAGTGAATCTCCGGACTTCATCCTCTCTCAGAGGACTGAACCCCCGACAAGGGAGTCGGCTGGTCATACCTTGCCTGCTTTCAAGCAGGATTCAGTCAGCCTCTCAGAGGTGCTGAACTTTGTCAGTCAAAGAAGAGGTATAGACGTGGACACACTGCTGTCCCAGACTACGCCGACGTCTTCTTCTCGAAGTCTGGACAAGACGAACCGTACCTCTGCTCGTTCTTCAGGAACCAGACCTCGGTCATCTTTGCCGAAATCGCGCTCTTCTCAGTCGAACCGTCCACTTCCCGAGAAGAGGGTCGGGCAACGTCGGTCCATGCGTATTTCACTCTCACAACCGATTCGCCAGCTAGACGGTGCGGACGATGCTTCCGACACGGAACTTGATGTAGATGGACCTCCGGCAACACAACCCAATTTGGGGTTCGCTGGCTCAGGTCGTTCCTTTGCCTTGACCTCGTTTGATGTGCCTGATGGTTCTTCTACCATACCCGATCCTAGTCTTGCGTTCAACCATGCGCAGCAGAATGCAACACCTGCCTCGGAGAGACTTGCCTTTACACCCGGCAGCGCACCACAAAGTACAGGACAAATCTCCAGCTACCAGCATGCTCAGAAGCATTACAGTAGTTTGACCGACCTTGACAGTACGATGCCAGATTTACCGCAAACATTCCTGCCACCAGTTCGTTGAGGTTGATTTGACCGCACTTCAGTTGACTTGATTGACGCATTCCATTTGGGCGGTGTGTTTCTTGGTTTTGGCGTTTTAATGAGGCATGATAGCATAAAGATACCCTCTGTTATATTTTTCACTCACAATCTCGATAATTATACGTTCGCATCATCTGTTCTTTTCTTATCATTGCGCGTCTTTCATTTCTCGTGAGGCCAAAGTTTGTTTCCTGAAACATGGCAACATGCACGACAAAGTCAACAGCACGAGATACTTCGTGGCAGGCAAGGTTGGGCTTTGGCTGGGGATACGATCACGCCAAGCCGAAAGTGGAAGGCACAAACGTCAGACCAAAAAATTGTCCGCTCACCAATCATCCGACTATCCGTGTTATAAACCACATTGATGGCGGGTGGAACAAGGAGTACCCTGTATCCCTACGGTCATTTCGATCTCTGCGGATGGTATCACGTCGGCTGTCAATACCAAACGTAGCGCCAACGATGTCTGCCGTGTGGCAGTAGTGTGCTGCGTGGGACCTGCAGGCACAAACGACGATCACAAGACGCCTATTCTTTCCGCCCCGTAACAATAATGTCGATCCTGGTCAACGACCTTGTTTAAAAATGCTTGAATCCCACTTTCCTCTGCTTCGCATACACCACACTCGTTGCTTGTCTTGACATTCGTTCGTTATGCGTGTCTCTTCGTCGGCCTTCTTGGCCACTCTGCTGGCTGTGGCTGCTGCTAAGCCTGTCCCCGAGACTCATGTTGTCCACGAGAAGCGTGAAATTGCCCACCGCTTTACCACTTCCAAGTGGGTGAAGAGAGATAGAATTGAAAAGGATACTGTCTTGCCTGTTCGCGTTGGTTTGAAGCAAGAGAACTTGCACAATGGCGCCCAATATCTTATGGATGTGTAAGTCTATTCTTTTAATGCGCGTCATGCTTGGGATGTGTTATTGGCCTTCCCCTGAGACGTTTTTCGAACAAGCATGAGCACAAGACTAACATTTCCAGTTCACACCCCGGATCTCCCAACTTTGGCAAACACTGGACATCCGACGAGGTCATCGCCAAATTTGCGCCTTCCAACGAGACATTGACTGCTGTTCGCGACTGGCTCGTGAAGAATGGCATCTCTGATCGCAGAATCACCCATTCGGACAACAAGGCCTGGTTTGCTTTCGATGCCACTACCCAGGAAATCGAAGATCTGCTACACACCCAATACCATGAGTTTGAGCACAGCTCCACTGGCAACTATGTTGCAGCATGTGATGAGTATCACGTCCCTAAGCATATTCAAAAGCACATCGACTTCATCTCGCCAGGTGTCAAGGGTGCCAACCTTCGCAAGCGTGGCGCAAAGAAAGCAAAGAGAACACTCAGAGGATCTCCGGCTCGCAAGCAGGCACCTTTCATGCCCAAGAACATCTCTTCTCTCAGCACTTGTGATCAGGTCGTGACACCGGCATGTATCCAGGCACTGTACCAGATCGCTCCCAATGATCCATATGCCAGAGTCAGCCTGAACAACTCGCTTGGTATCTTCGAGGAGGGCGATTACTACGCCCAGCAGGATCTGAATCGTTTCTTCGGAAACTTCACACCTTACATTCCTAATGGCACTCATCCTATTCCCAACTTTATCGACGGAGCAAAGGCCCCCGTCAGCTTGCAGCTCGCTGGTGGTGAGAGTGACTTGGACTTCCAACTTGCTTATCCTCTCGTCTACCCTCAGACCACTACTTTGTACCAAACTGATGACATCTACTACGCATTCGGCAACGACCCCAACGCTACCGGCCTTTTCAACACCTTCTTTGACGCCATTGACGGTTCGTACTGCACGTACTCTGCTTACGGCGAGACTGGCGACGATCCGGTTCTCGACCCCAAGTATCCCGACACTGCTGCAAGCAATGGATACAAGGGATCACTTCAGTGCGGTGTTTACAAGCCTACTAATGTCATCTCTATCTCTTACGGAGAACAAGAACAAGACCTGCCTGCTTATTATCAGGAGCGTCAATGCAACGAGTTGCTCAAGCTTGGCCTCCAGGGTGTTTCTGTCATCGTTGCTTCTGGCGATACTGGTGTTGGTGGTATCAGAGGGGATGGTTCGGCGAACGGCTGCCTGGGATCTAACGCTACTGTTTTCTCGCCCACTTATCCCAACTCATGCCCCTGGCTCACCAACGTTGGTGGCACCAAAATTTACCCCGGTCACACGGTCTACGAGCCCGAGTCTGCAGTCAACGACCCCGAGTCTGGCTACTCGTCCGGTGGTGGTTTCTCCAATCTCTTCGACATTCCCGACTACCAGGCTTCTGCTATCAAAACTTACTTCGAGGAGCACAACCCACCATACAAGTACTACACGAATGGCCAGTACAACAGCTCAGGTGGTGGTGTTTACAACCGCAACGGACGCGGTATCCCCGATGTCGCTGCCAATGGCGACAACTTCGGTATCTTCAATGCCGGAAAATTCATTCTTGAGGGCGGTACTTCTGGCTCTGCACCTATCTTTGCTTCGATCATCAACCGCATTGTCGAAGAACGTATTGCAGCAGGCAAGGGACCTGTTGGTTTCGTTAACCCTACTCTCTACACACATCCTGAGGTTCTCAATGACATTGTCAACGGCACAAACCCTGGCTGTGGTACTCAGGGCTTGTCGGCAGTCAAGGGCTGGGACCCTGTTACTGGTAAGAACATAAAACCTTTCTAGAAAGATGTCAACAATGAGCTAACACAGATTCCAGGACTCGGAACACCTTCGTACCCTAAGATGCTGAGTCTCTTCATGGGACTGCCTTAGTTTAATTCCATCTTATTGAGCATGTAATAATGAGTTTGGAGCCTTTCTCGTCTTTAAGCAAAAAGGCATTTCATATAGCATAGTTGATCATAGATAGCGAAAGCATTCACATTCACTCTTGTCCTGTGTGAGCAGGTCTCATCTAGGAGGTGAGAACCTAATGGAAGGAGAGCTTCCATTCGCGCCTTCAGCTTCAGAGTCGTGTAAAAAGGCCCAGTAACCTCTACAGAAGAGTATTGAACCTCCGATGATTCTACAAGCGGTAGTCTTTGCGGAGACGGAATTGTACATTGCGACAGCTTACAATACTACTTTCTGTAGGGCTGGAAGAGGTCGAGGGTAGCATCAGTGGACACGGATGGAAAGGAAGCATAAAAGATGAATTGAGTGAACGACGATGAGATCTATGCATCTCATATCGCTCAGCCTGATTTTGTTCGATAAGAATGTTTTGGTTGTCTCCTGAACGAATTTAGAGAACTAGAGACATGAAGGAGAGAAGAAAAGAAGAGCGTGAGTAGCTAAGAAATAGTCATAAAGGTATGTTTCGTGAGCATCGTCAATGTCTAATATCGTCATAACCCATTTCCCCTTCTCCATCATCAACAGTGACTTTGTTGTTGCAAAAGGCTAAAGGAGTGTTCAGAAAGACATCCATCCAGCATCGCGAAGACAGTGTTGGCATCGAGGATAATGCTGCAAGATCGGAGCACGACGACAAGCACAAGTAGTCTGTCTAGCATGATGAGGTTTGCCAGCACCAGTATTACCAGACCTCATGCCTCCAACAGCAGAATCCACACTTCGAGGGCTGGACCCACCAGAAGTCCAACTGCTGTTCTCATCTTCGTCTTCTTCCCTCAATTCACCTAGCCGCCTTCTCTGATCGTTGGCGTCAGAGGTGGATACATTGATGTTTTTGCGGCCTGAGCCAATAGCTACAGGTAGACCTTGAACAGTGCCAGAGCCGGGTTTTTGTCCGGGATACATGCCGTCGTTGACGGAGAAGTTGCGGCAGATCATATAGGCTCGTGTGGCGGCGGCATCACGGGCCAATGCTTCGGTTGTGTAGTGTTGGCCATCTGTGCTATACTCGCGGTTGTTGACGCGGACGACACAGGTATAGCCGTGACGGGTGACTGATGGTTGGAACATGGGCTGAGGCCAGTGTCGGCGTTTGCAGAGGCCTGTATTGCATGTTGTTAGTAAAATTTCAGATGATAGCATTGAACGCTGGAAGTGATTCTGCCCTCAGGGCAGTATGCTCGAATTGGACATTTGAAATTGTTATTGAGTGCCGCCATGCTAGCCTGCAGATTTGCCATGTGTCTTTGACATCGGCAAGCTACCGTTGTCACACGTGGAAGACGTACACGCTCGAAAGTCGACAAGCATGCGAGAATGACAACTCGGGAGTGTAAGGAGACAAGCAACTAGTACTCACCATCAAGATACATTGTGTAGAACATTATGGCTTGTATGAACCTCGAAAGAGATGGACCTGCTTGCTGTGGCTTGAAGCTTCAGGCAGGGAATGTCGTTTTTGGTAGGAGAGACGGGCTGTCAAAATATGTGTCGTATATGTCACACCGCAGAATGGTCGATGGCTGAACATCGACAGATGCAGAGTAGAGAATATTGAAAGATTAATGCAGGTAGAAGAAACGCAAGATGTATTGATGCCCAAGGGAAGAATTGGATCGAGAAATATTTCTTCAAGCACACACCGTATAAATAGAGTTGAGAAAGCAGGCTGGTCCTGACACAAGAGGCGGTCTTCACGAGATAGAAGGAACAATCAAAAAAGAAGCGACTCGAAGAAGTGACGTTGAATAGCACAACATCAAGACTCGGCGGGAAGTCCAGAGGTACGGTAACAAGGGTCAGCCATTCGCATGCGTGCACGACGGACATACCGTTGTGCATTGCAGATGCGTTCGTTGTGGGAACGACAACACAGGAAAGCCTGGCGAGGACGAGGACAAGTTGGGTCGTCAAACTCCCTCCCTAATCTTGTTCGATGTGTTGGCGCTGCATGCCACACATTGGGAACATCTGTTGAAGATCCGAAGAAGAGGAAATGAAGCGAGCCTGCGTGGTTCTAGGATGTGTGCTCGAGCGTCTACTCCTGTGCGACAGAGAGCGTGGTGCATGCCGATGGCAAGGCCCGAACTACCTCGCGCATACCACATCAATGCGCGACATGTTCGCGGGAGAGCCACAAGCACCAGGTACGTGGTCGAGTTCGTGACCCCTAGATTAGGCGCAAGTGTCGTGCAGTCGAGACAGAGATTGCACATTCTAGCTTTCGGTAACAAGCCGGACCAAGATCATGTGAATATCTAGTGACGGCCAATTGATCCAAAGGGAGGAATAGTAGACTCACCGGTCCTAAAGAGGTGCCAGCCGGAGTGGGTGCTATGCGGGGCTACTGCAGCAGACGGTAATTAACTGGTGAAGATGCTTCACAAGGCAGCCTTCCATCCCCTTCGCGCTCTACAACGTTGCTCAGTGAAAGACCCGGGGTCTGTCAAGGCAACGAAGACAGGGTTCTGGGTCCCTCCATTGGCCAACATAGCGTACCATGAATAAAGAGCTGTGACTCTGTGAGATGCTAGTTCTTTCGCTAGACAAGCCAAAGTCTGGTTGTGTGCGACCCATCGCTCCAATGGGTTAAAGACGAGCATCGGAAGTATGAGTGCGTTGGCGGTCACATTTGACATTGCTGAGGCACGAGGTACCCTGCTTCCGTCTCCTCTCAGAATGGTGGGGGAGCAAGAGCGAGGAGGGGTCGAGCCACCAAGGGACTGAGAGCATGTCCTTCCAAGCTGCAAATCTTGGAAGGGGCTTTACGTGCCGTAGGATCGTTCATGGCAGGTACCGAAGAGCAGCTTTGCTAAATTACTACGCATATAACCAAGTATGCTTGATAAAGCGGCCACTTTGGCAAGCTATGTTGAGGCACAGAGATGGAGGCCCCTCGTATTGCCTGCCTTTGTGGCGGGCCCTGATTTGTCCCAAGAGCCATCTCGATTCGATAGTCGCGAGATGTGACTGAGGGGCGAAAATGGCTTTCGAGTTTGACGCCAGCCTTGCAGATAGGTTGAACAGCTGATGGCTCCTGAAGTGTCTAAATGTGCTGCATTGGCGATCCGACGTGCATGGTAACGGGCACTGCATTGGTGTTTTGTTCCGATGAGCGAAGTGCAAAGAAATTGGATGCCTCGGTGATGTGATGATGCCTCGCGAAGCAGGAGCGGTCAATAGGCGGTGAAGACGACAGGGTGTGTTGATCGATCTTGCATGCACGAGTCGCTCGTGCTTTCCTTTACCTCAACTTCAACTCTGCCGCGAAGGTCAAATCGTTTTTAAACTTTTTGGAAAGCGAGTGTCTGTATTGGACTCGTCACAAAACTGACATGTAAATATGTAGTCGTTGACAAGCCGAAGGTAGCTGGCAGTGGCGGTCGTTTGGCTGACTGTCGCGAGGCGTCAGTGGCCGTCCTCAGCCACGTTTTGGCCACTCCTCTTTTATGTACAACCAACAAGAGTTACACGCGACGGGCTACGAGCATATATGCAAAAACGTGGACGATAATCGACGTTTCATGTTCTGAGCTACTTCCGAATGTTTATGCATGCAAAAAACTAAGAGATCGCTTCCTGCCTGTGGGTATCTTGCCGTATCAACCAACGCCGTGTAAAAATGGAAACCTTCATGACAAGCTGAACACCTCAAGGGCATTCACCGCTACTTTTTCTTTCCCCTGCCCTTCCTCTTGCCTTGCGGTTGTTGCTGCTCGGGAGCAAAAGCCGATCCTTCGACTACTTCCTCGCCTTGAGCTTGCAACTCCTTGACTTTCTCCTGACTACTGATGAACATAGTCAGGTCGTGGTTCATCTCCTCTAGGTCTGCCTTCTCAAACCTCAACTTTTCGGTCTCTTGTTGACTCTCTTTGGCCTTTGCTTCGGCGGCGTGAATGCGCTGAAGCAAGCCCTCGTTCATTGTTTTCTCCTCACGTAGCTGAGTAGACATGTCGCGAGCCATCTTCTCAAACTTCTCGGCGCGAGTTGTGGCCTTTTCGACACTCTTCTCCATACGAGTAACACTAGAGGCATACTCTTGGTTCTGTGCGCGCAGGACGGCCATCTCTTCAGCGAGCGCGCTGCATGCTCTAGCAGCATCCTCAGCTTTGGCCGAAGCGGTGCTGGCCTTGTCAACAGCACGCTCGAGCTGGCCCTCGTAGTAACGGCGCTGGCTGTCCAACTGACTAGTCAGGAGGTAAGTGTACTCGTTAGCCATGTTCTCCATCTTCTCTCGCGGCACATGGTCATCGGCTTCGGCACGGAAGGCGGCGTTAGGATGGTGGCGAGCAGGCAGATCAATTAATTTGCTGTCAGGTTTGTTCTGAATTAAGCGATGAACATAGCCATCGCCAGCGTAGTCCCAGACATGCTGTGAGTTGATGTCCATGGCATAGCAGTGGCTTGTGGCTTCCCAATGTGCAAAGGCGTGTGCTGAATCATAGCGACCACAGCCTGTGTTTCCGCAAATCAAGCAGATCCAGAGATTGGTAGTGGTCGCGCAGACAGTACAAGCAGGTTCGACTTCGGTCTGTGCGTCAGAATGGCTAGGTCGGGGATAGGGGAAGGTGAAGGAGGGTGACTGCGTGTAACGACACACAGGACAGCCCGACCCGCGCCACTTCTCAAGACAGGCGCAGTGAAATACATGTTGACATAGGATGGTCAAAAGACCGGTGGTCTCATCCATGCGCTCGAGACACACCGGACATGTAGGAAGCTCGACAAGCGATGGCGTCGGCGGTGCATGTGGCTTGGCGGACAGAGAGTTAGAAGATGTGGTGAATGGGTCCTGAGTGTTTTGAGGGAAAGCGGCGGGGTCAGATGTATCTGAGTCGGGAGTTAAAAACTCGACAGACTTGATGAAGACGACATGGCAGTTTTCGGGCTACGACAGTGTTAGCACACAACTACTCTCTGTAACTAGGTTTCTGGTCGCTCACCTCCATAGCGCTGAAGAGCTTTCCGTTCCACAATTTCTGCCATTCTCTAGCTTTCTTTGGCTGTCTGAACTTCATGAGAGCCATGTATTTGTTGGCACGGCCAGTCCTAATCAACCTGAAGTGGCTGACATCTTCTCTTGCCTGGTCTCCAACAAATCCCAGCAGATCTGAAGGCATCATCCATGACGGCACCGCTAGAATGCACAAAGTACTGCACTGTTGAGGGTCGAAGTCGACATGGTCTTTAATATGCTTATGGTCCAATGCTGCCGTCTCTTGAGAATCCCTGTACAGATGTACGACACCCCAGCCTACATCAGTTGCTTTGGCAGCCGATGGCACATATGCCGCCTTGGTGTGTAGACCAGTCGAAGGCAGCTTGGTAGAGGTGGGCTCCATGTCGATGCTTTCGATGGTGACAGGGCCGTACCGCCAATCTCTGGTGGCAATCTCGCTCGAGGCTTTCTTTGGTGGTATAGTAGGTGAAGCAGGCTCTTTCAGGGCAATGTTCCTCTCAGGTAACAGGAGCGCATCGCCGTGGGCGGAGGCTGGACGACTCGCAGCAGTAGGGCGATTGTCCAGCGAGCTTCTCGGCGAGTGTCGGGCTGACAACGTATGGGAAGTGGTCTTCGAGGTTCGATGTGCGGGAAACGTAGATTTGAATATGTCTGTCGTCGAATCTGGGCGGAAGAGGTTGGTTGGAGCAGCTTGCGACGAAGCTGATGGGCGTGTCGAAGGATACAGCTCAAGCTTGATATGGAAGAAGTAGGCCGACATTACTCACCACAACACCGTCGCTGTATGAGCATTGCGCGATGCCATGTCTTAAATGAAGTTGGTCACAAGAAAACCAAGTCGTCGTCACCGTCGACATCCAGCGAACAATGCTATTGCATCACGTGCCGTGCCTGAGTCATGCAAACTCACCTGGATAGATCTACAACCAATTCAGGTCTATCACATCAGATATTAAGACACAGGAAGAACAGATTATTGGAGAATAGGTGAAGAGTGATATTGTTGAGAGCATCAAATGCTCTTTGAGAAAGTTGATTGGCTACGCTAGTCGTAGCAGCCGCTTCATGGCTGGCATAATAAAGGTAATAGAAAGCAAATGAACGCCGACCCATCATCGAAAGAGATCATCAAGGCTCAATGCCTGTCGCTTACTGACCGCCACGAAGTCTGAGCACCAAGTGCAGAGTTGACTCCTTCTGGATGTTGTAGTCAGAGAGTGTACGGCCGTCTTCCAACTGCTTTCCGGCGAAGATGAGGCGCTGCTGGTCTGGGGGAATACCCTCCTTATCCTGAATCTTTGACTTGACGTTGTCGATTGTGTCGGATGATTCAACCTCGAGTGTGATAGTCTTGCCGGTCAGAGTCTTGACGAAGATTTGCATACCACCACGGAGACGAAGGACAAGGTGGAGCGTGGATTCCTTCTGAATGTTGTAGTCGGAGAGAGTGCGGCCATCCTCAAGCTGCTTGCCAGCGAAGATCAGGCGCTGCTGGTCTGGGGGAATGCCTTCCTTGTCCTGGATCTTGGACTTGACATTGTCGATGGTGTCGGACGACTCGACCTCAAGAGTGATGGTCTTGCCAGTGAGGGTCTTGACGAAGATCTGCATACCACCACGCAGACGGAGGACAAGGTGAAGAGTCGACTCCTTCTGGATGTTGTAGTCGCTCAAGGTGCGACCGTCTTCGAGTTGCTTGCCGGCGAAGATAAGACGCTGCTGGTCCGGAGGAATGCCCTCCTTGTCTTGGATCTTGCTCTTGACGTTGTCAATGGTGTCAGAAGACTCAACCTCAAGGGTGATGGTCTTGCCGGTGACTGATGAGCATGTTAGCAGCTGGTTGCGCGCAGTGGCGGTGAAGCGGGGTCGACGGTTACTTACGGGTCTTGACGAAGATCTGCATGTTGCTTGAGAGTGTTTGGTGTATGTGTGGATGTAGTGTAGATGATGCGCCTTGATGAGAAGAGGCGAAGTGGATGAAAGAAGATGGTTGTTGTGAAGGGAGGAAAGGTGGAAGCAGGTGGTCGGAAGGGCTTAAGTATTGGAAGTCGCGCAGTGAGAGCGGCGGGAGTGAGTGTGGCTGATTGGATGACGCCCCCCAAAGCGGTGTTGTCGCAACCCAAGCACCAGTGATGAGGCAGCAACGGGACCTCGGAACGTGCCAGAACCTTCCCAACGTGGCAAGAACTGAATCTTTCTGCACTGCCTTAATCAAATTATTCTCTTGTTTGCTTTGCCTTCACTTGAATTGTTAAGCAAGCAGTCTTTCTGTCTCGTCCTTCGCTCTTTCACTCCGATGGGTGGCGAGACAGTCTGACCCCAACCTTGACCACTTTGGTACATTCTTATCGGCGGCTTACCTCCGAAAGGCATCGCGGGGAAGCCACAACCGTGACTTCATTGATCTCGTTCAAATCGTCCCATGCCAAGACGTTCCTACGGTTATTATCAAGTTTCAGAGCAGGTCTGTATTTGAATATGCTTCGGGAGATAGAACGCCTCTACAGGTTCTTGGTGTGGTTAGCCGATGAAACACAAAGGTGAGCATACTTGTAGAGTGTTGAGGCATAGAGTGTTTGCCTGACTCGCTGTTTGTTTCGATCTTGTTATCATAAGTTGGCCTTTGCGTATCTTCTGTCCGCTCTGCTGACTTGATAACGTACCAATGCTCATTTCCTCGTCAAACACTTGTACAGTGCTCTTTAATTATGAATGAGCGACTCCTTCTTCTTGCCATCTGTTTCTCAATTCGCTGTCAGAGGCTTCCTACCCCAGACGACCGGCATCGGATAGTAGGCGTGAATACCCCTGTTCTTGACATCGGCTGAGACTTTGGCGACAAACACATCGACCTCTTCTTTCTTCCAACCAAGTCCTCTGGTCATCAATGCCAGACAAAATCCTTCAAGGCCCTCAAGAATGTTGATCATATTCCAGTTGCCCAGTTCCTTCATGTATTTGTCCTTGGGCCACGGATTTGATGGCCACATGAAGTGTTGCTCCTGAATATCCACAAATCCAGCTGCTTCCATCCACTCTCTGTACTTCTCTGACACTTCTGTGCCCATTGGACGGCCAAGCTTCCGAGCGGCTTCGCACATCAATATACCCCATTTCTCCAGAGATGTGCCGACCAGTGTGTCGTCGACGCTTCTACAAGGTAATCCGTAATCTTGAAATTCAAGATAGCCGCCAGGTTCCAGGTTGCTACACATCATGGTCAATTTGCATCTGAGACAGACAGTCTCGCAAATGTACTTACTCAAACACTTGCTGTATGAGTCTCTCTGGATCTGCGAAACATCCGGCCATGAGTCTGCAGTGAACGTAGTCGAACCGATGGTCGTACACCCAGAGCTCTTCCGCATCGTCTATAATGTACTTCAAGTTTGGTGGAACGCTTGAAAACTATCAGCGAGTGTCTGAGCTGATGGTCTGTGTTGAACACTCACAACGTGGGCTGTGATGGACTAAGGTCGATGCCGATGACCTCGCATTCAGGGTACTGATCCGCTGCTTGAGTTAGACCGATCCGCCACGAGCATGCATTGTTATATTTACCGAAGTCCATTGCCCAGATTCCAGTTCCAGTCCCGATATCAAGAGCATGTCTGGGTTTCTCTAGAGGCGCTAGATGCAGTCGTCTATAGGTCAAGTTACACATATGATGTTGCAGGTCTATACGCAATGTTCAGCTTTTGCTCAAACGGGGAGACTTGTGAGGTTCCTTGCCTAGTCGGTCTTGCTCGCGCTGTCAAGTGGACATGGTGTCAATAGACGGTATAGAGCAGATGAGGATAAATCATACCTCGTCATTCGGGAAGACATATTGTCCATCCTTGTAAGCTATCCCAAGTCAATATCGGGCGACTCGAACGATATTTCAAATGCTGCCACGTACAGTGATATGTGCGGCCATGCTCCTGGCGATAGTTATATATTGACTCGCTCAACGATGTGGTTGTGCTTTGGCTGTTCATACTGTCAGCTCTCCAGGCTTCAAGCAAACGATCAAGGCGGAGAAATAGCCAACTCACGTATCATCACCCAGTGCGGAATCATTATCGCTCCACGACTATGACGACCCGAAGTGGTCAACATTCATTTCATGTTCCGGTATTCATTGGTGTCGCTTACATCGGCCTCAAGAGTCTGTTCTCTGGCGTGGTTGAGACTGATGCTCTCGCTTTCCACAGGCTCATCGGCCATGATTGAGAATGGGTATTGTACCAAGCCCGCGTGTGTGCTGGACTTGAAGCCCTTGCAGAACGAGCGCTACTATTTTGGTCTCTTCAAAGCACACGATAAAGGACGTTCGGATTTATCGATCTATCAGTCGTGCATCCACGTCCGATGTTTGGTTCAGGGTGCACTCTAAGCCGTTGACGAGTGGAGTGCAGATAACAAGTATTCGAAGAAAAGAAGAATGTAATTAAAAAAAAAATTCAGAACAACTGCCGACGCTATCACGATTGTTTGATCTGTTGACGAAAATGCTCGTGATGCGGCACCCCGGTCCATGACTCGTCGGAATCCGTGGGCAGCGTGCCTTTTGAGACATTCGTTTCGCGCCTTCGAGCCGTGCCGAGTCCTGTCGCGCTTGGACTTCCTTCAGCCCACCCAAGCCCACCACCTAAACTTCTGACGGAATCTTTTGTCTTGATTGCTGTGGAGCGCTTGCAAATGAATGGTCTTTACGAATGCTGACTTGCGCTCACCCTTTGCTGATCCCTCTCTCGCGTGGCTGGCTTTGCTGCACGTAGCCGTTAGCTGACCTCCGGCAGGACACGGGAATCGTGCTCCTTGTGCAAGCGAGAGTCAAGAGGTCAAGAGTGCCACATTCCTCAGCTTGCAACGACAGCCCGTCTGGCCCTGCGTCCACGAGACATGGAGGTGGAGGGGGTGCCATCCCACACAGCCAAACTGGGCACTCAGACCATTGACAGGGACGATCGCCCGCTTGCCATGCTAGGCCATGCATTGGTGCATGCACTGGCGACGCCACGGCCGGCTCATTGCAGACTTCGCTTCGCATGTCATCAGCAGATTCTTTGATAAACGACAAGCCACCAGAGACCATTTAGAACCCTGAAAGTTCAATATCGCGGCTGACCAAAGGAGTCGTTCCGAGGTGCTATGCTTTGCCGGTCCTATATGATCAAGCCTTAGGTTGGTAATATGTACATTTCGTGTTCCCTTTTTGCGCCAACATGTTTCAATCCTCTTGATCCGACCGCATTTTTCATCCTCCACTTCCATTGCATCCCTGCTCTTGACCAAGAAAGCTGCCGCCAGCACGATCGACGCATCATCAGGCCTGAATCCTGCAGAGAAAGCGTCATTGCTTTAACCTCTTACTGGCCGGAGGAAATCCCAGCCCGGCGGATCCTTTGACGTGGTTGTGCACCAACAGGACTCGGGCTACTGCAGTGGGCTCGAAGAGCATACCACGTACTGCTCTCTGATATTTGCCGGCCATGTTGCCAGTCGTCCTAATCGTAGGCTTGAGTCTCTTGGTGCTTTATGCAATACGTACCCTGCAACAGTATTGGGCGTTGAGTGAGTTCAAGGGACCATGGTCAGCAGGATTCTCGAGGTTGTGGCTTTTAAGAGCCAATGGCTCTGGAAAGATGAACATTGCATTTACAGAAGTAAATGATAAATATGGTTAGTAGGCATCCATTTCAGATGAAGAAGGAGCAAAATTGTCGTTGTGGGAGAAGAGCACATGTCGTCCTGCCCAACCAATCGCAAATGCGCTTAGCATGCTTTGTGTTTCATAAATTGTACCATCATGCTGATTGTAGGACAGGGCCAACTGCTCGGGTGTCACCCAACATGCTCATCACCACTGATCCGGAACTATATAAACGTATGCACGCTGTGCGCAGCCCTTTTGTCCGCAGTGAATGGTACACAGCCTTGCGACTGCACCCGACAAGGGACAACATCACATCCGTGATTGACGAGGGAGTCCATGCAGACCTTCGCAATCGCATGTCGACTGGATATTCTGGCAAGGAGAATCTCCATATGGAAGACGATGTTGACTATCGCCTCTTGCAACTGTTCGAGCTCATCGACTCGAAGTATGTTTCTTCAGAAAGGGACTACCGTCCAGTGGACATTTCTCGCCTTTACTCCTATTTTACTCTGGACGTCATCTCAAGCATTGCCTTTGGTCAAGAATTCGGCTTTCTGGAAAGAGACGACGACCCCTTCGGCTACATCGACAATCTCCAAGAATTCCTTCCTGCCATCATCCTCTTCGGTGCATACCCCGAACTTCAGAAAATCTTGCGTCTGCCTCTGCTGAAACATGTCATGCCCAAATCAACAGACAAACGTGGTCTCGGCCGCGTCATGGGCTTCGCCAAAGAGCGCGTAGACGAACGCTTCGGCGAAAAGCCAGTAGTGCGCCACGACATGTTAGGCTCATTCATAAAACGCGGCCTCACCCAAGAACAACTCGAATCCGAGACCTTGACACAAATCACTGCTGGCAGCGATAGTACAGCCTCAGCGATACGCATGACATTACACTTTATCTCCACTACACCACACGTGCACTCTCGTCTTGTGGCAGAGTTCAAGAATGCGTTGGCTGCGGGCAAAGTCTCCAGACCTGTTATTCGCGACGCTGAAGCTCGTGCTTTGCCGTATTTGCAGGCTTGTATCAAAGAGGGTTTGCGTATGTATCCGCCAGTTACTGGTCTGCTTGCCAAAGCCGTGCCTCCAGAAGGTGCAACCATCGATGGAAAATTCGTCAAAGGCGGCACTCAAATTGCTTGGAACTCGTGGGGTATGCAACGCGACAAAGACATCTACGGCGTCGATCCAGAAATTTTCAGACCCGAGCGATGGCTCTTACGCGATGCTTCTGAGGCTGAAAGAAAGCGTCTAGAAAGAATGACAGAAACAGTGGGTTTGGTGTTTGGGTACGGACGTTTCGGATGTCTCGGTAGAGGTGTTGCGACCATGGAGTTGAACAAAGGTGTTATTGAGGTAAGTGTTTTTGCTCTCTTCTTCTGTCCCTCACTAACCATCACAACAGACTCTTATTCGTTACGAACTCCAACCCGCCAGTCTCTCGAAACCATTCGTCGAGCGTTGTGTAGGCTTTTTCCTGCACACTGACATGATGTTCCGCATCACGCGCCGCCCAGACGCCGATTCTGCTGAAGCGAATGGAGTTCATGCTAGCTATGGCGATGTAGCTGCACTACCTGGTGCTCCTGAATCTTGAGCGAAGGAATAATATTTGTACATATTCGACTTCGGACTGATTTGAGTTCTGTAGATACTGCTCTTCTTGTTTCTCTTTCGATTACTCAGAGATATGTTAGATTGGTCTTGGGCCATGGAGAATGGTAATACCATCAACTTGCATCATGTACTCAAGCATTGTTGTTCGAACTAGAGTACGCATGAGCCATGTCCAGCGAGTTTGTAGTCTTGCTGATGACCTTTCGTGATTCGAATTATTCAGATCTGGCCGAGATCATTCAAACTGCAACACCGTGTGTCAAGAGTCAGCCTTGTGGAGCAATTCCATGGGACCCAGAAGAACTCACAGAGCTATCTACACTCTCTTCCCACTGTTGTGCAAATGGCATGGTGATAGTTGAAGTAAGGGTGATGAAAAACCATGACAGGGTCATGGCGAGAACATCCAAAAACTCGCTGGTCACACTATCTTGACCCATCTCTCTGCACCGATGATTTGGTTCTCTTGCCACTATCAAGCCATTCCGAGAAGACTACGTGACACATGTTTTTGGACTGGCCGTGACTGCAAGTAGGAACGAAAATGATGATCGAATCTGGAGGGAGAATGTTTATGTGTGGAAATACTATGTTCTATCTACTGTTTATATATAATGATCATCAAGACGAAACCAGCGCCTTGTATGAGATCCGGCTCATACAGTCTTGAGAAACAACCAGGTTTCTTCAATCAAGATTCCCATTCCCTCACAACAATGCTGCCAGGGAAAGCAGAGCAGCCGCAAAGGAAACACCGGTTTTGCCTGCGGCTCCTGTGTATGGCACAACAGTTTGGTTCCATGCCGGGTAAGGAGAAGATGAAGCCGCAGGAGCAGGTGCAGCAGTGCCCACAACAGTCAGAGTAGTGGCATTGCTCCATGTCTGATTGCTCCAGGAGTACGGAGCAGCAGCAACAGCTGTCATCACAGGTGCGTACTCAGTCGTCGTAGAAGTACTGGAGACGTCCCATGCAAAGACAGGCGAGTTCAGGGAGACGACCGCGGTAGCAGTGAGGGTGGTTTGGCTTGTGGTGGTCAAAGTAATGGTCGAGGGAGTGGCCAGTACGGCTTCTGCGCCTGCAGAATCGGTGACCGTCGCGCCAGCTGGACAAACAGTTGTGTAGCTGTAAACCATGTCGGTGGTGTACTGTGTTGAAGTGGGCAGGACGACTGCAGGGAAGTATGGCAGGTAGGGTGCTGATGATGAGGTTGAAGAGGAGGCAGTCGCAAGTGCGAGATCTCCATTCAGAGTTGCATTTGGATCAGATGATGTCGAGTTCCCATATGCAGCCTGAGGGGCCCCTGAAATGTAGACAGTCGTAGTGTGCGTGTTTGTCGATGTAGAGGTACTTGTGAATGTGGTGAAGTTGGCATTGTATGGCCATTTGGTTGCCTCAGTGGTCGCTGTGGCAGCGCTAGAGATACTGGCGCTGATCTTTTGATAGTTGGGAATTGGATAGGGTGTTGTGTTGTTGCCATCAGGATAGATGATTCCGTTCTTGGAGCATTGTGCATTGCCAGATCGGGGTGATGCCTGCCAGCAGGGCGAGTAGGACGAACCCAGAGGGGCCTTGTCCGCGAGACGATCATCGCAATCGCTGGCATACCCGATGCCATTAGTGCAACGAATGATCATGTTGCTCTCGAGGGAAGCTGATACACAGTATGCACCTGATGGAAGAGCGCAAGTGTAGGTGCCGTTGCCATTCTTGATGACCTGAGCAGTACTTAAGGCTGCAGTGGCTAGTAGAAGGACGTTGTTTGCTGCCTTCATATTGGGTAGTCAAAAAAAAAAAGTGCAAGATCAAGTCAAGAAAGATATTCGAAGCAATCCAAGAACGAGACTAGAAGACCAGCTTTGACGAAGTTGTTGATACGATATTGGTGTAGCAAGATATTGCTGAATTCGGTATATTGATGGATGAGAGAAGAAACGTACCTGCATCCTGCGATCTTGATCTTATATACCACTTCTTTTCTGCCAACTCAACTTACAATATTTTCTACCGTCTGTGGCCGTTTTGAAGGCTGCGGCCGCTGTTCATGCAGGCTGGCAAATGTCAACGCTGCCGTTGGTTGCATAACGGGTTGCTGTGAGAGATTACACGACAGCCGGACCGAAAGCGATCACGATCATGGGTAGGAAGATGGAATGCTGGATCTTGTGAGACCATGGAGGGTCGGCCGAAGGGTCAATGTGTGCCCGATCAAGAAAGAGAGGAGGGAGAATCAAAGTAGTGCGCAGTCACCTTCCAGCCATCCATGACGCCAAGCTCGAAAGCTTCTTGATGCCGATGGCGGGGTCGTTGGAGGGGCTGGCATATCTAAACGGCTGCCCGCTCACTTTCGACCGTCATACCTTTTCGGCTTTCAAGACTATATTATACGGCATAGCACAAGTCAACGTTGTTCGAGAACCAGCCTTACAAAATCGTCGTCATCATGGTTTATCAGTCTCAAATATCCTTCACACTAGATACCATCTGTCCATGGTTCGCTCCGCCGCTCCATTCATTCCTAGAGACAAACTAATCAATGGCAGGACCTATCTTGCTAGGAGGCGCCTCGCAAAGGCGCTTGAACAAGTCCGATCTACCAATCCGGGAGTGACGTTCACTATCAAGTACCTTCCCTACCAACTATACCCTGATGCGCCGCAAGAGGGCGAAGACAAGTATGCCTGGTATCGCGACGCCAAGTTCAATGGAGATGAAGAGCACATGCGCAAGTATGTGGTACTAATGACAGCATATGGCAAAGCCGAAGGGATTGCATATAAGTTCGGTGGAAGAGTTGGCAACACCCTTCAGGCGCATAGGGTCATTCAGCTCGTTCAAGAGGCCAAAGGACCTGATGTAGCTGAGAAGGTTGTCGACAGTTTATACCGACAGTACTTCGAGGAGGAGCAACATCCGAGCTCCAAGGAGACGCTGCTGAAGGCGTTAGGAGAAGCAGGGCTCAGTGAGACAGAGGCCAAGAAGCTGGTCGAGGACGAAGACGAGGGGCTGATGGATGTCAAGATGTTGATCCGAGAACAGGCAGGCAACGGGGTGGATGCAGTGCCATATATTGTCTTTGAAGGTAAGAGACGCGACTTTACGCTCGAGGGCTGCAAAGAAGTCGATGAGTATGTCAAGGTGCTGCAGCAGGTAGCCAAGGAGAGTGGCTGAATCAACCTAACATGCTCTTCTTTCTTCCTCTCATGCGGACGTCTTCCAGTCTTTTGAGTACTGTCTTGGCGCCTTTGTAGCTCTCGCCGTAGGCTTGCAGCAGGTGACCGAAGTCGTCCTCCACCTCAGGATGTGTAGAAGCGAAGGCTCTTTCAAGCACGTAGAGATCGACAGCCTTGTCCTCTTCTTGTACCGTCTGCTGTGCAAGACCAAAATCGATCAGGACAATTTCCCCATTAGTGTTGACAATGCGAATGGTCTTTCCGACTTGCTTGTCCTCTTTGTTAACATCGCTTTCAGCAGGTCGCAGCATGAGGTTGCTGGTTGTCAAATCACCGTGAACCAGGCCTCTTTCGTGCAGGCGGCCAAGGGCACTGCCAATTCTTCGCAACAAATCGTGCACCTGTTGCTCTTTCTCGCTGTTGGACAGACTGCTCTCCTTATGGACCCAATCCAGGACTCTGCGAACAGTATTGCCATAGATCCATTCTTGTGCCAACCATCCACGCTCCCAGTCAAGTCCCAAGACGGCGGGGACAGCAACACCCTCACGACGACAACGAGTAAGCACTCTAGCTTCTGCAAGAATTCGCTGACGAGTCAATCGCATGTCCAGAGTACGGTGTCTCCATGGCTTCGCTGGTCGGTACTTGAGGGCGCAAGCTGTCGAAGGTGTGAGGAAGGTGGTGCGGTAGACCAAGGCTTCAGCGCCTTGGGTAAGTAGAAGCGGAGCTGGCGTCAAGTCGTCTTGGTTTGAGAAGGGGAAGGGTAACTGATGGTGCACTTGGCCAGTCGAGGCACTGTCGGTTGATGCCATAGCTGGATATTTTGACTTGAATGTGACAGAGAGAAATGTTCCTGTCTCGAGCAAGAGCGTCACAGCCAAAGCGCAAACTAAGCCCTAATTAGCCTTGGCGTTCGGCCCTCGTCAGCTCTTTCCCATGCGCCGTATTTAGACCGTATCCGACCTCGTATCGACACCACCTTTGCACATCACTGAATTGTCCCATTTTGCTCCTGCCTCTGTCCTTGCAGCCGTATTGCGTCTTTATCGACACTTGTACCTCTTTTTCCCTTGGTCCAGTGTTTGGCGACATTTTTCTTCGCCTGAATACGGAGATATCACCAGTCAACTCTCATGGATACGAAAAAGGCTTCGATGAGACGATCTCATCGTAAGTCTCGTAATGGCTGCTCCCAGTGCAAAGTTCGTCACATAAAGGTAAATTCTCGATCAAATTCTCTGACCATACTTCGTCAAGATGACTTATAAAAAAAGTGCAATGAGGTCAAACCGCAATGTGGGAACTGCCAGCGTCTGGACATAAATTGCAGCTTTGCTCCTGCGGCCGCAAGTCCACATCCAAGCCTTGTCTCACAAACATCAACTTCTCTTGGGACTCCACCAATCATTCAGCCTTCGACTCAGCCTCTATGTCTTCTAGATCTGGAGCTGTATCATCACCTCGTTCATCATTACAGTGCTGCCTTGGTCCCAGACCCCAAGCTTCGAGCTGATATCTTCGAACAAATCTTGGAGCATAGTCTGTCATATGACTTTTTGATCCACAACTTCATGGCTCTTTCCGCTCTGCACCTTTACTCAGAGAATCGATCTAGGTCTGAACTGTTCGACAGAGCTTGCTACCTACAAGGTGTCGCTATCCAGCTAGTCCAACCAGTCATTGCAAATCTGCGTCAGGAAGATTCTCTAGCTGCTTTGATGTTTTCTGGTCACACTACCTCTTTTGGATTGGCTGAGTACATGCTGAATCCTCACCACGACGACACAGATCCTATTGATAAGATCGTCGAATGCTTCCAACTGAGTCGAGGCATCAAGCTTGTCGTCTCGCCATTCTGGCCCTACTTGTCTCAGACCTGGCTCAACAAGCTATTTTCAAGCGAGCCAAATAATGAAGACCGAATTAGAGCTACCCTTGCCTCCATATTCCCTACCTACTCGATGGTGCGATCTCTTGCTTTTGGTCAAGAAGACGCAGATCGCCGCAAATGCTGTCTGGAAACGATTGAAGACATTTTCACGTTCATTGAGGCTTCATCACGACATCCGCAAGATTATCCGACCCCTTCGCATCTCATCGACCGATGGGCTGTTAGGATACCTGTTGTCTTCAAAGACATGTTGGTGGAGCGAAAGCCTATCGCTCTTATAATCTTGGCATACTGGGCTGTTTTGACGAGCATCAATCCACGATCATGGCATCTAAGAGGCTTGGCTGAAGTTCTCATTGCGCGAATTGAAGACATACTCGGAGAAGAATGGACTGAATTTCTTCGCTGGCCCCGAGAAAGAATCATAGAGAATACACTGGCGGCACAAGATCCGTTAGTTCGGACGCCGCGTTTTGGCGACCAAAACGTCGATAGCCGATTAAGCAGCATACCTCTCTCACGTGAACTATCATTCCAACAAACTGGTACTGGAGTGCCGATACCTCAACCTCCACCGTATAATGTTGCGAATGGTCAGGGTAGCGCTCAAGGTAGTACCACCAATCACCCTAGCCCATACAATACTGGCAGTAACGTCCACAGTCCATTCAGCCAAGACCCACCAACAGGTTGACTGGATACGGACTGTACCAAGTTGGCTCGAGGCTAGAGAAAGACTGCAGTCTACTGGATGTTGCGGTTTCTCGAGTGAGACGAACACTTTCCATTCAATACGAGTCCAAGTAGACGGATGGCTCATGTCTGCAACAAAGAGATGTGGTTCATAGGTAGCTCTGGCTCACGTTGAGGACACCACTGAGGACATTCTATTCGACGATGTACGATACACTGACCCAACTCAAGCTATTGCTTTGTACAAAGGCCCTGAAGGACAAGAGTGCATGAATATCGGGCACCATCGTCCACCAGCCTGATCAAATCTGTGCCACTCAAACAACAGCCAGGCCGAGAGGACCAGAATCATCACCAAAACTAGCACCATCGTCTCAACCCTTTTACCAGCCATGCTACCTCTTCTTTTACCCGGCACCACAAAGTTAGCCTCTATGACAGTCTTGACAAGATCTGTTGCCGGCTTCTCCACAAAATCCATAACCACAACTCCGAACCTTTGAGGCTCGTCCACATCATCTAGTCTCTGCTTGAGGAAGTTGCACAATCGCAGGTTTATCCCCTCAACCCATCTGAACACCGAGTATCCGCCTATCGCAATGTCTTTGGGTGGGATTTGGTAGTAGATGTTGAATTCAAAGGCAGAGCTGAAGTTGATGTACCAATGCCAGGGCTCTGTATCGCGAGATGCGCGCATGAGCATGCTTGCTACATCGCCGCCTTTCTTGGCTACCAGCGAAGATAGGTTTTCGGGCGTAGAGAAGGAGTAGTGATCTTGGATTGTGAGATGCACGCCTACGCGGGTGCGAACCGTAAATGGTAGAGGTGGGTTATCAGGCCATCTGGTGACATCGATGCCGGTAGTGAATTGTTGATGTTGGAAAGTCGAGAAACGACGGAGTAATTGTATGCGTCCGCGTAGTTCGCCTAAAGTGGGTGTTGTAGTTTCCAAGCGCCAGTATTTGGAGTGCTCGTGCATGAGATTCAGGACTAGTTGAGAGAAAGGCCGTGTTGAGGACTCGTCTTTGCGGTCTTGCTTTAATTGGATGATGATAGCTTCCTTGGGGTGTTTCTCTAGGAAAGTGTACATTGAGACGAGGAGATCAGAGAATTTGAGACCCAGGACTGCTCTGCCGTGGACCATCTGGACCTCGTCTTTGATGATGCCGCACCGAAGATCAAAGTATCTGATTCCAGCATCGAGTTGTTGCGCGGTGGTTAGCGTCTGAGTTGCGACAAATGGCCAAGTACTCATGAACGCAGCACTATCGTGGGTTCCTGGAATTGAGAGACCCGAGATCGGCATGTCGTCTGGAAGAAAGCACATCCAGTCTGCTAGATGTGGAAGAGCTCCTTCTTTTCGGGTTGGAGGTGCGTGGTAGAGCTCGCCCTTTTCGGCAATGCTGCCGTAGTTTGTGGAGTTGTCCATCGCCACGAGCTGCGCTGTGTAAATGCTGGGTGATTGGAGCACTTTGGGATTCAACTCGCGTTCAATGCTGTTTTGGGCAAGCGTGGTGTTCTCGAAGTTCCACAGTGTCAGCCGCAGTCAACGATCAACGATACCAATCCAGTCAATAGCATATGCGAAGGCTTTGATGTGTTGCTCTCTCGATATTTAGGAGATGTCGTTGTTATCGCAAGCATGATTCAGTGACACATAGCTAGTGGTGTTTGAGATATATTGTCTCGAGTCGTGGGAGGAGTGCGGTATCTGGCAGGTCTTAGCAATGAAGAACCAGTCCTTGTCTCGATGCTACGTCTGATCTCTACGCCTTCTGCGGTTGCAAGGAACATGGCCTGAAGTGGTTGTTACTTGGCGAGGTGATCATTACATGTTGGCATACGACCGATATCTCCGTGTGGCGGTGTGGAGCCCTTGTGGAAGAATTGTGAAAGCTTGTGCATGCATAGTATCACCTGGCGGCGGTCAACATCGTGTCCTGAAGTTACCTACCTCGTCCTTCGACATGATGGATGCGATAGAGATATAGAACAGTCTTCCTGAAGTGTAAGTATGAAGCCACTTGTTAAGCACTCGTGGCAGCTTCTAGCATGCTTCTCTACGTGCATTTGAGTTTTATCAGTGGCATGAGAGAATTAACCTTGAACTGACCTCAGCTCTTTCCTTCCGTGTCTCGTCTCTTCGTCTCATCTATGAACAATTCGCCGAACGGAATATGCGGGCCTCATCTCCAAGGCGTACATGCCAAGATCCATCGCGATGCTACCAGATCAAGACTGCACCACAATACAGCTTGTCCTTCAATGATGTGCACCAGATTATGGAAATGCATCGACTAGGGATTCCCTGCGACGCAACACTTCGAAACTTTTCATTACAGACAGACTGGAACGTCCACCCTCCACAATATGGATTATCAGCTGTGAACATCCCACAAATCACGCAGTGCAGAGTCGAACCACGGATCATAAATGGCAACCTGATGATACAGACAAAACAGCACATGTTCATCAATCAGATGATGTATGACTCACTGGAAACCTGTGGAAGACACTACACGATTGGTGAAACTGTCGGGCGCACACTGTTAGTGTGTCAGGATCAGGGCAAATCTAGCTATATTGAACGACGCGTGGATAAGGCTGTGGCCAAGCTGGTAGAGAGGCACCTCCAGGAATCTTCAGGCTTAGCATTTGACGGCACAGTGAAATGTCGGTGTTGTCTTTCCGAGTTCACACTGGCAATATACAACCACCCCAATCAAGGATTTGAGATTGTACTAACGACTTGGGTCAACTTGGGTTCATGCGAGAGGGATGACACAATAGGCTGGTATCTAGCAACCTCGAAAGCCCTGGACAGTATCGTGCTCAATGCAACCGCTCTCGACGAGTACCGGAATCACCTAGGTTATCCAAGTGACCACGAAGCTGGACTATCAGCATTCTCCCACGGTGCTCAGGTCGACAAAAGAAAGCGTTCCATCTCTTCATCGTATCGGGAAGAGTTGATAGATTTGGCCTACACACCATTCATCTGCTCGGCTCTGGTGTACTGTTCCATCATCGGCGTATTCAGGATCTTCATTCGAATCTTGAGATATTCGGTTGGCTTGTGTCGGGGTGGTCCCAGAAACAAGAAACTTCCCAGAATTCCTCGATTGAACCCGCATACTCTTCTAAATCCTGCAGATGACGATCTCATCTTGTTTCTACACGACTCAACCATCCCGGAGCATATCATCGAATCTGCATTTGCGCGCCCCTTGCGAACGAATACTAAGAACCATCCGTCTCGAGAGGTTACTGAATCTCCTGTGACCCAGCAGCATAATGGACACATTACTGCGGTCGATTATCGCGATGCTCTACCAGCTTATGAACCGTAGCAAACACTACAGTTCAGTGATGAGTAGGAAACACGCGTGTCCAAGAGACCGCTACATGCATTGGTGTATACAAATCTATATATACTCTGCACATATGCAACCGCTTTGTATGCTGACTGCCTCTAGACTGTTTCCACCCAGTACTTCCTATGTGTGATATGAAGATGTGACATAGGCTATCGCTCCATGGCATCTGCAGCTAGCACACCCCACGCCATAATCGGATTATCCTCATCCACAACGACTCCAGCTCAGAATATCTTTGTGCAACCCTTGCTCATTTCGATCCATAGGTCCCTTCACAATCTGAGATCACATTGCCGGTCGCCCTCTTCTCCTTATGTCTGCTTCTTTCTGCGCTAGCAAGTCTGAGAAGAGCATGTTCGCTGATATATGTGTGTAGGAGGAGGCCAATGCTCGGCGGATACGGTAGACGATTGGGCGTGCAACTGAAGGCAGTGGATCGCTGTTGAAGACATGAACCGAGTGGCGGATGCAGGCTGACAAGTTACGCTCGCTATCTCGAGGGTCGTTCTCAATGATCCGGAAGATTGACGAAGTGTAGGTAGACGAAGGGTGTAGTCACTGATGCCCCTGAGGCATTTCGGGTTTACGTTGTGTGCCAGTTCTGGGTTTGTAGGTGCGACGGGCATTTGTTAACTCGTCCAAATGCGGTTCGTTCGTGACATCAGTCCCGTCTGCTGTTGTCAGTTGGTTAGTAGTCGGAGCAGGAATTGCCCGTCACGGGCCCGGGCGTCGAGCCCGACAGGTATGTTGTCTGAAGCTTCGCGTTCTTCCTTCCTTCTCTCACGCGCAGCGCGAAACTCGAATTGGTATGTCAAAGGCTAAACACGAAGGGTGGACATATCGCTGACTTTCAACAGAAAGATTCAACAAGTGTACGCGCATGATGCTCATTGTGCTTGTTCCAGGCGGTACTGACAGTCCTGCTTGTTTAGAAGTCTAGCAGCTGAGCGTCTAAGATCACTACTAACTCTTCTCAGCAAGATGGTGTCCCTCAGTGTAGCACGTAAGTATAATACCTCTCTGCACCTCTTCAACACTCCCCGTACTGATCGAGACCTGATTCATGTTCTTGGTCCCGACTACACGCGTCAACACTCAACCTTGCATCATATGTACTTCTTCGTCTACCGAATGTGTTTTTCTCAGGTAGATTGCACGGAGTTCGCATCAGCTGTCGTGCAGATATGCTCCTCAGATCGGCGATCACCTTCAACCCATCTCGCAATACAACGAGACTGAAACCCGTGCTGACATGTGTTACAGAAGCTTCGGCTTCCACTATCGCTGGCGTGGTGATATCCATCATCTCCATGCTCCTCACGCTTCGCTAGAAGCGCGCCTGGGGATGGCTCAAACGACTCTACGACGGTGAGGGTGGAGGCAGACCGGGCGATGTACCAGCTCCGAACACGGGAATGGACGGTACGGCTGACGCTGCTGTCACGGCAGCAAACAACCTGATCCGCGAAGCCGCAGAGGGTGGAGTGAGGGCTGTCAATGCTGCCGTCGATGGCGCAATCGTTAGATTGCAGGCGTCGGTAACGGCCTCCATCGACGCAAGTAACGAACTGAATGCATCGTGCCGGCGAGCCAATGAAGCCTGGGCTAAGGCAGAGCAAAAGATGACTACTCTCCGCCAGGAGAGGATGAACTTCGAACTCGAGCTCAAGCAGACCGCTCAAAGTCTCGTTGATGCCTTACAACAAGCTCCCGAACCTTCTTCATCTTGCACAGTTAGCTAATACTGAGTAGTTCCGGCTTAGTGGGTGGTCCGCCACTTACTGAGCCGGCCCCCGTAGGTGGCTGAGAGGGGCACCTTCAAGAGCTCGCGCCTCAACGATGGCGAAGGTGTCTAGTAGTCTTCTTGGACGAAGCTAAGCGAGCTCAGTCGACAAACGCTATCCCCTCACGAGCCAGGCCGAAGAGTTGTTGATAGTTGAGACAGCCCAGACATGTATGCCAAGTTCTCAGTCCTCTCCTCTTGCGATCACCATTGTATTTACAGATAACACGGAGCTATGGTTGAGTCATGTACATGCACACCCGTTCTAATAAAGTGATGTAAAATATAGTGTTATTGCTATAGGGTAAAGTGGAAAAGTTATGGTGGGGCATCAAGTTGTAAAGGTCAATCTCAAACGCCGATGATATGCAAGAGAAACTCGGGGAAAAAGGGAGAAGAGAACGAAAGAAGAAGGAGCGCTCTAGTTTCTATCCAACCTGCGTCTCAAGTTTCTCGTGCGCTTCATCAGCTTCTTGTACTTGTGCTTCTTCATCTTCAACTTGCGCTGTCTCTTGACAGAAATGGCGTGCATTTCTCCCTTGCTGTTCTCGCCTTCCAAGATGGAGATGTCGCTTCTATGTTGTTCGAGCTCTTTCTCCATAAAGTTCAGCTCGCGGTTTCGCAGGCGATCCTTGAATGGGGTGGTTGAGGTGGATGATGGGGCTTCTTTGATGGCAGCGGGCTCTGGAGGGGTGGCCGAGGCAGTGTAGAAGGTGACGCCGTCCGAACGCTTGTTCTCTGTGACGGTAATGGTGGTCTTGAAGTGTTTCTGGCTGACAGTGGGAGCAGGAGCAGCACGGACTTTGCGCTGTTGCTGCTCAATGTTGACAGGAGAAGGTGGCGGAGGGGCAGTGAAAGGCTTCAGCTGTGCAACCAAATCCTCGAGCGATCTTGAGCGAGGCACACCGTCGAGATGCTTGATATCTGAGTTGGATGCCGACTCTTGAATAATCTCCCAACCCAGATCCGAGTCTCTTTGTTGGCTCTCGATGTTGTTGATGGCGTTGGAGAGAGTAAAAATGACGTCCCCGTTTGTCTTCTGTTGTTTTGACTTGGGCTCAAAGATGGTGTTGAAGGCTGTCATGTCGGCAGCGGGCGGAATGGCAGAGCCCAGGCTGAGTGGGCGGTGGAGACTGAAGAATGACGAGAGGGTGATATCTGCAAGCAAAGGTCAGAGGGGTTTTCCGATCTTCCTTCATGGTTCAATACACACCCTGAGGGAGGATGTGCTCGGTCGAAGGCACGCTAGGCAGGTTGGCGAAAGTCTCATCTTTTGCGGCCTTCAGGTTGCGACTGGCCGAGTTTGACTTGTGATTGGTAGAAGAGCGCGACTTTGCCGGGCGCGAGGAAGGTAAATCTGGCTTGGTCGCAGCAGCAGGCTGGCGAGAGCGGTTCGAATCACCGTTGGGCGGGCATGAAGCCTTGCTTGACGAGAGTCGGCGTTGGCGCGAAAGAAGAGTTGGGCAAGCGGCTGACGAGACGCGGTTGGCGACTGCGCAAGTGGATGTAGAGATGCTGGCCGACTGGGAGCCGACACGGGCGGCGCGACCCAGCTGCGACGAGAACATGGTGGCAGTTGTGTGAATAACCGGTATACAGCAGCAGCGAGCTTGAGTGTGATAAGGCCCTGCGACGCAACTTGTCACAGCTGCAAACAAAGCAAACACGCCCAAATCCGTCCATGTCTTGACCGCTCCTCCTCCGTTTCCGCACCTTATCACCATGACCACCTGACGTGCCTGCCTGTATTACCCGCGTCTCACACTGAATTCGTCCTTTCTCTGAACGGGTTATATCGTTAAATTGCATTAATCATAAAATAGTCATGTCCCTACACAGCCTTTTCTGTGTGCAACGCTACTGCTTTCTCGTCTCCGTCATGAAACGATTCATCAAAGCTCTCCGTCGACACCTTTGCTGATCCACACTTGTACCAAGGTCTCTGGAACAGCTCGTCCATGCGCTCCATTGGGATGCCCTTGGTCTCGGGAGCCCACAAGCCAAGAATAACAAGTCCACTAGCGCAGATGCAAGCCCAGAACGTGTATGCACCCCACTTGTCAAGCGCTTCTAACATCAGTGGTGTGACGCGAACTACTGCAAATTGGAAGAACCAATGTGCCGCCATCACTATAGCATAACACAGGGAGCGGACTCTTGTTGGGAACAACTCAGTGCCGTAAATGTACGGAACTGTGCACAGTCCGATCGACCAACCGATGGCATAGATGAACACACTTGCTACTGCTGCGTTCGAGGCTGACTGATTGGTGTCTGGGATGGCCCCGAAGTAGATGGCCATATAGATGTGTGTGGCACATTGCAGAGACAAGCCTGTCATGAAGCATCGTCTACGACCAAGCAAGTCGATCAGACCCCACGCAAAGATCATGGTGAATAACAGCTTGACGAGACCATAGGCTCCCGATGTTATCAGCGAAGTATTTGATCCCGTGATTCCTGCGTATTGGAAAATGTCCGAGATGTAGTAAGTGATGCCGTTACCGCCAGTCCACTGAGCGATGGTCTGCATAGCCAAGGCAAGCAGGAAACGGCTGCGAAGTGTTGGACTGTTGAAGACTTCGGTGGCAGTGGACTTCAACGAAGCGTTCTTCAACTCTGCAATTGTGGCACTGTCCATCTCGATACTAGCGTGCTCTGCCAGTAGCTCCGGGTTGTTGATCTCCATGCCTCTCAAGCGTGCAAGAGCTGCTACAGATTCTTCATGTCTTCCCTTCGAGGCTAACCACCGAGGGCTGTCAGGCATGAAGAACGAGCCGATGAAAGCAAGACCGACCGGAATCAGAGGAATCGACTGAACAAGACGGTACTGCATTCTGGTAGCGGCCAGGTGAAGGTTGGCTCCGTAGTTGACGAAGAAGCCTGTCAACAAATGTTAGTCAAACTTCGTTAAAACAGCACTGACAACATACCAAGAGAGAGGAACGACAATAACATAACCATGTAGATACTGACGATCATGCCTCGCGTCTTTGCAGGTGCGATCTCTGACAGGAAGAGTGGTGAGACAACAGTCAAAGCACCGGCTCCCAGTCCACTGAATATCCTGGAGAATAGAAGGAAGCCAAAGATGCCAGACGAGAAAACTTGCATGAGCAATCCACTTGCCCATACTAAGATGGAACATCGGAAGGACCAAAGTCTTCCGAGCTTGTCATTGCCAAAGAAGGCTATCAAGGCTCCAAAAGCAGCACCAAGCACTCCAAACGATGTGATGTTTGCAGTTCGATTGGCAAGGCCGGTCGGATCATGCTTCCAGTGTGCCTTGACGAGGTTGTAGTCCTGTTTGAAGGAAGGCAGAGTGACGCTGGCGCTGAAGCCTCCCTCATCGTAACCTTCGAATCGTGTCAACCTGAGTGACGGCAGATGTTCTGACTGTTTGCTTACCTTTGGGTATACCACCAGCAGCCAACACTAGAATGGCAAAGATGTAGAATGGCTGTATCTTCGAAGTCATGGCAGTTGACCTAGCTTTCTCAACCGTGCTTTACTAGTTCACGCCCGATGTCTGGAGGATTATGGGGAAGTCTTATATAACTGGCGAGGACGAGTCGTGCCTCCATGGGGTGGTGGACCACTCCGCTCAATCCAATTGTGTGGTTTATGGGGTCGTAGTGCCGTGGAGTCTTTTGGTGGCGTACAAAGCACGACCCGCCCTCGGTCAACTTCCGTGAGCGAATCCTCCTCGGACGTTAGCCGAACCTCAACCTCCCCTCGTTCCTTCCAAGACGATTTTCATACCTCATGTTGGCATGCCTGACTTGTGTCTCGCGCCAGTGCTGTCCGCTTGACATGAGGTCTCCACATAGCTGCTTCAGCATGTCTTATGCCTCACTTATAAGAAATGAGTGCCGTTTCTTCCGAAGGATGAGTATTAGTTCTATACATTGTCCCCCACTTGGTCCACTAGCATCATGAACTCAGTTGTTTCTACGGACTCTTCACATTCTAGCAACATGTTGATGCCTCTTGTCCGCTTTGCTCAGGCCTATCTGGCACCACAACCAAAAGTGGCTACCGCCATTCAAATCGATGTTGAGCCTACCGAAGAACTTGCGCGTGGTCAGTCGAGGCCAATGCTCACCGTTGCTCAGCGTATGCCAGTAGATTCATGGGACTCGCACATGCATGTCACAGATCCGGACTACCCATTAACAGAAGGAGCGGCGTATATTCCCTGTCTACATACCTTGGACGATGTTCGAAACTTTGAAGGGACAATTGGCATCCGCAACACAGTCTTTGTCCAACCTTCGATATATGGCAACGATAACTCATGTCTACTCGACGCTTTGCGAGTGGCTGGTCCTTCACACGGTCGTGGTGTGGTCGCCATAGACCCTGATATGCTGGACATTACTCAACTTCAGGAATGGCATAAGCTCGGCGTTCGTGGTGTCCGCCTCAACCTCAAATCGATCAATGCCACATACACAGAGAATTCCCTTACAACAATGCTTCAGAAGTATGCAGAGGCCATTCGAGGCTTCGGCTGGGTGCTCGAACTCTACATCGGCATGGAAGCAATGCCTATCCTGGAGAAGATCGTGCCCAGTCTCGGTGTCAGGATATCAATCGCACATTTTGGTGCACCCACATTGCCTAGTCCAGAGACCGCGAACTATCCACTCAACCCATACGATATTACCGGCTTCTCTTCACTGGTAAATCTAGTCCGAGCTGGTTCTACGTGGGTCAAACTATCTGCACCTTATCGATTTGACAAGGACACGCACTTCCGTGGTGTCGAAAGCATTGCTCGCGAATTGCTCAAGGTTGCTGGTGATCGCTGCATCTTTGCTTCCGATTGGCCTCACACGAGGCATGACGGTCTTGATATCAAACCTTTTGTTGAGACAGTCTTGGATTGGACAGACGAGGCCAACCTAACAAAGGAGGTGTTCAGTCTCAACGCGAAAGAGTTGTGGGATATTGACCAAAGGCGTGATAGTCAGGATCCACTGAAGTGTGATTGATACACGAGACAAACAGCATAGATGAGATAATATGAAACGCATATAGAGCATAGAAATTCACACTTGAACTATAGAACTTGTAAGCAATCAATCATATCAGTATCAAACTCGGTGAGGCACGCTGTCACCCCTGCTAATACCGGAAAACATACCAGTTCCCCTATCCTGATATTCCTACAACATGCTTCGGACAACTTCCGTCTCATGCCATAGATGCCAACGTTTCATCGCAAAGTGGATACAACGCAATCCCCCGCACTCCGTACCCGTCCCCACACTGGAGTCCGTGAGGGTGCAGATGATCATATACCGCTCGCTCGGCCAACTTCCGAAGAGTGGTTGGCGGTCAGATGCTACCCCAACAGAAGAAGCCTCGGGGATAGATTGGTATATATACACCAAAGTGGTTCCTTTCCACCGAGCAGCACCTCGGTCTGTATTCAGAAGAACCTCGGATCTCTGCAATGGACAAGAAACAATCCACCTCTACATTGACTAGTATCCTTGCGGGAGGACTAGCAGGAGCTAGTGAGACTGTAGTCACTGTAAGCCCTACCTCCCTCATATTACTTAAATCATTCTTAACATTCAATCCAACAGTACCCTGCTGAATTCGTCAAAACCCGCCGTCAACTCGAAGTCTCCCGCCTAGGACTAAAAACACCATCCTCACTTTCCATCCTCCGGTCTACAATCACAAACCATGGCATCAGCAATATCTACGCCGGTTGTCAAACCCTCGCTGCCTCCAATGCCATAAAATCCGGTGTACGGTTTTTCTCCTTCGAGACTTCAAAACGATACTTGGCTCGTCTATCCAACGGCACCAATACCACAATAGTAAACGTCACATCTGGGCTCTGTGCAGGAGTAACAGAAAGCGTCTTGGTCGTAACACCAGGAGAAAGTCTCAAGACCAGAGTAATCCACGATGCATCTTCAGGAGGAAATCTCGGTAAACAGTCTTTACCAAGGATTGTTTCAGAGGTAGTGAGGAGGGAAGGAGTGTTGAGTTTGTGGAAAGGATTGACGCCTGTACTTTGTAAACAAGCTACAAATTCGGCAGTGAGGTTCGCGACGTTCAATGCTATTAGAGATAGATTGAGGGCTGCTTGGCCGGAGAAGATGGCAGGGACGACGGCGACGTTGATGGCAGGGGCTGGAAGTGGTGTGTTGACTGTGTGAGTATTTCCAACACTGGCATGCATTTAAGAGATATTGACAAGGAAATAGGTATGCGAGCATGCCTTTCGACAATATCAAGACGAGGATGCAGAGTATAGGCAACAAGAACACTCGCATGACGAGTTGCGCTATTCACATGGCAAAGACGGAAGGTGTGAGGGTGTTTTGGAGAGCCACGACTCCTCGATTGGTCAGACTTACGCTGTCAAGCAGTATCACCTTCATGGTGTACGACTATGCAGTGGGTATTATGAACAGATTGACGGCGGATAGGAACCAGTTGCATGTTTCGAGTTCGAAGATCAAGCTATGAGCTATGAGATTTGCTATTATGAAATTCAAGGTCACGATTATACCCCGCTGAACTAGCTTCTTGGTAACAGAGTGAACGATGTGGAGACGTAAAGATCAGAAGCGGTCGGTATGACAAAAGATAGGACGAGATGCAGCGAGCTTGTGTGTTCATAAAGTTTTTTGTATCTATCTCTATCAATCGTGAACGCAGCAACGTCGAGTGTGCACCAGTCAGCTTACAGGACTTCCACCTTGCTCACAGCTTTGCAATCTGCGCGGCTCCCGGCATCTGCATCTGCGTCCCCTTTCCACTCAACCCCGTCTTGACCCGCACAGGTACTGGACTCGAAGTCCATACATCAGGATGATTCTTTCTCGCATCTTCAACCACAGCAACATATGCATCTCTCAATCTTTCAACATCGGCAAAGTCTACCTCTCTGCCGGCCCTAGCGTCCCAGTACAGCTCTTCAGTCTCAAACACCACTCTTCTCAACGCATCACGCTCCATGCGTAGGCGGTTTGGTAGTCCTTGGCCTTTCATCAGTGCCAACACCCCTGCCACGACTGTAGCGATAGCGCCTAGCGAAGCAACAGCCACATGATGACGATCGAGATTAGGCAGCGAGCCGAGTACGACAAAAACAGCCGAGATGCAGAGTTGAACGATCATGAGAAAGAAGATTGCAACATCGTACATGCGATAGTGACGTGATGCGCGACGCTCGGTCTTTAGAAGCTGGGCATAGAAGCCATGTGCAGATTCGAGGTGGCGAGGTGTTGTGTTGTTTGCCGTGGGAGCAGCCATTCCGAGCAGAGTATAGACATCTTGTTGAGAAAGAGGCTCGCTGTCTGCGTCTGTTTCATTGTTGTTTGGCGTTGGTTGAGGTGCGATGGGAATGGGATTTGGTTTTGAAGTGTCATTGTCAAAGTGACGGCGAGATGCAGCTGGATGCTTTGACAGTAGAGGATCAGTTTCTGTTGCGGCTTCTTCGTCCATGGCTTTTTCTTCGGAATTCTTGATGGGAGCGATTTGGTGTGGGAGATAAGAAGTGGAAAAGAAAAGCGGAAACATACCAATATAAGAGATGAGAAGGTCTGGCGCAGCCTGTTCAAGGAGTCACTCGAGATTGTGGGTGGATGATGAAGTTGAGCCTGATCAGAGTCATCGCCTCGTGATAGGCGGACACTGCCTCTCCAGGAGTGCAGGCTGGTCTGCAATTCTGTAGGCAACTCGTGCATGATGTTGTTTCTCCTTGGTCAGCTGTCGATGCAACACCCCTACTCTCGATTCTAGGCAGCTAGTTATCACAAGCCTTGACTCATCACCAACACAGACTCAACTTAGAACCATACAAGAAGGAAGTTTTTCACATAGTGTAGAGAAGAGTGAGAAAAGCTTTTATAGGCAAAGCTAAGACTTCACCGTCCTACGCTTACCTTGATGGGACTGCTCGAGGCTGACATACAGCTCTTCCCTCGTCTTTGTTGCTTCTTAATTATTCGGTCATGTGTCGTGATGAAGTCGCAAGCTGTGATTGGTCATGTGGACTCGAGCAGGCGCATGTTTATGCAGCGTGTGATCATCGCTAGAGCCACAGTATGTTCCGCCGTTTCAAGAAGGCATACAAGAACATTCGTGTGTACATTAAGAGGTTGGATGTTTAGATTGAGTGTGTTGCAGTAGGCTGGGTCTGTGTCGCGCTAGAGACGCGTCCCTTCACGTCACCCAAACCGAGCTCTTGCTCTTCCCCATCAATATCTTTCTTCAATCTTTGGGTTTGAATCAAGATTTGACCCGGACGATAAAGCACCTGAGGAACGTGAATTGCCATTGTAAAATGGTCCATGTGATACTAAGCTTTTTGACTGCCACCCTGAAAGCGAGAGAACACCCCAAATGACAAACAGCAAGACTAACCAGCAGTCCAGCCATGCCCACACCCAACTGTATAGCGAAAGTCCAAACCACTAGAACTCCTTCACACCAACGCTCATGTAAACTTTATAATGCAAAGCAACGTCACGCATTCAAGTCGAGATCAGAAGTCTCTGAACTCGACGAGCCAATACCCGATGATAGGCACGAAGGACATGCTACAGCCTCTCGTTATGGGCGGGCTGCTCATCATCACGGATGAGCATGCGCGCAACAGACCGTCTCGCAGCTTGATTGGAGAGCAACCTTGAACCACTAGGTGAGGTTGAACGTGATAGAGAAGGCGTCTCTACTCTACGCAACCGTCCGATTTGTGGCCTAGCGCTGGACGCATCGTCTGTGTTGCCAAAGTAGCGCATTGTTGAAGCAGCGACCTGGCGAGAGCGTTCACGAATGTCCGAGTCGAACTGAGAGGGACGACGTGGAGGTGCTTCGTCCCCGTTCTCGTCTCTGCTGTCGCCTTCATTATCTCCACCCTCTTCACTGGCACTGCTGTGGTGACGCATCCAACGAGCGTCTTCGGGCGACATGCGGCGAAGAAGCTGAATCTGAGCTCGACCCTCGGCAGTTTGCATGGCAAAATCATACAACAAAGCTTCGATAGCACGGCGATTGTAGTTACGGGACTCGTTTGCTGTAGAGCTGGAGTCCTCCGCCAACGCATCAGCTATTGTATCTTCTTGAGTATCTGTACGGGCAAATGAAGACGATGCCCCGTTCGAAGCGAAGCTAGAAGGCAGCGAGTCGTCGGGAGTGATGGTCGAGCCGATGATATGCCAGGCTTCCGTGATGGGAGAGGGACTGCGATTGCGATCGCCTAGACCATCTGCCGAAGATATTGGACGATGGGCAACGCTCAGGGGATGTGGTGATGCATGTGATGTGCGCAAGAGGACGATACGAGATGAAGCGACAGGCTCTGATGTGTCCAGAGGAGGAGATGGGAGGCTTGAAGAAACACCATTGCGTGATTGCGGACGGTCTCGCTCGAGAGGCGGAGGCAGAAAGCTGCTTGGTCGCGACCGTCGTCGACCTGAGTCGGATTGTTGTTGTGACGAGCTGTCGTCGTCGAGGTAGTATGCCAAATCAAAGTGACGGTCGCTGGAGATGTTTCGGCGAGGCGCTTCGGGCACAGGTGGTGGTTGGTTCACGCGATAGAAACTAGTTGGACGAGATGCACGCAGACGGCGAATGGGCGAGCGTGATAGGGCGGTGCTGTCGTTCTTAACTCGAGAGATGGCCGCTGGACTGTCACTGCTGCTGCTTCGTGTTTCCTCGGGATCGCGCCAGACTCTAGCAGGACTCGTCAGCAATCTGCTTGGTGGAACGCAGCTCGAATCTCATGATGAAGAAGCCCGCCTCCTCCATGTCTGACAGGCAATTGTGGAGACCATAGCAATACGCAAGCTATTCTGGACGACAAGCTCGACTGACAAAGCTAAGAGCAGAAGCATCTCATCAAGTTGTAGTGATCTAGCTTCGACTTATTTGCAGTATGGAAGCCGACAAAGATGCTTGTTGTCTGAAAATGCGGATTTGGGAGCTCACAACGAGGCACGAGCGAGCTTCAAGTGAAGCGCGTCCCAGCGCGTCGCCTTGATTGAGCCTCGAGATACGATTTCTAGCAGCACACTTACGGAAGACCCATGGTAACTTGTAACTTGGTCGCAAAGTTCGCGCGAATCTGGAGATACAATCTGATTCAATAAAAGATAGTGTGGCGTGTGTTGCGATGGAAAGGGACAATATGTTTGTGACGGGAGTGAGCTCCATCTCACTCCGCGTTCTGCTCGAGGGGTTCACGGCTGCGGCGCTAACTGTTTTCTCCGCCTTCCTTGGCGTCACATCTGACGTTCGCTAGACGCTTCTTCCAGAGGTTTAAATGTTCTTGAAGGCAGACATCCCCACGGTCGCTTTTCCATTTCCATCCACCAGCAGATTGTCTTCACATGATGATCCCAGGCCTGCATTGCCCAGGAAAGCCGGCTCCCAGTAGTAAAGACCAGCTCCGCCCTTGACACCAGCCACAATCTTTCCAACAGCCTCAATCCACTCCTCCTGTCCAGCCGACGAGAAGGGGATATAGGTGGCATCAGAAGGGAACTTGTACGCCGGCTTGCTGCATTTGGCAGGCCAGTTGGTCTCTGCAACAACCAATTGCTTGCCATACGTTGCTGCGAGTTGCTGTAGCGAGTACTTCAAGCTTCCAAGATATGCCTTCTCGTTGTAAAAGGGGTAGTAGCTAACACCCATCATGTCAAAGTCGGACGATTTTAGAGGTCCCTGACCAAGAATGTTCTTGTACCACCAGAGCTGGGTCCCAGAGTCCCAGCCATTGTCGAGGTGGATCATGATCTGCGGCTTCCTGGAGAGCTTGGAGTCCTTGATGGCAGAAGAAGCAGAATGAAGCAGGTCGGCAATGTTGTAGTAAGAGCTTGTACCTCCCAAAGGCCACAACAGACCAGCTCGGATCTCATTGCCGATCGATATAATGGCTGGGTTGATGCCTTCGGCTGCGTAGCGGTTGCATACTGCCAGCGTGTAGTTGTATACCGTCCATTTGAGTTGACCGATGGTGCTGTCATCCCACTTGGCAGGAGTCGTCTGATGCGACGGATCTGCCCAGGTATCCGAATAATGGAAATCAAGATAGACGCTCATGCCTTGGTTGACAACACGCTTGGACAGCTTGACATTATAGTCGAGGTTGTAGTTGCCGTCAGCAGGGTTGACCCAGACTCTTTGACGAACCGAGTTTGCTCCAGACTGCTTGAGAATGGCTAATCGTCTGGAATCAGCTCAAAAACCATCATTTTATGATGCATCTTGGACATACATTCAAGCGGTTGAGTGACTCCGGCACTCGTCTTGAAGGTCTTTCCCTGGTTCTCTAGCATGATGAGAGAGCTGATGTCAGCTCCTTTGTAGGTGAGTGCGCCATAAGCGACATTTGACAAGACTGCCGCAACAGCAAGGAGAGTCGATCGCAACATGATGCCTGCGGGATGGATCAACAAAGGTGAGAAAGGACCAAAACGAAAGGATAATTCACCACCTTATACCTTCTTGCTGAACGCTAGAGGTCATGCTTTGCGACTGCGTGATATCCTTAATATAAAGAGAAGCGACACTTGCTTGCTTGAGACAATCGGCTAAATCATCGTCTATAAGTATCGAGCCCTAAACCGACATCCTCAAAGCTTACTCTCCACTCTCCCGCGTTCCTCACGTCGAAAGCAGTTTTGTGGTCATTAGCTTGAAATGTCCTGAGTACATAAGTCCTACCTCTTCTATGGGTACTTGCTAAAAGTTTTGAACAAAGTTGACACTGAGGTATCCTGCCTACAAGACATGATGGCCATCGTAGAAGAAGAAGAGTAACGAGCTCAATATAGCACTTAGTTCTGCCTATTGGTGGAAGTCTGCAGTGGCTCGCGGGTGTGGCTCTGTCGATCCGGGGCACAACGTTTCAAGCGTCGACCTCGCTTGCAGCACGTTCTCCAACTGTCTCATATAGAGTTGTCTTGAGATTTCTGATCTATCGAAGGTCTAGGTGAGATTGTCTCGTGCATTGTTCAGATACAATAGACATTTGGAGCAAGGAAAGTAGTCGTAGTTGTCAAAGACTTGTTCATCAATTCATTCTAAAAAGTGGTATATGTACAACAAAAACAGACATTTTTCAACTCCTCAGCACTAAAGGCAAAGGCATTTACTCAATCTTGATGCCGACCTTGCCAAAGTGCTTCTGGTCCCACTGGAATTGGTAAGCCTCCTTGAGCTGATCGAGAGTGAAGATCTTCTCGTCGATAACAGGCTTGATGTTGTTGGCCTCAATGGCAGCGTTCATCTCCTCGAACTGCTGTCTGCTGCCGACGTAGATACCACGGACAGTGCAGATGTTGACGAGGGCATCGAGAAGACTGGGCTGCTTGTCATTGGTGCCGCCGATGAAACCAATGATGGAGATGACACCCTCGAGGCAGATGGCCTTGAGAGATTGCTGCAGAGTGTTGGGGCCACCGACCTCGATGATGTGGTTGACACCGACACCGCCGGTGATCTTCTTTGCGGTCTCACCCCAGTTGGGGTCCTCGCGGTAGTTGATAACGTGGTCGGCACCGAGAGCCTTGAGCTTCTCGCCCTTCTCCTTGGAAGAAGTGGTGGCGATGACACGGGCACCAGCAGCCTTGGCGAACTGGACGGCGAAGATAGAAACACCACCGGTACCCTGAGTAAGGACCCAGTTACCAGGGGTCAGTCTCTTGCCCTCAAGACCGTAGAGACCGTTCCAGGCAGTGAGACCAGCACAGGTCAGAGAAGCACCCTCGATGAAGTTAAGGTTGCTAGGAAGAGGGACAAGACCTTGCTCGTCGTAAACACCGTACTGCTGGAGAGATCCATCGATGACACCACCAGTTCCGGTAGCGATGGACTTGTTGTCAAGAGGACCTGCAAGGTGGCCCTGGTTGAATTGGGTAACGACCTTGTCACCAACCTTGAAGCGCTGCACCTTCTTGCCGACGGCCTCGACAACACCAGCACCGTCAGATCCGGGGACAACGTTGTCCTCCTGAGGGAAAGGGTAGCCACCAGCAGCAATGATCAAATCACGGTAGTTGAGCGAAGCACCGTGGACTGTAGATTCAATTAGTGCTGTGTTATATTTGCTTTATCGCAGTAAGACTTACACTTGACAAGAACATCCTTGTCACCAACCTCAGGGACAGGAGCTTCCTTGTTGAACTTCAAGTTGTCGAAAGATCCAGTACCCTGGACTCTCCACTGCTTTTGGGTTGAAGGTGCCATCGTGATGTTTGTGTGAGATTGGATGAGATTGCAGGTATGAGTATTGGTTAGGAATGTCAAATAAGAATGAGGAGCGAAAGTTCAATTGACAGGCACGATCGTAACTCTTTATATATCAATTGACGTGATCAATGAGGAAAATTGTAGAACACCATGACGTTCATAGCTTGCGCGGGGTGGAAACGTTAAGGCTTCTAGAACCGAGACTGGTTTGTAATCGTCGCTCCAAGTTCGGAGGACTCGAGAAGGGGGCCTTGATTACGAGCGCAAGAGGGATCACCTTTCATCTGCCGATAATGTTCGAAAAGCACCTTGATGATTGGCTATGCGCTGAACCAGGCGTATATGCAGCGTAGCGAGATGCGATGATAACGAGGTAGCAGTAAACTAGGGTTGTGGACGTGAACTGAGAGCAGATGTCAAAAAAGCTGACAGCAACTTTAACCGAAAAGCTTTCTCTCCGATGGACCGCACGTGTCGACCACTTCTACACATAACGGTTGCTAGGGGCCTGTTTGTTCACTGCGCCGAGATAACAGTCTTCTGAGAATGATTCTCGATTTCTAAGCATGTCTAGCAACTTCTCGACAGATGCCGGATCAAGCAAGGATATGATGAGGCCTAGCAAATTTCCTCCAGATTGGCCATAGCTTTCAGCGCTTCAGATCGCCAGCAACAACATTTCTTTTCAAGCAACCATCAATAGCCATGCTTACCTTCCTCAAGATCTTCTCTCCACCGAACAGAGCGCCAAAAAGTCTTAGCCTCTCGGTTTCGTCCATCATGACAAATGCGGGTAGACCGTAGAATTGCTTGGTCGAAGGGGTAGGCATAGGAATGGGTGCCTTCAGTTTGTTCAAAATTGCTTGAGCCGCAAATGCGTCCATGCCTGCTTTTCTGAGAAATAGCTCCCATGTGGTTTCATCTTGGATCAGATGTACTTCCGAATCATCGAGACCATATCGGATCATACTTGCAACGATCCAAGTCGCTAATGCAAGCTCGTCTCCAGGGATGTACATGACCTGGATATCATGACTTTGTGCTGCGCAGAAGTTGATGAGAGACACGAGTTCGCCAGACTCGCGGTTGTCCAATGGACGTTGTTGGTCGCTACTCTGATCTTCATGCACCATAATTATCAGGCGCTCATATCGACGCGCAAGTTGTACAATGCGTTCACGTATTACATTACGAACGACTTCGCCTGGCAAGCTTTTTTGCATGACTTTCTGCAAAGTAGTCAACATAATGCCGTGTCCAGGTGCGATGATAACATCCGCTTCGTCAGCTTCCGATGTCTGGGATGACAGACCACGTAGCATACGAGGTGACGTAAAGTCGCGTTCGATGTATTCACTCATGGCGTTGAGACGCTCAATCTCTTTCACTAGTTTTCGCCTCTCGAACATAGTTGACGATAACACGAAAGTTCGGGGCGGTACAGGTGTAGGCAAGGATGGGCGATGTATCGGCAAGCAGCTTGTAGCTTCTTTGAGATCGTCATGTCTTTCAACATGAGTATGGGGGCTATGGGTAGGCTTCTCGACATTCTTCAGTACAGCCTCAGTTTGAAGATCTGGTTTCTCTACGCACGTCTTCTTGCCAGTATAGGTTTGCATGAAGCGGTCCAGAGAATTGCTCACAGAGAACGTGCTAGGCGCTAGAGACTGTGTTGCTTTTGGATTCTCATGAGGCTTTGCAGAATCCTCATGAGTCTCATACGTCTTTGTTGGGGAGAAGAAGGGTAATCGAGTCTGCAAAGGCGCTGCGGACTTACGGCCCTCACTCTTGCTGGGCGCATTGATGTCCATTGCACTGCCCATCAGGTTGAGGTTCTTCAGAGCTACTGACATGTCCAGAGCCTTGATCTCTTCATCGTCGTCTTCGCAGGGGTCCAGGGTTCTCAGGCCTTCTAGTTTCCATCCGGATGTTGTGTCCTCGGGCTTCTCAGGGTTAAAGTCGCTCAGATAATCACATTCAATTTCTTCTTCGGGCAGATCATCCAAGTGCAAGTCGAAAGGCCGCCAACACGACATGGTGCCATCGATTCTGCCAACGTGAGGCCAGTGTTCACATGGTCTGATGGTTTCCCGCTTCAGCATGGATATCAGTTGCTGCTGAGCCTCCAGTTCTGTTTGACAGCCCAGTTGTTTGCGAGCAAAGGCCTTCCATGGAGGTAGAGGACCGCTCTCGTCAATGACGGGGACCTCTACTCTCAGAATCGAGTCCGCTTGCGACAACTGTTCCCCGTCGATAGCAAGTAGTGCAGACTTTGCACCAGGCTCGATGACTTGCTCGAGGAAATCCTGTACATCATCTGTGCCATTTGAATCCTCTAATGGGAACGGTCTGGCGTATTCAGGTATGCTAATGCATAGCTCGTCTGAAAAGGTGACCATCTTCAGTTTCTTCATTGGCGACGACTCAAGGACTGGTGACAGTGGTACTTCGACCTTGTAATCATCAGGTCGTCTACGTTTTAGTGGTGAGCGTGAGTAGTACTCGTCGGGAGCCTCAATGCCGAGCGCCGATATATCTGAGAGCCCGTCCAGGGAGAATTCATCGTCGACGTCCATGCTATCCTCGATCCTCTTTATCTCAGCTGGGACGGGATCAATGGGACTGGTCGCCAAAGGTATACGGCTGACAGGCGAATCTGGTACGCTGAATTGGAAGGGCGATGAACACGGCAAGAGTGGTGATGTGTGTCTTGCCTCCTCGTACTCCTTTCGTGTCTAGTCTTGTCAGATTTCGTCTTATCGAGAGAACACAAAACTCGCCTTCTTGTATGGTGGCACATCGAGGTCTTGCATCTCGAGCTCGTCGGGAAACGAGATGCATTGCTGCAAAAAGAGTATGTCGTTCTTGCCAAGTTGGAGTTTTTCTTGTTTGATTTGCTCCATTAGTGTTTCTGGCAGCTTGGAATCTGGCCAATGCAACGCTGCTCCTTCGTCATCTTGCCAAAAAGCCTCAGGTGGTATTTCTGGCGTATCTTTGCGTTGTCTTGAGTGTCGTGCTCGCATGAACCTTCGCTGCTCAAGCTCAGGGTCTGTCGGCAAAAGTAGCGGCTCGACTTTGTATTCAGTAGATCTACTTTTCCGTCGTGTGATTCCAGTAGATGGCACTTCCTCTACTGACGTGATCTGTCTGAGGAATAAAGCACTCTGGTGATCAATGGTCCATTTTTCGTCGAGATCGAGTTCTGTTGGAAGCTCAAATTCAGGGCGCTGAGCGAGTTCGAGATCCGGGTCTTCCCATTGCGGGATGGAGTGAAGAACGTCATGAGATAGAGGGTAGACAGAGGTGTAGTCCTTGCTCAGGCCGTGATATCTTGCGTAGTCGATGACTGAGATTTCTCCGTCGCCGACATGAGATAAGGTGTCACTAGTCTCGTCCATCATATCAGCGTATTCGGACTTCATGATAGTTGACGACGAGTCCATTGAATGTAAGATAGAGAACGATGTGCTGGAACCTTGTCAGGACGAGGCCGGGGAAGAAGATCTGTTGAAGCGCCGCAGTGCAAACGTGACGAGGAGGGAAGGTGCGATTGAAGCTACGAAAACCACGCGATTCAGCTCCTTCCTCGAAGGCAGCACCTAGACACCTGACGGCTCATTCTTTTCTCAGATGGCAAGAATTACTATGGCGACGCTGGCGAATCGAACCAACTAGTTTATTTCAATTGATATCGATCAGCGCTTGTATTGACTCGTACAAAAAAGAAAGCCTCGCTCACAAAGGCTAAGCAAGAATAAAAGATGTGAGGCTACACAAAAGGGGTATGACTACGTAGAGGCATCGAAATCAGGACGAACGCTAACGAAAACCAGGGTGACTTCTCACAGCGCAACATCATCGAACTCGCTCGGTGCTTTGCTTGATGGCTCCTCATCATGAGGTATACCGATAGCCTTGAGGTTGTTGACAGCAGTGGTTTCTGTAGACGCTCCATCTTGTTCTGCAGTAGCCTCCGGAACGGGAGAAGGTTCTTCAGCTGGTGCGGAGTTTATTGGCTCCTTGGTCACTGGCTCCGCAGGTTGATCTTCTACGCTGCTTGGAAGGTTTCGGAAAGGAAGATCAGAGATAGGCTTTTGTTGGACAGCATTAGACTGGGAGTCAGACTGTTCAGGTTCGGGCACAGGTTCTTCCTTGGGTGGTGTAGGAGGCGTGGTATCGGCAGAGTCATCCTTTGGTGGAGGTGCAGGAACCGAGTTAGGCTGAGAAGTAGGCATCTCTGGATTCTGGATTTGTTCGGGGGTAGGTGGTGTGTGTTCGATGCGCGGACTCGAGAGTGGTGGGTGAACTCTGAGTTGTTGTTGCTGAAGTTGGAGGTGTTGTTGCGAGGGCTGTGGCTGGAGGTTTGCTTGTGATTGCGTCGAAGGGCGTCGTGAGTCTTGGTTGACCTGGGGAGAAGGCAAGGGTTGGCTAGTAGGACCAATGTTCCGTAGCTTGGGGTCCGCATCGAGGTAGTAAGCGCGGACACCAACTATGCGCCCTTCGCGCTCGCAACCCTTCAGCCAGTCAGGAACAACGACGGGCACGTTCATGTCACCAGCCTTCTCCCATGCTTGACCACGACCTTCTGTACAAACGAAGTGAGTCGTGTCAATACGCAAGGTATCAATCATTTTTGCGCCGATGCGATCAACGGTGGCTTGCAGGTCGTCGCGCAATTGCTGAGGCATGATGCCAGGAGTGATGGTGATACCAGTCAGATCGGTCATCTTGTGAGTGCGGACAGTCAGGCGTTCGCTGGTGTATGTGCCGGCTGAAGTGCGCAGGACAAGGTGGAAGGTGTATTCGGTGTCGACAGCCAGGCCTGAGATCTTTGTGCTCAGCTTGTCGCGGGGGATGTTGCCAGCCTTGCTGCCATTGCGGTACAGGCTCAGACTACGCAACTCTGCTGTTGCCAATTGGACAGGATCCCATTCAAGTACGACCGAGGTTTGTGTGGCATTGCGACAGCGCAGAACGGGAGCAGAGGGAGAGTGGATGCCGAAGGTCGAGTAGATGTCTTCTTGGAGGGCTTCGAACTTTTGAACAGCCTTCTCTTCAGCTGTCTCGTTGCGTGCTACGTTGATGTCGACGATTGAGCCGGATGTGATGTCGGCGGGCAGCAGGATGGATGGAAACTCAATCTGTTGTGCGCATTAGTTAGTCGTTGGTCGAAGTCTCCTTTTAGGCCAGGACTATGTGCCCGTACCAATCGCTTATCCTCGGTGAGCAGGACGGCCACACCGGCGTCGACTTTGCCCACGGTCAATGACACGAGCATCTTTTGGTTACGTTGATTGTCGTCGACCGTCTGCTGCTCTATACCCGCGTGTTGATGTTTCGCTGGCCTTGAGCTGGAGAGAGGTCCAAGCGCGTTCCTTGGACCGCGTCGTCATCAGCTGCGCCGCATCTACGAGAGAGTCACGACCATCAACTTTACTCTCAACAACACGAGCATGGTCAACCATGATTTCCACCCCTTCCCGCGCCTACCCCTCGAACTTCGCGAAGAAATATGGCGCCTCTGCCTGCCGTATCGTGTGTACGAAATAGATCATCCTTGCGAAAGTATAGTCTACCGTGTCGACACGCTGGAAGAAGACAATATTCCCTGTCGGCTCTATCCAACTAGTAAGAGCAATCTTCGTCCGCCATTAATCACGCGAGTCTGCCGTGAGTCGCGCAGAGTCGCTTGTGCTACAGGAATATGGGTTTCAAGCCTCGAATGGCGAGGAGCAGGCAGTTTTGACAGGACGCGTGAACCGCGCGAAGCTGATTGGAAAACTGGCAACGTTATAGACCGCGGTCACTGGGAGGACACTCTCCGGGACTCTGCATGTCTGAATTGGACCCCAACCTATGATGTAGATTGGGGCCCTGTCAATCCCGAGGGCCACCCTTTGACTTCTTTGGCTCAGGAAGCGAAGCGTCTGAAGGGTACAGCATCTTTCATGCTGGACGCCATGAGAGACTCTTGGGAGCGGCATCCTGAAGGCACATCGATAACCCAACGCGAGCAGAACCTAGCGGCACTGAAGCTACTGCCAGAGTGGATGGTAGTTATGAAAGTAGTCGTTATACACCTCGATATTGGACGAGCTGCCGACAGCGGTCTGTTTGGGCTATTAGGAGATGAGATCATACAAGTGGTAGACGCCGCTCTGCCATTGGCTTCGCAGCTGTATGAGTTGGCCGAGTATTGTGAACGTGATGCCTCCATCACGACTGCCCAGGACTTTACTCGAACGTCTGCAAACGACATGGATGCCATGGTGAAGCGTAGAGCCTTCGAAATTTTCCATGATGATGAGGTAGGCAAGCGTCTGCGGCCAGCTATCATGTTTAGGCTGTGTACAGAGATGTGTAATCACATCAACACGCCGGGGGAGTAGCAAAATGTCTAGACCGGACATGGGGGAACGAGAGGAAGCCCCTGCTGCTGTATGTTTTGCATTTCTTTTGCCTGCTCACGACAAAGAGGCTTCTCCTCGCTACGATATTGCATTGAGCGAGGATGCGCGGGCTGCTTTGAGATCTTCCAATCCCTGTCTTGTGACTCCCCATACATCCACGAGCGAGGCTGTCTGATTCTCATTGTAGAAGTCAAGCAAAAGCGCTCGATAAGCGTTCCCTGATCATAGTCCGAGCACGTCCAGGCTGCGCACAAACAAATGTTGATATATGAACACTCAAGCGATGCATGATGCGGCTGGTACGCAATATGCTCGAGACTCACCACGGAAGCGCTCAGAGATGCCAACATACTAGCCTCAGAGGTACTCTGCCTATCAGCAGCACGATCGCCTCGGGCGTCGAACAGTCGAGCTGCACCCTCGCCATGTCCTGTCCGGCTCGGCGATTCTCACATCCTACGAGTGCCTCAGTGACGAGTCATCTGCTTCCAACATCCAGGCATTGTAAGTAGAACCTACTCCGTTCCCAGACAACAACACATCTTTGCCACTACTAAAGCCATGCCGACTTAACACCGATGATACGATCCCTGTCTCTCCTTATCGCTAAGCATTGCTATACGTTGATATATGCCCATCAGTCGTTACGCTCGTATTCGTAGATTCCATCGATTTCTCAACTCTGCTTCTAGGCTCAGACTCTAGAACATCTCAAAGTCAACGATAGAGCAGCCAACTCTATTCCCAAAGCTTTGAATCCGTGGAGCAGCGAGTTATCTCCATATGGTGTCTTGGTCTTTGAGACAGTTGATCCCTCTGGTGCAATGAGCGTATGAGGAGAATGCCTCGAACATAGCTAACATTCGTTATCGTTGGCCACCGCGTGGACTCCTATTCACATCACATTGGTTGCCAGTCAATGAAGATCTAGTCTTCCAAGAACGATGCGAATCAATATCGCGGACCTGTCTCCGAATAAGCATTGTTACATTTGAGTGTAATATGTCATCTTAAACCATATATGGTCAATGATAAGTTGATGGATGGCGACTGTCAATAATCTACTTGATCCTACCCATAGATTTTACTTGATCCTACCCAAAAGGCAAAGTCACACGTCATTAAGAATGCCATGTATAAGTGAGAAACATAGGTACAGGGAATCCTTCTTGACAACGTGGTTTTAACGTGCTGGACCAACGATTTGATCAACGGGATTAAGGGTGTGCTTTACGTGTTTGACATCTGCCACTTTCCTCGCTTCTAGACTACTTCGCGCCTGTTACATATTCTATCCTTTATACGTATTACATTACATTACATTCCTCCTTCCTTACTTTCCAGGCAACCACTCTTTGTCATTCTCGCAATCGCAAAGACCAGATGCGTTTATCGTAAACGAAGCCTCGGAAGTGTACCCAACGGCTTGCAAATATGCGAGACATTCGGATAGCAAACCGTTACAACGACAATTGAGCGCTTCTCGTTCCTTCCCATTCAACGGCCTCCCAAACCATAGAAACTTTATGCTGCCTTGCTGCTCAGGCAGAAGAATGCGAAAGCGCATGCAGCGGCCCGGTACGGTACGGTACGGACGGGTGTCTTTTGGACATAATGGGAAGGAGCATGGAGAAATGGGAAAATGGGAAAATGCGAGTCAGGACTTGGTTTAGTTGGATCTTGAACTCGACGTGGCTGATGCCACATCGTCACTGGTTGTTGTGGTGTAGCGAGATTTCCATGATATGGAGAGCACCGTAAGGGTCGTTGATCTCAAATCGCATGCTGGGGGAACCAGTGGTTGGGGTATGCTTTCGGAGGGCGCCGACGACATGGTGAGCCTGGTGCATAGCTTGTATGCTGAAGCTGTCCAAAGCATAGTGTTGTCGAATAATGCATGCGTAGACCAGATAATGAACAAGAATCAGGAGATGAAAGAGTTGCCCTGCAAAGGGCTAACCCATTTATTCTTCCCTTTACGCGCATTCTGCATCTCGACATATAGCGCAGGGTTGATTCCCTTCTTCTTGAGCTTGTGTATCTTCTCTACACTCAGACTTGAAGTATCAACTTCACTGCTCGTCCATTCGTTGCTGGACACGCTGCCACGATCGCTCATGGTCTCGCCTTGCCAAGGATTGACATGCTCGGACATCTGGTCAATAGATGTTCGTTTGATGATGCGAGGGACTCGCGCAGGGATGGTCGGTGGTCTGCTGGAAGCACTGCTTCCTGTGCCTGTAGATGCCCTGCTCGAGGCTGGCGAAAGAGCATTTTGTGAACTTGATTCCGAGCCTTGACGTGATGGTTGTTCCTGCATTGTAGGCATCGGTGTCTGTTGCTTCTCCTTGCCCTTGGATCGCGAAGTCACTAATTTCAGGGGATTCGTAAGAGGAGCTGACCACCGCTGTTGACGATTGGCTTCCTTTGCGGAGGCAGCATTGTTGCGCGGGTTCCAGCCTAGTTGACCATCGAAGGCAAAGTCTGCCACTGAACTAGTCTCACTGCCTGCAGAACTGTATCTCCGGTTGCTATCCGATCCAGAAGCTGAGTTGCTCTCATTGCGGTCAGTGGCGGTACTGGTGCGAACAGAATTTGATCCTTGGCTAGAAGCGTAGTCAAGGTATGGCTTGTAGATGAGCACGTTTGGTGCACCAGGCTCTGCTGAAACCTCTTTTCGTGCAACGCTTCTTGGTGGTACGCTGGACGGTGGAGCCACAACACTGTCGACTCTGGAGCTCTTTGTCTGATCCGAAGACTTTGTTCCTCTCGAACTCTCTGTGTCCATATGTGACAATTGATGTCTCCGTGTGAATATAGGAGGTGGTACGGCCTCGTCAAAGCTACTCGCCATCGAGCTAGTCGTGTTCATGCGCGCGAGCGGATGAGTACCCCGTCCTGGAGACGAAGGTGTACCATCGTTGACACTCTCTCTGAGATGATGCGGCAAGGCCTGTGAGTCTTTCCGGAATTGTTCTTTCGGAGACTTGGTACCAGGAGGTGTGGGAAAGTCTTCATATATGCTATCCCCTCTTGAAATATTCAATATACTGAAATCGTGGTTGAAGCCATTAGCGCCCCTAATCGCTGGTGGTGTAGCCTCATCAATGCTGTCCCTTGGCGATTGCATGTCTTGCAGATCTGCATACGTCTTGATCGGAGGTGGGATAGCCTCATCGATGCTGGCTCCTCCAATACTTGCTCCATCTACACTTTGCCGTGAATTGCCCCATGTGTATGCCCTAGGCGATGGTGCAGGTGTTTCAATACCATCATCATTTTCATCTCGATCTTTGGTTTTCTCTTGATGTTCATCATGATGCGTCTGAGCAGGTCCAAAAAGCGTCGGTCGATTGTTCGGATCGTACTCGGGCACAGGACCAGCCCTGCTGCCAAAGTTGTAGGAATTGGCCTCTACAGGACGTGGTCGCGAGAAGTTCGGCCGTGAGAAGTTGAGAGGAGAAGGCTTCAGCGACGGATTGGATGAGATCGTAGAGAACCCCGAGAAAGGCGTTGGTAACAATTCATTCGAGTATCGCGCTGGCACCAGCTCAGCACGCGGAGCTCTGGAGTCAGTACTATCATCCTCTTTAGACAAGTCCTCGCCAGATAGCTCTGCCGGTATAGAGTCATCAGGCAGTTCGGCTACTGGTGGAAGGTCACCGGGTAGTTCGTAGACTTGACCACTCTGCGACATTACGGAGTTGAGCAAGCGGTGTCAGCGGTTTGACATGGTCGTGTAGGATTGTCGACAAGCAGCTTTTCTTCTTCCTGATGTCCCTTGTGCGGTATCCATCAGCAGGACTTGCTGTGCTCTCCTACATCCATACACCATGTCGCACCCATGTCCGAAAGTGATGTCATCAAGATCTTGCTGCATCACCACATGCCCGACCAGCAGGGAGTAGGTAGGCCGAGCCGCACATCGATTCCTGGGTGCTGGTCACCTCACCTCGGGATACGCAACGCATACAAAATGTACAAACGGTTTAGTGCATCTGCTTGGGCTGCATCCTGCTGTGCTACCTTGTACCGCTTGGTGTGCCGCGACACATGGCGTCTTTGGGTGCGGTACTTGCGTCACCCTAGCTAGCCACTTCGAGCACCTGGCGGCATCCATGGCATTCTAGACAACACTGGCACTTGCACTACTCTTAAAATATGAGGCTTTGTGTGTTTGAAGGAGATGAAAAATATTGTTACAATTCTGTGGCTGCCTCGTAAGGTCGAGCTCGCGTGTCGCAAGTAAACAAAGTCAAAAATCAGCCGTCGGCTGCTGTCTTCGTACAAGACCCACAGCCGGCCTAGAAGCAAGCTCTCTGAATGTCCATCCGATCGTTGATTCGTCGATAAGGAATCACAAAACCTATGTTGCTAAGAAAAATGCCAAAAGTCCCATCATAGGAGTCATCCATGCTCCTTTAGTTTCTGAAAACTCCCCAGCGCCTAACCATGATTGTAAAGATTTTGATGCATTCGCTGCGTGACGTGAAACATGACGGTCATCGGGTTGGACTCTAGTTCATAAGAGATGTCCCCCTAACAGACCTCATGTGGTGTGGAGGTCGAAGCCTGGCTGGCTTCTTTTCCGTGATGGCTTCCAACCACTCAAGCGGCCCAGCTTCTTCCAGGCGCCGCTGTCTCTGTGAGTTTTGGGGCTCCCGCTGATGTCGCTCATTGGCGGTGTGACTGGTGGAGTCATTGGACATTCGTTTATCGGCGATCCACTGCTACCAGAGTCGTCGGTAAGTCCAGATCCTGTGTAGACGGCCTCAGATGCACTACTTGTTGTGCTGAGAGCAGCGGAGAGAGAAGCAGATGGTGCGGAGCTGGTAGGGCTAAGCTTGGTAGAGAAACGGTGACGAGAGAGAGCAGTAGTGAGAGCCGAAGGTGCAGATTTGCGGTTGTTCAGGGAAGGAGGAGAGTAGGAAGAAGCAGAGAATTCAACAGCGCTCGCACTAAGAGGAGGGGGGCTTCCTCTCGACGAGTGACGGCTACGGCGACCGAAACGGGATGATTTCTCGTCAGACGTCGTGGTCATGCTCTCGTTCGAGTTGTTTGAGTAGTAGGGGCTGACAGGTACAGGTGATTGGGGGTAAACACTGTTAAGGAACGGTACTAGGACTGACTCCTCCATCAACTCGTAAGTCTTGGAGACAGCTGGCTCGAGTACTGAAGGTTCCGGTGGTAGTGTGTTTGCAGGCACGTGTCCCAAGATGGGGTCACGAACTTGTGATGGTAGGTTTACTTCACGCGAGCCGTTGGGCTGGATGTAAGCTTCCATTAAACGAGTCCACAATTCCTTGACGTAGTTTGCGTCGTGTTCCGTTGGTTGACCAGGGACAGGAGCCTTGTTCATCATTCTGTGAAAGTGCTTCTTGTATCTGCCTGCATCCATGGTAAATTCCAGTGTCTCTAGGCAGTGGTTGTTGGAAAGATAGGCCATGAACGCAGCAAGAGTCCAGGGTGCGGGTGCTGTGTTTGCGAGGATTTCACGGAGGTTTGGTCGCCTAGGGCAGAAAGGTGCAGATTCCGAGGACATTGGCCGTGATTCTGATGTTGCTGAAGCAGGATCAGATGCAGCCATGTGGACGCTGACAGGGCGCTGTTGTTGTTGTTGCGGTGCCTCCTCGGCAGACATTGTGGCTTCGTCGTCGGCGTCGCAGTCGGTGGTAGATGAGTAGACGGCAATCTTTGCAGAGTGGGCAGAATCGGTTTGGAAATGTGATGGTTTGCGCGAGCTCATCACGCTGTTCCAGAAGCCGTTGCCGCTGCTCTTGCGACGGGTTCCAGCAGCGGAGTTGCTGTTGGTTGATTCTGTAGTCAGCGTGCCGACAGAGGCACGCTGGTGCTCAAATATAGGCGCCAGCTTGGGTGTTGGAGTGGAAGAGTCAATCTTCCACCGGTCTCTAGCTTGTCTTGTGCTGCAGTGGGTCAGAAGCGAAACATGAACCAGAAGCAAGGTGTGATCGTGGTTTCTAATGTTGTTGCTGCTTGTCGTGTCGGACGTCGAGTGTCGTGGTTACGCTTATGCACGGCGTGTCGCACAACTGGCTGACAGGGGAAATCTCTTGGTGACGGGCAGCTGCAGGAGTATATTGGAGCGCAGTGGATACAGGGGGCGACAACAGAGACAGTTGATAAAGTATGGCGTAGAATTTCAGTAAAACCAGTAGGCCGGTCGGAAGAAGAGAGCTGAGGATTTCGAGATTATGTCCGGGGAAAGAGCGAGCGACAGGCCTTGTATCGATGTAATTTTGTTCAGTCTTGTGAGTATTGAAAGAGTGAGTAACCAGCGGCCGAGTGGATTGGAGTCGTAGTTGTTGTCTAATGCGTGATCGACGAGCCACGGGCGGGGTTTTGCAGCGAGTGGACAAGAGGGAAATCGAAAAAGAAGGGAGGACGAGACGAGACCGGACGGGTGTGAGGTGATGTGGTGCGCTCTTGCAGAACGAGGGCGCGGAAGGTACTCCCTCTTTGGCAGGCGCTAACGGATTCAGCACCTTCCACGCTAGAAACTGGTAAGAACCAACTACGCCCGATCTGGCATGGCGCGGCGCACTAAGCTGCGCCGTCATGCACAGGCATTGGCTGCTGATTTCGTCTTGCCTGGCGCTTCTTTCGTGTGGGTTGGCGCAGTGATCCATTCCTTTGTTCCGCCATGCTGCACCCCACTGCACTTCACTGCACGCATGCTCTTGTCTTCTTTGATCCCCGAACGCCGTCTGAATTCTGTGTTTTGTTTGGCCCATTCCCAAAGAATGAGACATATGGACGCCCCAAGGGCCAAATCACCGAGGTGCGGGCCATCTCACCGCCAACGGCAGTCGTAAAACAAACTTCCATCCCATGACTGTCAATCTGCGGATTGTTTGAACTCTGTTGTTGCCTACGTCAATTTCCTTCTTCTCCGGTAGCTGTTTGGTTAGAGTAGGGCTGAGCCTCCTCACGGTTGCTCTGCTGTACGTCCGTACGGCGTAACACCCACCAAACATCCCGTCCCTCGAAGCTGTCGACGGTTGGCACGCCGCAAAGCTCGAGCACTTTCAAGACCCTTCACCGTTGCGCTGAATAAGAGAAGGGGGCATGTATCATGTCGATCGTTCCACGTCCCCAGCAGTGCCATTCGTTGACTCGTTGTTCCTTCGCTCATCCCAGTCGATCGTGTTCATGCTCGTGTTGTTTGGGAGTGGCTTTTTTGGCTGCAAGGCCGCGTGCCATTGGTCGGACTGCGCTCGAAACACGACCAAGTTTCGAAGCATTCTTCTAGAAGGGCACAAAGAGCCGAATGCTCAGTTCTACGTGCCACACGGGTAGGTAGCCATCTCCGTCATCATCACTCCCGAGCCGGCCCTTCTGTCGGCCCCCAGCAGTTTGGGAAATAATTTTTTTTTGTTCTCACTTCTGTCGCTGCCCCAGCAATTAATTGTTCCCTTGTGCATATTGACTTTTTCGTCAACGTAGGAACCACAGTTTGCTGTTGAGAACTTGTTTGCATGTCCTGCACAGCGCTGCAAGAGAAAAACCTTACACTCTCCGGAGCCCGGCTGATTGGACCTCAGCGTGGCGACCAGTTTGTGCAAACAGTATTATTACAACCAACGGCTGCGGAAGATGGCGACAGCCTGTCTCAGTCCATGTCTAACTCCCTTATCTTTATGCGTCCTTTTCCTCTTTTGCGAAGAATCCCTACATCACTGACCGCTGCGCATTACGTCCGTGGGTTGCTGATCTTGTGCTGGTCCCTTCATGTCGGGCCCGGGGGATGGCGGGCAGCAGCGGCGCCGCATCTCTTGCGCTGCAGCCGTTGAGTCTTGTCGTTTCTCCCTAAATTTCATGCAATCTGCTCCTGGATTATTCGGTGAAACGTGTGCGATATGTTTTGACAGGCGCCGGAGCAAACTTAGATGCTGTCTACCTTGGTACAAGGAGTCGAAGGATCCAAGGGGCGGCTTGCAGAAGATGCAGACTCTGCAGAGGTTGGCAAAGGACATCAAACGCCTGCCTCTAGCTTAACTTTCTGGTTTGCAGTATCGGAGACGGGAGCATGACTCCAATCTTCTTGTCCGTACCGGATCCGTACCCTCGTCGCATGCTCTCGAGTCTCGTGCCATCGACGACGATCTATTGGTGTGATTGGTTCGGCATAAGTCTCGTATGACTCGTCACCCGATACGCAAAGCCTCAAGACAACAACTGATCTGTGGTCCTTTGCATAGCCATGAGAAACGTGCTTCTTGACACATGGATAAGCTTTTCGTATCTTAAAACATCTCATGATCGTCGATGATGACTACTTGTCGCTGAAGCTGGGAAGGACAGGGAACAACTTCCAGATTCCCTACGAGTACGAACATGTGCCTGCGCCTCACCTCTGGATGGACACCCTCGAGCCTGAGGTTGTCTCCAGCGCTGCCGTCTCCAAATCCCAACCTGCTTCACCGAGCCTTGCTTGGACCTTCTGCCAGTCCTTCCTTACAGCCACAAGTGTGCTTTGTATCGCATCCATGGAATCCATCCCACCTTTGAACCCCTGCTTGTTCTGCCGCGCGAGAAGCAGGGCATGGTACCAGGCCTTCAACTGAGCCGTAGTGTCACTGCCCTTCTTCAACAAGATGCAGGTCGTGTCTGACGGGTGTTCCAGATAGACAATGTAGTTTTCTTCCTCGAACAGCTCCACAAGCTGCAGTAGTCGGCCATCCGGGATGTTAGTTGCTCTAGTCAGCCTGTCGGTCCTTCCCAAACGCTCCAACAATTCATAAGCGGGGACTCCTATTTTGCAGTAGCCCAAGCACTTGTCATCCGCATCACGCAATATTCCATCGTGCTCGAAGATTCGCTCCTTGGCTGAGACTTGCTTAGGGTTCAAGACGCGATCGTACTTGAGCAAATATGCAAAGACGATATTGGCGCGCTGACGATTTAGGGTGCGCATGCAGACCGACCTGACCGCCATGTAGTTTGTCGCAAGATGCAACGTCAGCAGCAACAACAATGTCGTCCAAGTAGCAAACGGCGTAGTGACGGTCTTGACAACAAGACACCCGACCAGCATGCCCAACAGTGAAATTACAGTTTCTTGACTGGAATCTTTCTAGAAGGAAGGCGCAAACCAGTACCAAGATTAGTGATTGTGCGCCAAGCAAGATTAAGTTCTTGTGTCGTTTCAAATATTGATATTCTCCGAAGAGTTATCTTGGGAGGAGTCGGGAGTTTTAAACTTACAGCATTGAGCTCTCCCAAATTTCCCCATCGAGCAAAGTGCGCACTGAGACTTGCTTTGGAACTCCCAGCAGCAACGCCGCATAGCGACCTCAAGACGCTGCCGCTCGCGAGTATCAGAACTCGCATCGGTTTCGGAAACACAGGCGACAAGCAATCGAGAACCATAGCAGCGTCATTGAAAATATCGGCCTACGCACGAAAGTACCAATTAGTCATGCAAGGGGATCTGTCGAGTCAAGCAGAACCACGTGAGAAAGGTCTCAGAGCATATTGAAAGGGCTCGTATAACATAAAACATCAACATACCAGCAATCGGTAGAGTTTGCATTCGGGCTCCAAGGAATTGCCGAAACGGTGAGCGAATCCGATCGTCGCAACCCTTCCCAAAGATTCTTGTAGTATGGAAAGTAAGAGTGCACCGGTAGCGGACGCCGAGGCATCACCTACGCCAACACCTATATCGTTCGTTCATTAGATTTTATGCTTCGATCTGGAGAGAAAACGCGTGTAGCGAAAGTGACGTTGATGGAGGCTCTCAGATCCGACGAAGCAAAGATCCGATAGCGATAATGATATGCAACGACTGACCTTCGAGCACTGCTCTATTCGCGAGGAGGCCAGCTATCGAGCTCGAAAAGGCTTGTAGCGAGTCCTGTCATGACATTCAATTAGGGCTGACGATCTCTTTACGGTCGTATGGTATTTGAGTACGCACGAAGATTTGATATCTGTAATGCTCAAAGTTAACGCTGTAGCCCTAACCCTGGTGAATGCTGCAACATACGGCAGATAGTCTTCAGTCACGCTTTGAGGATATCCGGATGGAAGGAAAACATCGAGGAGTGTCTTGAGCGATTTTTGAGAGCCCTTAGGTACCTGTGTTAGGTATGAGTGCGAGGACTGGATTGACTCGCTGTGATGAGTTATGATTCTGTCTATCCTCGCAGCGTTGCGTCCGCCAGTGCTCGTCTGAACGTATGTCGCTACGACATTTCCTGCCTCATCCGTCTCGATCAACTCGAGTGTTGGCTTGGACATTGTCGCGCGATAATGGGTTGTAATCAATAGTTCGAGCAGACCAAAGAACAAGTGACAGTGGAAGTACAGAGGCAAGCACACGAAAGCGGAGTCGGTTGTGGACAGGGTCGCCTCGAAGCTGGACATCAGAACCGATTCGTCTCGACAATATGCGAACACAATTACAACAGGCTAATTTACACTTCTACATGACTTTTACATTAATTCTTCTCAATAGTCTGCTTGATGACCTTGATTTGCTCCATGACCGAGCTCTTGCTGGTACCGCCCGAAGCGCTTCTCATCTCGACACTCTTTTGGTAGTCGAAGACCTCGAGAATGTCCTGCTCGAATCGCGAATCAACACCCTTCAGTTGCTCGAACGAAAGCTTGTCCATGGGTGTGCTCTTCTCCTCGGCAAGAGCGACCACTCTGCCAGAGATGTGGTGGGTCTCGCGGAACGGCACACCCTTACGGACGAGGTAGTCTGCAAGGTCGGTAGCCAGCATGTCGGGTGAAAGACTAGCCAGCATGTTCTTGGGTTGGATATTGAGGGTAGACAGGACACCAGTCGCGATCTGGATACTGTCTCCAACGGTTTTGACGTGGTCAAGCAGAGGCTCAACGCTCTCCTGCAGATCCTTGTTGTAGGTTGAAGGGATGCCCTTAATTGTCATCATCAGACCTGCCATTTGACCGTATGCTCTACCAGCCTTGCCGCGGATGAGCTCGAGCGAGTCAGGGTTCTTCTTCTGGGGCATGAGCGAACTGCCGGTCGAGTAGGCGTCTGCAAGTCTGACAAAGTTGAATTCGGCACTCGAGTAGATGATCAGGTCCTCGGCCCAGCGACTCAGATGCAGCATGAGCATGCTTCCCCATTGCATGGTCTCTACAACAAAGTCACGGTCGGCGACACCGGCCATGGAGTTGTAGATGAGAGTGTCGAAGCCCAACTCCTTGGCCATGGCATCACGGTCAATGCCAAAGGGATTTCCAGCCAAAGCACCACAGCCCAGAGGGCTGCGGTTTACACGCTGCTTGACCTCACGAAGTCTCTCGAGGTCGTTGGCGAAAGCCAGACCGTAGGAGAGCATCCAATGTGACCATCTGATGGGTTGTGCGCGCTGAAGATGGGTGTAGCCAGGCATGACGTGCTCAATCTCTTGCTCTGAGCGGCTAGCAATGACCTTGAGGAAATCAACGAGGAAAGACTCGATGTTGTCGAGCTGTTCACGCAGCCACATGCGCATGTCAACAGCGACCTGCTCGTTTCTGCTGCGGCCAGTGTGGAGCTTGCCAGCAATGTTCTTGCCGATAATCTCGCCCAGACGGCGCTCGTTGGCGGTGTGGATATCCTCGTCAACGCCAGGCTTGATGCTGAACTTGCCAGACTTCCATTCCTCTTCCACCTCTTTGAGACCTCGCTCAATCTCAGCAAACTCTTGGTCGTTCAAGATACCCTTGTTCTTGTTGGCACGGGCCCAGGCAATGGAGCCACGAATGTCTTGGGAGTAGAAAGCACGATCGTAGTAGATAGACTCGTTGTAGGCAGTCATGAGAGGGTCCTGGCCGCCTGTAGGATGTGTCAATTGCCTTGTCGATTGTCACGGTATGGAGCTATGAACTTACCAGTAAAGCGACCTCCCCAAAGCTTTTCGCTGCTAGGAGCACCTGCCATGTTTGTGGTGATATGGAGATTGAAGGAGCACAAAGTTAGATAAGATTGTAGTATCAAGAAAGAGAATTGACAGTCGAGAGGGTAAAAAAATGGTGGAGCTCATGGCTGCATACAGTCATAATTGCTCCTTCCTTATCGCGCTTATCGACGGTCCGATCTCGCCCACCGCAGCTTCCTCCGGAGTGCCCTCCCCACCTTTTGCATCTCCATCTTTCAGCATACGCCATTGGCACAATCTCAATAAGCTACCACCGCTCGCAGCCATGGAGAACATCTGGTACCACCGCAGAGTCGCCGACACGGCCGCAAAGGGCTGCATGATCTGCTACAAACCCTCGGCCAGCGTCCTCATCACTCCAGACAGCAAGGACTTCTTCTACATCTGCCCTTCACATCTCAAGGATCGCAATTTCGCCATTCCTACCGACGATGAAGCAAAAGCTATTGCCGACAGAAAGAAGAAGGAGGAACTGGATCGCGAGATCGAAGCTGTCAAGAAAGAGTACGATGAGAAGATGAAGAAGAAGCAGCAGAAAAAGGACAAGGCCAACGACAAGGACAAGGATAAAAAAGACAAGGACAAGGACAAAGAAAAGGATGACAAGGATGAGAAAGAGAGGGACGACAAGATCAAGGCTCTGACAGACAAGGCCGAGGGCTCCTCGTCCACATCCAAGCCAGGCGTCGACGATGGACCTCGAGTCTTTCAGCTGCAGAAACACTTCTACAACATGCGACTCGAGAAGAGGCGCAATGCCGAAGCTGCAAAGCGCAACCAAGAGCGCCTACGCAATCCCTCTCTGTTCCCCTCGGTCCCCACTGGCAATCCTTGAGACAAGCTGCCGCCTCTACTGATATCGACAAACCAACCACCCAATGCCGCATGCCCTGAGTCTACGGCACCTCGCAGCTGCAGCCTGCTCACCATAACAGTTCGAGCCACTTGACTGCTGAACGCACAGCCGGTCGTTGCTCTGGAACGTGAACGCCCTGTTGATCTCACAGCCACCACCACGTGCCAAGACCATGTCAGCACTAGGGCTGGGTGTCTGGCTGCATCTTCAGCCTTTGTCAGCATCTGATAACTACCCCGGCCAGCGCAGTACCGACGTTGCGGTACCCCAGATAAGCCTATCCATCCTTCGACTCTCTCGTTGCCATACAATGCAGAGCACTGGAGTCTTGTCCAAGGCTTGTTTCTCAGGGTGTGCTGGTCAGCAGACTTGGTGTCACACACTCTTCTGCAAGTGCTCGTACATATTTGTCACATGTCACCTCTTGCTTACGTTCTGTCCACCATGTTTGTTATTCGTACCTTTGTTGTCGGAGTCAAAGAGAGAAATAGACACAAGCTGACTCGTCCGTGGCCGAATCCAAGTTCTATGTCGGAGCAACAACCGGGGTCTTCCTGCACTCCACGAATCGCAAGAGAAACGCCACCACCGGACATGCTTGTCCTCGGACCATGAAGGATCTCCGTTACTCCTCTATCCTTGTTGACATGACCGGACTTTCTTATCACTTCCATGGCGTTCGAAGGACGTTGAGAGAAAAGGAGTCACTAGGATAAGATCAAAGACAACGAATGAAAACAACTCGATAGCCAAAATGGCCGTGTCATCTGAATATTTTGTTCCCCTAGAGCGCCTTGTGTTGAGTCAGGAAAGATGAATATCTACTGGTTGGTCTAGTAGCTCTCTTGTATCCATAGCCCTCCCTAAAGTCATGAAAGAATATTATTTTGGTCGTGATCAAAGAAAAGAAAAACAGAACTTCTTTTTTTGCCCATGCAAAAAGCCCACCCACATCCCGTATGATCTCAAGGGGATGGTAGCTTCCCCTGATTGCGGTCATTGCTGACCTTCTAAGCGTTGTGCCTTCTCTATGATTATTCGCATGCACGGCGAAATGATAGGTTCACTCGCATCTTGCTCTCCGTCTTGTCACAGCCATGCTTACAGCTAGAGCCACACCGTCAGCTCTTCTCAATTGTCACACCAGTCGTGCGTGAACATCGTCTCCTCTTTGCACTATACATGCAATGTCATGCTTCGTGCGGCATTTCTGCAATCACCTCTGGTTTGCCGCCCATGGGTGGCCCCGCCGTGTTCGCCATCCCCATCATAGGTATCGCCGGCTGCACGTTCCCAGCCATAGACATTGGTTGTGGTAGTGGTTCATCCCGCATGCACGTCGTCTCGAGCATGTTTGTCCATTTCCCGCTCGTGCCGGCGTGGCTGTGTTTGAGGTGTTGGCGGAAGTGATCGGCACGGTAGAACTTCTTTGCTTGATTGCACTCGCCGAATTTGTGTGTCCCAAGGACATGGTCGCGTCGCTGGTTCCAGTCTGGTGGATTGGGAAATTCATCGCCACAGTAGCCGCAGGTATCTGTTGCTCCATTTGTGGTAGGTGATGTGTGGAAAGCTGTCTCGATTGTGTTGAGAGCTGCACACGACCACGAATGACGCCGTAGATGTAGCGAGTTCTGATGCCGCTCCGCTTCGTTTTTGTTCTTAAAGCGGTTAGGACAGTAGAGGCAGGAGTATTGCTTCTCCATGTGATGGGCTCTGTTTGTACCTTGTCAGTAATTGCTTAGTCTACATTCAAAAGCATTCAAGACCGACCTCAGATCGTCTTCACTAGTAAACTTCTTTGGCTTCTTGGGACAACAGTCACAAATGAAGATGCCTTGCACACCAGGCAAGCTGTTGTGTCGTGATGGTGGCGCGCTATCAACAGGAGTCTGAAGAGGATTATGTATCGGTGTGTCGGACAGAGTACGAGTATACGGCGGCATTATCTGCTGAGGCGCGGGACTTTGGTTGTTCAGGGGCTTAGCATTCATGTAGCCCATGGCTCCAAGATCCGGATCGATTATTGCAGGAGACATCATGCCAGGCGAGACACGTCCAGAATAGCTCGTCGCACTGCTAGCGACAGATAGTGTGTAAGATGAAGCCAATGAGCCGTGGCGTGGGTTGTAGGATGAGGCAGAAGATATTGAGCCATGATGACTCGGCGCATACCTCGACGCCGAGATGGATGAATTACGATTAGGATATTGTTGTTGTTGTAAAGAACGACGAGTGTATAGGTCACCACCGCCCGGAGCGCTACTGATAGAGGAACGATCTTCGCGTAAAGAATCTCTATGCGGCGACGAAGCACGTCTCTTCATGCCTGGCTTTGCGCCAAGCTGGAACTCGTCGCGGTCATTAAGGTTCAGGTCCTTCATCTGGCCCTCCTCTGTAGAGAACTCCTCATTCAGGAACATAGACTGATCATAACTACCGCGATGCGACGAGCTGTCGTCAAACTGAAAACTCGAATGGCGCAATGCTGTCGGTCGGCTGTTCTCCGGATTGAAGTTGGGATTGCGGAATGGTCCGGGCGACACAGCACTGGATACAGACCACCTGAAGGTAGAGCTATCCACCGAGGGGTGACGTCTCTCAGAGTGAGAGGACGATGAGGTCGAAAGATGCCTGGCCGAGGTTTCTGCGCCTGATTCTGCTCCGGGCGACACGGTGCCTGAGGTTTCCGGGCCACCTGATAACGAAAGTCTATTTGGAGTATTCGGCCCGCCGATCTTTGAGAGCAGATTCCTATCGTAAGCTTGCGACGAAGTGCTGAGTGACCTCTGTTCCAGCTGTCGCTCACTTTGTAGTCTGTGGGATACTGTGTTAGTCTTTGCAATTGGGCATAACGGTGAAATGGTCTTGTCTCAAAAAGCCGAGGCGTCTGGCGGGTCGGGCTTGGAGCGTGGAGCGAGCAAAGCCGAACACACATCAACAATCAACAAACTAGTTGCACATTGACAGTCACAATGACGAGCAATTCAACCGTGTGCGTGATACGTGAAGGTTCAACTTGATCGCAGCTCTTATGCGACCGCCGTGACACGAAGAGAATGGCAGAATAACACACCTGTAGCCAGAGAGTTTCGAGTCTTCGTTGTCGCAAGGATCGATCATGGCCTCTGAATTGCGATGCGGCGGCGCGATGGTAGACATGGAGCTGCCTCTCCGGGAGGCATCTGCTTCATGATGTTGCGAGTGACTATCGCCTTGATCGAGCGTGTGCGACTTGTTGCCGCCCAGCAAGCTCGAGCCGGGCCTAACTGTGGCGGCCTTGCCAAAATCGGTCCAGTGCTGATCGACATATTCCTTGTTGAAGAAAACCCATTCTTTCTGCTGCGCTTGGGGCGTCAAGTCTTCGTACAGGTTGGCCGGCGGCGGCAAGGGCGGTGGCACCGAAGGAGAGTCTTGTGCGGCATGGGGGATTGACATCGGCGACGCCGGCGCATGCAGTGAATGCAGCGGCGAATGGCGGGAGGGCGGCGGCGGACTACAGTGGCGGTGGTCGTGAGAGTGTGAGTTGATGCGAATGGTAGGAGTTCCATCCATCGTGGACGGGCGCGCGCACAACTGGAAAGAGCGTTTCACCGCGGGCAACTTGGCAAAGCCGGTGCTGTAGTTAGGGCGTTGACAACTGCCGCTGGCTCAGAGAGAGGGGGCCGAGGGGCAGTTCAGAGCAAGCAGGCCAAGGCAGGGCAGGACAGGTACGGCGAGCAGAGACAATCTGAGCCAAAACACGGACACGCCTGTACAAGTAAGTGTCCGGGTAAGCTGATGCTACATAAAGAAAGGAGTCGAGGAAGCATCCACCCACTGCGGCGGATGGACGATTCGGACTCCTGCTTGGGCGTGTGCTTGATTCACGTCGCTCCCATCAGCCCTATGCAAAAACACTCTGTCCCAGGCGCTGCTCTCCGCCGCATCCTTGTCCAAGTCGTCCCTCCTTCACACCTCTTCAGGCACGCCAGCAGAAATCAGGCATCGCTTCTTGCCGATCTCTCAGACTGCTGTGCCTAGCTGCAAGACCACCCAGTCTGGAACGCGCCTGCTCCCCACTCTGCTGTCAGGGTCTCTGCACAAGACCGTAACCTTTCCGCGATGGCCTTCTGGAAATTCCATCGTGCGATGCGTTCGTACTCTGCCGTGTGTCACGCACCGCTCGCCCGTTCTCTCACGGTTCCCAGTTCGTGCGATTTACGTGCGTAAAGACATACATTTACTTAAAATGGCTTCGACTTTCTACTTTTCCAGCCGTTCTGTAGTCAGCAAAGTCCAAGCGCGAGCAAAAGGTGGCCGAATCTCCTCCAAACTTACTCCTTGGCACTATGGCTTCCACTGGTACGTACACCAAACGAACAGGTGCCTGCTAGAGCCCCGTTCTTATGTATGCACCTTTGCCGTTACATGTGCATGTTTCCACTTGACTATTGCTATGCCCCACGTTTTGGCTGTGGAATTCTATATTCCGAGGCACGATTGGTCCTATAGAAAAAGTCTCCTGTATTTGCTTAAAAGTGTGGGTGTACGTAGAAGAGGCTGTTCAGGACTAGCTACAGACAGACATTTCGCTAGTCGTCCTTAGAGTTGGAACGACCCTCGAGTCTTGTTGCCCAATCTGCTTGTCGTTAAGCTTGAACTCCTGTGGTTCTTCCTGTCACGTTGCCATGTAACCTCGACCCAGAGCCATGTTTCTACTCGTGGTCCCACGCCGCCTTATGCCCTACGGACTGACATTCAAGCCACTTAATCTATCCGGCAAAACACAAAAAGAACGACCCTTACAAGCTGATACCAACAGAATTTCTTCATGCTTTTGCGAACAGTGCTAGTAGCTGTCTGACCGCCGTGTTCGTCCAAGCGTGATAACAAAGCTTGTCCGATGGCTTGCATCGAGTTGTGGATTTTACTGTGGATAGTCATGTGTTTGGCTGGGCCAGACCTACTGTGCCACTGCTTAGGAGTGGAAAAAGCCGCTCACCCCTGAGAAGCAGTGACCAAGGGGTGTCGAAGGAAGGAAAAGAAGCGTGATTCGTGAAGGACAGTCGAGCAAGGACGGGAGTTTTCCGCTCGCAAAAGTGCGTGATGGAAGACAAGCATGCATACACCTAGCGGCGATGTCGGCTGGCAGAAAGTCGTGCACAGTCTTTATGAAATCAATGCTTTGTGCCAAGCAAAATTATGCACAACCCAACTTTGGACGATTCATCTTGTGGCGACGACCTGCTTGCTGTGGTCCGTTAAGAACAAAACTACCTGACTGAGTACAGTCGCCCTCTCAAATTCAATTTTTGCAACTTTCGTTGGACTCTCAGCATGTCTTTGCTCGACAAGGTTCCCGGCGACCTCAAGCTCTATATCGGAGGGTGAGTAAAATCTGATATTTCTTGTCGAATTCTCTTCATGGCAATAAGCAAAGAAAGAGCAATACACTTTCTCTTGGTTATTCTTGACCTATTGAGAACCAAAGAGATTGCAAGAAAGAAATCTGACGTTTTTCTCAGTATCTTTACTTTACGTCGCAAAGATCAACTCGCTGAGGCCGGCATCACGCATGTATTATCTGTGTTGAGGCTACCGCTAGAGGAGAAGCTGTTTGAAGGGTACAAGCATATGGTGGTCGAAGTCGACGATGTTGAAGATGAGAATCTGCTTGAGCACTTCCCAGCCGCTACCAAATTTATCGAGGATGGTCTTGCTTCTGGAGGTGCAGTTCTTGTACACTGGTAAGTAATCCTTAGATGTTCAGCTACCTGCATCTCAATATCCACAATTCAAAGGATGCGAAAGAGCGGAGTGCAGAGTTGTTCGCTGTTTAACGCGAATCTCGTATCGTTTGGCAGAGGCAGCAAGACTAACGAGCGACACATAGTGCAATGGGAAAATCACGATCTGCGACATGCGTCATTGCGTATTTGATGCAGAAATACCACATATCACCTTCCGAAGCTTTGGAACAAATACGACAGAGCAGACCGCTTTGTGAGCCTAACGAAGGATTTATGAAGCAGCTGGAACTCTATCATGAGATGCAGACACCCGAGAATGTGGAGGATACACCGACATATCAGCGTTGGATCTACCAGCGCGAGGTAGAAATGAGTCGCGCATGTGGGCAGGCACCAGAGGCAGAGAAGATTCGCTTCGAAGATGAGCATGTAGTAGCAAAAGACGAAAGTGGTTTTGACATGCGGTGTCGAAAGTGCAGGCAAGTCACGCATTCTTTGGCATCTTCGACCTGGAGTACTGACAGGATCGGTAGACACACCCTGGCAACTTCGCAATTCTTGATCCCGCACCAGGCTCAACGCGGTCCGGCTGATTCTTGTACGCACTACTTCCTAGACCCTCTATCCTGGATGAGACCGGAACTGGAGAAGGGGGAAGTGGAGGGCAGGTTGGAATGCCCCAATGCCAAATGCAAAGCCAACGTAGGCAAGTATGCATGGCAGGGCATGCGATGCAGTTGTGGAGAGTGGATAGTGCCGGCTATCAGTCTGTCAAAAGGCAGAATAGATGAGGCGAAGAAGCGGGTTGTTGATCCTAGCGCTATGGGCATTCGTATGCCGGCAACGGCTGTCCCAGTCCCAAGAGGTCCAGGACACAACAATCTCTAAGCCACGACCTTCTTAAGATGGGTATCTGTAGCAAAATGTCAAACCACGCAGCAATTGGAAAGCTAGATCTGAAGCAATTTGAGATCATGAGACCAAGGCTGGCAACGTGGTCAACCAAGAGTGCATGACGTTCATTCATGATACCCTTTCATCTTTTTAGGATACCTTGATGGTTCGGCTACTATTGAAGCTAGCGATATGTCTTTGTCAAAGAATCAATGGCAGATCTAAAAGTCATCGGTAACATGTATGAGTTGCTGCTGCAGAACAGCAGCTACTTTTTGGATCAAAGTATCGACTCACCGAATGTTTACTCTGCAGAGTAGAAGTCACCAAGCGCTTTGTGTTCTAAATTTGGCTTTGCTGCAGGAACAGACTCGTTGGGCGCATTGAGGCTCAAGCTGTTTTTCTGGGGAAGCTTGTCTGAGGGTCGCTGTTGTGTCTCGCCCAAAATCTCGACAAACACAACATTCCTGAAACCACGACCGCACTTATTTGAATTCGAGGTCATCCAGGTACAACCACTTGAACCTGACCTCTGAAGCCCTAAACAACACTTCTTTAACCAACATCGACCGAAATCAGCTCCCCACGAGTCTTGGTACAGCACAACTCTCCTCGATTGCTCTCACCTTTGAACACCATGTCTTCCGGTTCTCTCTTCTCGCCTGATCTCATCTCGTCTGATGTCGCCGCTGCCCTACCAGAGGGCTACACGATTCGTCCCTTGCAGAAGAATGACTACCACGCCGGCTTTTTAGACGTGCTTGCCGTCCTCACCACTGTCGGTGACGTCTCAGAACAAGATTTCAATGAACGCTTCGAAGAGATGAAGGCGTCTGGCACATTAGGGAGGGGTGCAGGTGGCTACCACATATTGGTCATTCTCAATGGCCAAAACAAGATTGTCGGCACTGGTGCCTTGATTGTTGAGAAGAAATTGTGAGTCTCGCACGGAAAGAGCACTGGAAGTGACACAAGGACATTGGCACTGACAATGCCGACAACAGTATTCACAGTTTGGGGCAGGTTGGTCACATTGAGGACATTGCTGTCGCAAAGGATCAACAGGGCAAGAAGCTTGGTCTCCGCATCATCCAGGCACTAGACCATGTTGCCGAGAAGGTTGGGTGCTACAAGGTTGGTCCTTCCGCCTGTGACAGTCTGGCTCACGTACTAGCATGCTGATAAATAATCTGCAGACCATCCTCGACTGCTCAGAGGCCAACGAGGGCTTCTATGTCAAGTGTGGCTTCAAGCGCGCCGGTCTAGAAATGGCTCACTACTACAACAGATCATAGATGAACAAAGTCTCGCATTTCCAAGATTTGGGCGTTTCAAAAGGGGAACAACACACATGGACATGTCAGGTAAGATTCTGACGAGCTATGATCGAGGCATCTCTTTCTTTACGATATAATGCATGTCACTTGACACATACAATTACACCACGACTTTACCAGAGATGACATTCCCTCAATTTGGCCAAGTCGGATCCCAAATTTGGGCCTGGCAGGATTGTTGCACCATGTGGACAGAGTCACCGCCGGGCTGCATTGTTCTCAGAAAGGACTGTTTGAGAAGTAATGCACCAATGCCTAGAGGGGGATGTTGCACGAAGAGAGTCGCACTGTTTGATAGGCGGAGCAGTCTACGACCCAACAGTCGCATGTAGAACATCGCATGCTTATTATTTGTGAAATCTTTTACTCAATCTCTTCGACACCATGTCAAGTCTGTCACTGTCCCTCAGGTCTAGATGTATGTCGGAGTCTGTCGGGAGAGGTTTGATGGACATAGAGTTCGAAGTTGGAGATTGACTCTGTTGTCCCGATGGACCGAGGAATTCGTTGATCAAAGCTGGGCACATGCGGCCGTGTCAGATCAGCGAATCTCACGCTGTGCTTCGACGAAACCTCTCAACTCTGCTGACAAAACAACAAGGAAACCAACACATCTTAATTCTTGGAATCTGTCCGACTCTGGTGACCAACAGATGGTGCATCTGTACCCGAATGAAAAAGAGTACAAAACGAAATTAGTCAACGAATCACCTTGGCCGGCCGTGGAAACGGCTTTCTATATCCATCGCTAGCGCGCCTTCTGGAGCGCCTCGTGGAAGGATCCTTATCTCTGGGACCTCGTTTGTACAGCCAACAATGCCATGTGCCTGCACCAACAGGTCATAGAAAGTCGGTAACCTCAAGCCGCCAGGTACGCACTAAGCCTGATCTTTCGACAGTCCCCAACGTTACAAAGGAAGACTCAGAGAGCCGAAACGCTGCCCTGGGAATGTATGCCTTGTCTCTGGTTTCCTTATCTCTTGGCGAGTGTATCCCACTGTAGGATGCCAGGCGATGAATCGATAGTCTTTGGAACACGGGATGAATCGTAGAGATATCGGAATCCTTTTGAATCACAATGTGGTGGGATAAATGAATCGTTGACCGGTAACGGGGTTGTGCATGAAGGTAGAAATACCCTGCAGGTCCGCTCAAGCATATCACCTTTCTAAGTTCTTATCCTTCTCATATTCGAACTCAATTTGAACTGCTTGCCTGTGAACTGGCAGTACTTGCTTCAGCTGCAACAAAATGTCGTCAGCAGTATGTCCACATACACAGCCAATGCCTTGAGCAATATACTAACATCTCATCAACAGCCCGTATACAACGCATCCGAGCCTTCTGGAGGCAACCCTCTAGAGGTCAACGTCAACGCTCAATATGCAGGCCTCGAGTTCAAGTAAGCCCAAGTCATCTGAGAGCAGTGTTCGCAACCACTAACCCATACACTAGCTATGTCTACCTCGTTGTCTGCGGTTTCCTCGTATACTTGATTATTCCTGGTATCGGCCTGCTCTATGGCGGTCTGGCACACAAGAAGAGCGGTCTGTCATTGCTCTTCCAGAGTATGATGGTGTGTGCCCTCGTCACCTTCCAATGGATGTTTTGGGGTTACAGTCTTGCCTTCTCCCGCACCGCTGGTCCCTTCATTGGTAACCTTGCCAACTTTGGATTGAAGAATGTCGTTGCTGCCCCATCACCTGGCAGTGCTGTTATCCCTGAAATCGTCTTCTGTCTCTACGAGCTTCTCTTCGCCGCTTGCACAGTTCAGATCGTCGTCGGTGGTGCCTTCGAGCGTGGTCGCATCCTTCCCTCACTCATCTTCGGTTTCTGCTGGTGCACCATTGTCTACTGTCCTATTGCCTGCTGGACATGGAATGCCAATGGCTGGCTTGCCAAGCTTCCCTCGCTCGACTACGCTGGTGGTGGTCCCGTCCACATTTCCAGTGGTTGGGCAGCTCTGGCTTACGCTATGGTTCTTGGTAAGCGCACATCCAAGGATCACCACACAACACACAAGCCTCACAACTCGACCTTGGTCTTCGTTGGCACCGTCCTGATTGTCTTCGGTTGGTTTGGTTTCAACGGTGGTAGTGCCCTCAACGCCTCTATTCGTGGTATGATGGCTGCCTTCAACACCCAGGTTGCTGCCTCTACTGGTGTAATTGGTTGGGTCATGGTCGATGCCATTCGCCACAAGGGACGTTTCTCCGTTGTTGGTGCTTGCGAGGGAGCCATTGCCGGTCTCGTTGGCATCACCCCTGCTGCTGGTTTCGTCAACCCTTGGCTCGGAGCTGTGATCGGATTCATCACCGCCGTTGTTTGTGCTCTTCTGCAAGACATCAACGAGTGGCTTCACATTGATGATGGTCTTTATGTCTTCAAGCTCCACGGTATTGGTGGTATCATGGGATCCTTCTTGACTGGTATCTTCGCCAACCAGTCGATCTCTGCTCTCGACGGCTCTTCTCTCTTCCCTGGTGCCTACAACGGTCACGGAATTCAGGTTGCTAAGCAGCTTGCCGAGATTGGCGCCATTTCTGCCTACTCATTCGTTGTCAGCTGGATCCTGCTCATGATCCTCAAGTACATTCCCGGCATGCACCTGCGTGTTGACAGGGAGGCTGAGATCAGGGGACTCGATCTCGACCAGTTCTTTGACGAAGAGATGGACAACTGGGATCTTAGCCCTGCTGGCCTTGATGTCATGAAGTCGGGCCCAACCGCCTTCACACACGGTGTTGCTCAGAGTCCTGAAGGAACCATGACTCCCAACGAGACCACGACTGTTTCTATGGGAAAGAGAGACTAGACTCAAGGAGTGCTTGATAACATGTTAGCTTTATTCTTTTCTTTTCTTTAGCCGAAAGTCCATATAGAATGATATACGGTCGTTGTTACCTCTACTTACGACTCTTAATGCAACCTCCCTACAATATGTATATCGCCATGTCAAAATATCTTGTATCTTATGGAATGATCATGAAAACTGAAGATTGGGGGCGACCCTGACATAAGCTTATCAGTTGGCCTGTGCGACGGGTTTGTTTACTACCCCACAAAGTGAGGCCGAAGACTTTCAGTCAAGTCCAGTTTTGCGACAACAACGACACAACAAGACAACGACAACGACCATGGCATACAGCGGACGCATGAGCATGGCGCCGCGAGGCTCCCAGCAACCTTCAAGTCAGCCTCGTGTTCGCAAGGAAGACAATGAGGATGCTTTCATGACACTGGTGAGTCTTGCCTTTTCTGCCCGACAGTCGACGAACACTGCTAACGAGTCTGTGTTTACAGCCCGATCGCGAGATTGCGGGATGCATCAGCGACATTGGCATCCCCTTCACCATCCAAGACTTGCAAAAGCCCAATCCACAGCAGATCCAAAAAGTCTTCGAATGGCTGGCCGAGCTGTTGATGAACACGACGCGCGAAGTTGTCGCGCCTGCCATGAAGGCTGCAGCAGACGACTTGTGCGGCGACGACCCGGACAGAATCTTCACAGCCGACACCCGCGACCTCATGGGTTTCTTTGTCACTTTGCGCCGTCTGCTACTCGAGTGTGGCATCAAGGACTTTACTTTCCAGGATCTGTACAAACCCACACACCCACGCCTGGTCAAGATCTTCTCATATGTCATCAACTTCATCCGTTTCCGCGAGTCGCAGACCTCGGTCATCGATGAATACTTCAACAGCACCGAGCGTACAAAGGCTCAGATTGAAGAACTGTACAACTCGAATCAAGAGAAGGAAGAAATGCTGCAGGAAATGCAGCGCAACAGAAAGAATGTCGAGCAAGCCATGCGTGACAAGGAAAAGAAGAACAGCGAGCTCAAGGCTCGCCTGCTAGAACTCAAGAAAGGCCAGGAAAAGGTGGCCGAAAAGCTGGACCGCGTCAAGTCTGAGCAGAGCAGACTGAAGCAAGCCCTCGAGGACAAGCAAACACAAGCCATCAATGTCCGCAAAGAAGCCGACAAGTTGCGCCCATACACACAGCAAAGTCCAGCAGCCCTCGAGACGGCCCTTCGTGATCTCAACGCAAACCTCACCGCAGACAAGGCCGAGATTGATCGCCTTGACCGCCGCACCCGCGCCCTACAGACAAGTACCGACACATTCACTCTGCTTCACGGCGATGTAACAGGTCTCAGCCGCCTACTTGAAGACCTGCAAGCCGAACTGAGAAAGGAGGACGAAGAAGCGTCACGAGCAAACAAACACCGCGACGCTCTCTCGGAGCGCTCTAACAACGTGCGCGAGATTGAGCGTCAAGAACGCATGCTCAGCAAACAGCTCGCCAACATCCAAGAACGCACAAATAATCTACGACAAGGTGCGGCAGCCAAGGCTGAAGAAGCCAAAAGGCGCATGGAGTCGCTCAAGCAAACACACTCGGAGCTGGGCGAAGAGAGACGCAAGCGTGGCGAGGAGGTTGAGAGACGACGCATCAGGATCGAGCAGACGGAGAAGAAGATGGCGGATCTGAAGGAGAACATCGACATGGAGGTGCAGAGTGCGAAGGAGGAGTACCTGAAGATGGAGTCGCACATCAAGCTCTACATCACCGAGATGGAGCAGAGCTTGGTTTGAGATCGGGCTTGGCTGGGCTTCCTTTTCGTCTTTCTCTTTCTGTTCTTTTTCTTCGCTTGATATACCCCTTGGATGACTGGCGTTGGTGGCTGATTGAACTTGAATATGAACATGATTGTATTGCATTATGATATCTGTTTTGATCTTTCCTTTAGTCGTTTATATGCATGCTACGTTTCTCATCATGATGCATTTATGAGACGCTCAAGGCCAGCGCTCCTCCTGCTTCCAGGATCCATCAGCCTGGTAGATGTAGACCTGTCTGCGTGCCTTTGTAGGGTCACTAAGGTCGAGCTGCTCGACTTCCTCGGGCTTGATGACGACGACTCTGAAGTTCTTTCTTGCGACAGGATCGTTCAGGTCCTCAACCTTTGTGCCGAGGGCCAGGTTCTTGTCATCATAGGGCTCGGATGTAGGACGGCCAGGTGGGGGAGCCTTGAAAGAACCTTGGTGACGAAGTTAGCAGTGAACTGTGCGAATACATCGTGCGATGCCAAACATACCTCTCAAACCAGGCGAGTTGTTGCCAAAGTGAGCAGTGAGCTCTTTGTTCCAAGACCACTCTCCCTGCTTACCCTCATCCACGACTCTCATACGGCTGCCCAACTCGCTCTTGACGGTTCTCACACCACTGCTCTCCTTGCTCTGCTCACCCTCACCCTCAATATCAGGACCGACAACAAACGCCTCACCCTTCAATCTCCACTGCACACCAGTCTCCTTGATCCAGTAGACAGCCTCGCAAGGACCACCGCCACCACTTCCCTGCATCTGCTCTTCCTTTTCCGCGTGTCCACTTCCCGAACTGAAAAGCTGAGGAATCTTCATCATGCGGACATCAGAGGTAAAAGTCGGCATCTCCGACTCGTACACTCTGGGGTTCATGGGAGCTTCATTGTGCTTGTTTTCAGGCAGCTCGGCCCAGAAACCGCGGAAGATGCAGTAACGAGCGCGAGGCAGGTATGGTGTAGGTGAATCCTTAGGGGCAGGGTGCAAAGACGAAAAGACGAATTCGGGAGAGTCGAGCTTGTCGAGGTCTTTGAGGAAGGCCTGTTTCCAGGGTGCGGGTTGGGGGCTGTTGGTCGAGGATGTTGTGGCCATTGTGCGGGTTGCTTGACGGCTGAGGAGGGAAAGACGGGGGACGATTCTGGAAGCTATCGTGACGGTGTTGTTCTGCAAGAGATGAACTTGAGGTCAAAGAATTGAATGGTAGAGGAAGAGGTGTATAGAAAGGTGATTGATATTCTGATCGAGCTGGCTGTCATGACGTACACGAGATCTATGCTTCTCCACATTGCATCTTTAGACAGATCGTGCTCAACTCAGCATCCTTCCAGCGACATCTTTGCGAAAGAACATCATTCACTTCAGCTGTCTTTTTGACCAGCAAAAATATTTGTTCATGCGATGGCACGTCCTTGGAGTAGAGGGTCTTGGTCATGAGCGAAAATAAATCGGCAACTACATGCCGTCATGCTGAGAACACAAGCTCTCCCTCACATCCTCCTCGGGCCGGACCCTATTCATCCATCTCTTCAACCTTCTTCCCCTCACTTTCTGCATCCACTATCGTCACAGGCGACATGCATGCAGCATGCTACTCAGATGTTACGGTCGTAGGTAAAGTGTTTTGCGGAACCTCAAGTCACAAAGTGGCACCATGATGCTATAGTGTTTCTATTCTGAGTACGAAAGTTTTCTTGGCCTGTTGATCGGCCAAGAAGTGCAACGTCGTAGAGACCAAGACGATCACCTGGCCTGTTGCCGTCGGCTTCCATACGGATTCGACGTCTGCCGAGATGACTCTTGCCCTGAAAATGTGAAATATCCATATGGCTTCTCGACCGTTCTTGACCGGATCTACAACTCGAGAGTAAAGTTCACCAAAAATAACACGAGGTGGGTGCTGAGCGTGGAGCATGCTCCTTGATTGACTTCCAGAGGCGAAGGGGCAACATTATATAAGTCAAGAGCCATGCACTGTGAACGTCTTTCTCCATTACACATACTCCTCCTTAGCAATCTCAAACATACAACCAATACTTCAAACCCTCATACATTCTACCCTTACGATCACATCAAAAATCAACAACATGAAGTTCACCATCACCAACACCATCGGCCTCCTGGCCGCTGCCTCCTCCACTCTGGCAGCACCCCTCGAGGCTCGCCACGACCCAGCCAAGCCATTCACCCTCGACATCTCTTTCAGCAACAGCCCCCTCAGCGGCCCCATCCAAGCCTCTGGCGGTTCCTTCTGGATCGGCAAGAACGCATCGACCTCGTGCCCTTCAAACGTAAACCCCTGCCCAGCCGGCAACAGCACATCCTTCACCTCGTCAGGAAACGGTCTTCTCTACCTCAACACCGAAGTTCCCGGCGGTCAACAAGTCTACATCCGTCCTGATGGCCTGCTCACTTACACACAACCCCACTCCGCCTCTGCACCTTCTGGCTCTACTTTCTCTGGTTTTGAAATCTCGCCGCAGAACCAGATGGCCAAGTTCTATGATTTCTGGCTGTGCAGTGAGGATGCCACGGACAAGGCTTACCGTATCTGGCTCGAGTACCGTGACAGCAAGGGTGCTATCACACAAAACGGCAAGACTGGAAAGAATGCTTGTACTTTGGTTAACCTTTTGGCGAGTGATGTTAAGAAGGAGGGTCCCGCTGCTTGGGAGTACAACTAGAGTCTTTGGTGCTGGCATCATGGACTCTATTATTTGGCTCTTTCTTGTAGACGATAGCATTAGTTATTTGCATAGCGCAATCTACCTCATATATCATACTCGTATCTTGCTGGTTAAACACAACTCATCGTGATGTCAAAATATCGATGATTGACAACAGTCCTATGCACCAAATTGGTAAAAGACATGCATGGGCAATGGAGTCGGTATAGTGATTCAGCGACCGCAGTCTGCTTTTTGTTATTTCAATGTTCATTAGCGGAGTAAGTGAACAATCCGCTCATCAAGAAGAGGAGAAATAGAACACCACCTGATCAGTCAACTTGTTCAGAAGACTCATGCACATGCATACTCTTCAACCCATCAATCACTGCACTCGTTCCATTCGCAACGGGCACCTTCTTCTTCTTGACAGGCCGCTTCTTCTTGACACCCATGCTGCGTGGTGCCTCCTTGATCCACCGACAAATAGCTTCAGCCCTTTCAGTCGAGATCGGATACTCCTTACCATCATCTTGTGCCCAGCGTTTATGAACAGAAGCGCCGCGATTGTTGCCGTTTACGTCGTGCAAAGGCCCACTGATTCCTTCTTCATCCTCCATCGCTCTACGTTCGCGAGCACGAACGGCTTTTTGGAAGGTTTCTTCGTCGACTACGCGCTCGTCGCCCATGGCTTCAATGATGGCGTCTCGCTTTCTACGCTCATGCTTCTGCTCCTCTGTCTCTGTGATGCTGTGTTTGGCGGTTACCGTACCGTTCTGCGCACCTACTGTAACATCGGGCTCTGGCTGTGGCTGGGTTGCCAGAGGAGCTGGCTGACATAGAACCTGCCAGGATTCAGACAACCCAATCCAGTTGTTGGCACGTCGCAAAACCTCAATCCAATCAGCTCTTGCTGGCGACCGAGCGGCCTGGAAAATGGGATAGCCGTCTGCGAGACGCGCAAGACGAGCAGCATTATGGGCGTGTCGTAGAAGCTCGGTTGGAGAGGTCTGCATAAGGGCGTGACACAACAGTAATGAGTGTAGAGCATCGGTGAGAAGAGGATGATATGTGACGGCTTCATAGTTGCTCACTGACAACGGACTGTCGTCTAATCTCGTGTTCTCAGGTACAGGAAAAACTGGTAGATCGGATAGCGGCTTCTCGGCAAACAGAGCTGAAGCAGGGTACACTTTTCGATGTGGAATGCGAGGCCATCCATTTGCATCCCACTCCAAGCCAGAATCCGAGGTTTGAGTCGATTGATGCGAAAAGAGAGAGCTTACCGTGGGGCTACTTCTTCCTGAAGATGAGTGACTGTTCCACTCTAGCAAGCGGTTGCGATGGATAGTCGTTTGTTTATTATCGTTCGTCAGGTCGTTGATTCTGCGAGTGATCTCATCGATGATTTCTACAGGTAGACCAGGTGTATAGTCGAAGTAACCAAGGAAAGCAAGATAGTCCTTGAGGGCTTTCTTCGCATTAGTTTTGACAATCTTGCGCGCATCAAGTCTAGCTTGATGAGCCTCTTTTTCTTGCGGTGACATGGGAATTTTTCCTACGTCCTCGTCCCTAGATCGCGCTTCTTTTAAACCGTCCAGAGCAGCGTGAACGTTCTGACATGCAATGCTGAGGTAGACTCCGGCTCGATTGAACAGCATTTGCTGTTCCAAACTGCTCGGCTGGTCCTCTTCTTTCAATTGTGGCACTTGCCTCCAATCCCTACCATTCTTGTTCCAACGATCTTGCTCTTCTTTGTAGTGTTTTGCCAACACCAATTGATCAGTTCCAGGTCTGTGAATCTTCTTAAGCTCTTGTGCTATCCTGAGCCCGAGCGTCAAATCACTTGCGGCTCCCTCGAACTGACCCTTGAATATCTGAACGAGTGCGCGAGTGCGTAAGGGAGCACCTTGCTTTTCCCAAGGCAGATTCAGGATGACATCGTCCAGTGGCTCCAAAGGTGTGTACTGCTCCATCATCCTGGAAGGAATCTTTTCATGGAAGAAATGAACATATTTGGCTTCTGTGTCGGTCTGATCGCGCCTGAGGACATGCAAAGCAACTTCCTCTAGAGAAGATGCGGATTGCATGGTCGCAACACTCGCAGCAACCTCGTCCAATGCATAAGCTTTAGACAGCAATCGTGCAGCCTTTTGGCGTATCTTGTATATTCGTTCCTTGCTCATCTTGGGGGCTTGTGGTCCACCTTGTCCAAAAGGATCCAGATAATTTAGCGAGCCATTCATGGCAGTAGTCGACATTCCATTGGAAGCGCGTACGGCGTCTTCTGTTGCTTCGTCAATTGCGCGTCGAATCTTGACTACATCATAGAAGACAGCAGGATCTATCAGCCTCGGTAGTGGTTGTGTGTAGTTCTGGTGAGCAAGCGAATCCAGGATCTCGGGCGGTAGTTGTAGCCATGGGCCGTGAAAGGATGAGATGTATCGCCAATGTCTGTATGCGATAAGTCAGCCATAGCTTCAGAAAGCACAGGAGCAGGGTCAGAGCGTGAAAGAAAAACAGTTTAGCAGACGAGACAGCACCTACTCACTTATTACGGCATATGATCAAAGAAGATGCTGAAGATGCGCCAGACGCAGCATTGCGCTGACTGTTGTGCGCATTTGCGCCCTTTTTGTTTGCCATAGTGATACAGCAGATAGATACGCGTTAAGGCATGGTTGTGTGTCGGAATGCTTCGAAATAAAATGTTATTCGAGAGCAACTGCTGGAAAATGATGCGGCTTCATCCGCCAAGGTCGACTCGGACTCGACATGGGAAGAAGCTCCCTTGCATGTGAAAGGACCATCACTTGCTTCTGCAGCTTTGCTCTGAACATCAAGGCATGTCACTTTCTGCTTTGTGTCAACAATGGTAGAGCGAGAAGAGGGTATGTTGCAACGCAAATGCATCATATACACACGGTAATGTAGACGTCACAGGGAAAGAAGGAATTAAATGCAGGAACGATGGTTGAATTGATCACTACAAAAACACTCATAGCACAACATAATGTATTGGCAAGCGATACTGATGTAACGGGGTGCTGCTCATCTTGGTTTCCGCTCGACTGGCGTACTCATCTTCAGCACCGCGTAAAGGTGTGAGAGCATTCGCTGAAGTGATTTTTTAGACAGGTTGACTCCTGTTCGACCGCATGTGCCCGACTGATCGGAGTCACTTCTCCTTGTAAGTCGGCAGGCGCGTCTCCTCAACACTCAGCCGCGGACTCTTCAAGAGAGTCAAACGCTGACTCTAACGAGGTCGGATAATCATAAGCCTGTATACCTCGAGCGAAACTCAGAAGGAAGCGGACAGCGGGCAAGACCACCACCTCAGGATCCTCTTGTCTCTCTTCGCCGGTAGGAACAGCTCTATCTTTGCATTTCTTGCATTGACGTATTTGGAGTGTCATGGCTCTGCCCTCTCGTCGTGTCGAAGGATCATCATCTTCGCGAGAGGCGATCCAGCATGACCACTCAATCCTTGAATTGGGGAGGGCGAGCCTAGCTCGCAACCATCAACCCTTGTCCTTTGACGAGGACAGGCCAGTACACCGGTAACTTCAATTCATAGTCATATGTAGACCTCGGCGCAAGTTTCTCCTGCCCTCTGAAATCTTTGTCGGAAGCGAACAAGCAAGTGGTCAACCTGCGTTCTGCGATTTCCGAGACCAATATCGGGCATAACAACCCTTCCAGGCATTTGATTCTCTGGCACACAGGCCAAACTGGGCACAACAACCCATCCAGGCATTTCAAGCCGCTGGCACGATGGCCGGTTCGGGTATGACAACCCAGGCACTCAAGCCCTCAGGCACATAGCCCGGTCTCTGTGTTGCATGTCTGGCACAGCGACTCGTAAACTGCCTGAACGTCTTCAGGCAGAAGAAATATGGACGTCCAGGCCGCTCAAACTTTCGAGTGGTCCGCAGAAAGAGGTCCTCCAAGAAGGCATTGAACACCAAGAATCGTCGATTTTCTCGAGTCCTGTCGCACAAGGACAACGCCAACGATCCTTTGCAACAGCGTTGCTAACTTTCTCGTCGAGACTTTCTCGCGCGGACCTCGTCCGGCCGATAGTCGTCCTCCGACGGTGACCTTCATACGCTGGACTGGAGTAGAGCACGAATACTCGTCCCTCGGCGTCTTGTTAGGTATTGCTTTTCCGGCGCATGCGTCCTTGACCGTCTATCGGGGCAATAGTGAGAGCGGAATCTCCACTTCGCCGCACCAAAAAGACAGGTTCGCATGCGCGAGGAGAGAAGAAGAATATCGCGGAGCGGGAACGCAGCGGAATTTGTACTCGGCTGCTCGACCAGCACAGACCTTCCCAGCCACCAGCCTCTGGAGTCTTGAACTTACCAACCATCCATTGCGATAAAATGCGCGACATCCTTGCGATACACAAAAGGTGGTGCATAGTAGAATCAAGGAGTTCTTTGATGTTTTGAAGATCAAGACGAAGATGTCTGTCCAGCTCAGATATAATTCACAGCAATGGCTGATCCTACACAAAAAGTGAAACACGAGACTAGGCAGGCTGCCATTCTTTTTGCTCAGGACTCTCATTACATGGAGGATCACATCTCTGACCTTCGAAGCAGTACAGAATATATTTGGCCGCGAAAATGGGAAGTACGTAGACACTCGGTGAGAACGTGCAGAGATGGTGAACAGCGTACGGAAGGAGCGAAACACTACAGCCATCGCTACCTCCCCTTGCCAGAAAACAATAGCGAGAAATTAGACGTCGTTTTCAGGCAGCAAACTTTTTTCAGTATTCGTCTTCTGATTATCATCTCATGTCTTTTGATGTTCTTGTGCTCGTATGATGAAGGAAATGGTCGTGACAGCCAAACGTGCTGCTGATGAGCTCGGACCAGTCGCGCCAAGAACCCACACAGCTCGCTTGGCTGTCTGAAATTCTTTGCAACTCGAACGAATCCGTTTGAAGTGACGACCAGCGACGACCACATCCCTTCGACACCCGTCAATCCAGTTATTTCGCCAAAATGAAGTACATCCACTCGAAGGAGACTCTCACCATCCCCGACGGTGGTACGTTTGCGCTTGCGAAGATGGCCCTTGAGAAACGAGAGAGGGACACCGAGAAATGAGAGCGCTTTGGACTGACTCCCAGCGCAGTCAAGGTCGAGATCAAGACCAGAAATGTCACCGTCACTGGCCCCCGTGGTACCCTCCAGAAGTCGCTCCAGCACTTGGCTGTCTGCTTCTCGCACCCCGAGAAGAACGTCATCGACATTGAGATGCACCACGGTGCCCGCAAGAACGTCGCCGCTCTCCGCACCGTCCGCACCATCATCTACAACATGATCGTTGGTGTCACCAAGGGCTACAAGTACAAGATGCGCTACGTCTACGCCCATTTCCCCATCAACGTCAACATCGAGAAGAACAACGAGACTGGCCGCATGGAGGTTGAGATCAGAAACTTCTTGGGCGAGAAGCTCGTCCGCCGCGTCGTCATGGCCGACGGTGTCGAGGTTGAGGCTTCCAAGAACGTCAAGGATGAGCTCCAGCTCACCGGCAACGACCTCGAGAAGGTCTCGCAATCCGCTGCCGACATCCAGCAGATCTGCAGAGTCCGCAACAAGGATATCAGAAAGGTGCGCACGCCTCTACCTCTGCCTTGCGCATCCTCTACGGCTGCCGCACTGCAAGACTCGGAACACGCCTGGCTAACATACCCTACAGTTCTTGGACGGTCTCTACGTCTCGGAGCGTGGCAACATTGTCGAGGACCTTTAAGCGAAAACTTGTTTCATCAACTTTGGCGAAAGACGGATCAGGGGACTTTGCTGCACTATGGGCTGCGTAGCGCTTCAATGAAAACGGGCAGATTTTTCGCGGACCAAAATTTCATTAACGACTTCAAAAGAAAAAGACTCCTTGTTCTGTTCACTGAACGTCTCGTCTCGTCTTATACCCGCCAAAACTCGAGCGCCCAGAAGTGCTTTGAATTATTTCGTACTTGTTCGATACCGAAAACTACGCCTCATAGACACCCAGATCCCGTTCGGTGCACAAGAGCAGATACTCGCTTTGCGCCTGATGTATTCTCCTGTACATGGTCTTTCAAGAAGGAACTGATACCCTCCCATTTTCTTGCTTCTAAATTCCTGTCCCGGTATATCTGCCAAAACTTGTGCCTCCCATGCTTAAATCCAAATAAGAAAGATTGTCGAGTGACATTAAATAAACAAAAGGTATTTACTCTACCTTGACTTTTCAGGTTGTGTCAACAATTTAGCTTCTGAATTTGAGGGCTGCCTTTGGCTCGGCCTTTGACACCTCCATGATGCGCTTGCCTCCCAAGTCCTTGATCTGCTGAATCAGCTTGTCATTCTCGTGCAGGCCTGCAATATCGTCGCCTCCACCAATGCTCTTTCCGTTGATCAAAACATTAGGGACTGTGCGTCTGCCTGTGGTCTTCAGAAGCGCTGCTTGCAATTGAGGGCCCAGAGGGTGAAGATCGAGCTCCTCAACGTAAGGGGCTGGCACGATGTTGTACTGTTCAAGCAAGATAGCCTTTGCCTTCTTCGAGTAAGGGCAGTAGCTTTTGGAGAAGATGACGACTGTATGCATCTGTCAGCGTTCAAACATAGGTGACCTTGAATGGTCGAGACGTACTTGGGCTCTTCTTCAAGATGGAGTCCAGTTCAACCTCAGCCTTGTGCTCCTCTTCGGTCTCGTCGGGATCTGCGGCTTGTGCATGTTGTGCTCCTGTGTTTCCAACCTTTGCCACGCCGTCGTCCTTCAGTCCCTTCTCTCCCTTGATCATCTTCCTGCCGGCAACGCTCTTGTCGCCGGCATCGACAACTCCGTGGACGGCATCTTTGGCACCCTCCTTTACGGTATCGGCGACCTTTTGTGCTTTCTCGGCAGCCTCCTCGACGTCGACGGCGAATGGCTTCTGATCCTTCCCAACCTTCTGACCGGGAACGGCAGCAAGATCAGGATCACGGATGTTGGCGGCTTCCTTCTCTTTCTCGGCTTTCTCGGCGGCCTCGTGGATGATTTGATGGTTCTCAAGGTCCAGTGCTTCCTGGTGCTTTGTGTTCAGAGCATTTGCTGTGTTTGTATAGAAGGGACTTGATCGCGTCGATGCTGCAGCTGAAGAAAGATAGATGAAACTGAGGACAGCCAGAACTGCCAGTAGGGCAAAGACCTTGACCCGGCGTTGCGAAGGCATGGTCAGGCGCTCAGGTTGATATCACTTGGATGCTGCACCAGGTTGATGGGAGACGAAAAGCACTCGATGGCTCGAGTAGTAATGATGGTTGGCGACAGGCTCTTCGGTTACAAGACAGAGTGAGGAGCAGTCGCTGTCTGCGCCAATGTCGTGCAACGGCGGGCAGCTCAAGTCAGCGAAGCGACCCCCTGATTGGGCTGAACCCCTTCTCCGCAATCTTTGTGCTTTCGTACAAGCTGAAAGCAACTCCTTCTCCTTGAACCTACATACATGCTATTTCGTACCATGGCCAGGGTTTCATCTTCAGGAGAAGAACCTTCATGATGCACAATTGGGGCGGCTGCGATGAAATGTGAGAGCCTCCCCGTTGTGCGGATCCAGGGTCTGGTCTATTGACGATCCGCAACCACCGACCACCACTCTAACCAACTGCACGCCCTGCAGAGCTGACCTGCTTCATGTACACCGCCCGATTCGATGCAAAACGCATCTTACATCGGCCGCCGCTGACATGTGCTCTATGCCCCGCCGATAACTATCCGTATGTCTTTGTAAGTCGATTTACTTATGGCAATCCTCCATCCAACCCCAAACGTCTCGTCTCGTCTCGTCTACTGTATTGTTGCGCGATTTTTCTGCCTCACAGAGAAAAACACCTGCGGGTAGTAATCGCACTGCCACCACCCATCACCACTGCGGCATTTTTCTACCACCACTGTCACAGTATTGAATCCACTTCACACATCCATTCGGTAATTTTGCTGTGCCTTCCACGTGCCCATGCTGTAACCACATTTGAAATTTGTCCGTTACCTTGGACGCCGGTTCGAGGCTTCTTCAGCTTAAGTAGGTGATCGACCTGCATTCCTTGAATTTCCTGTGTTGTCTTTTCCATTTCTTGTTTTGTGATACCAATATCCGTGCTTCTGCACCTCGATCAATGAGCGAGAACGGCCACGTACGCTTTGACGACAGGACTCTGCAGAGAGAGATGACCAAAGAGTCGTTGACTCCGCGCAAGAAGTCGGTCGCCGAAAAGGAAGCCGAAATTGAGTCCGTCTGGTCCGATGAACCGTATGGTTTGGAAGAGCGTGACTTCAAGAAGAAGCAGGTTTGATATTGTCGCACACGAGGATCGCGACCCGTACTGATCATTACAGACTTTCAAAGGTTGGACTCTTCTCTATCTTGCATACCAATCAACGGGTGTGATCTATGGAGATATTGGTACCAGTCCTCTCTATGTCTACTCGTCCACGTTTACGTCTGAGCCTGCGAAGGACGACCTTCTCGGTGCGCTCTCGTTGATCATCTGGTCATTGACTTTGATCGTCACGATCAAATATGTCTTGATTGTCCTGTCCGCCGATGACGAAGGTGAAGGAGGCACCTTTGCTATATGTAAGCTACAACATGTCGCTCTACACGTTCATACCCCGGCTGACTCCGATGCTAGATACCCTTTTGTCCCGCTTTGTGAGTCTGACGCGACCGAGAAAGAAACTTCGACACATCCTGACCGTCAACCTAGAGTGATATCATGAAAAGAGACCCCCGAACGTATCATGCCATCAAGATGGAAAGGCACCCGAACGCTGAGCTTCCCAGACAAAGTCGTAGCATAAGAAATTGGCTCGAGAAGTCCAAAATCGCACATGCAATCTTGAAGATATTGGCTGTGTTTGGCGTGAGTCTGATCATCGCTGATGGTATCCTCACACCCGCACAATCCGTGCTTGGAGCCATTCAAGGATTGACAGTAGTCGATGAGAGTATCAGTAGCTCAACCATTATCGGTGTCAGCTGTGCTATCCTGATCCTGCTGTTTCTTCTACAGCCTCTCGGCATTCAAAAGTTGGCGAGTTGCTTTGCTCCGATCGTCATCATTTGGCTTCTGTTCAACGCATCATTCGGTATCTACGTAAGTCTTTCCCAACCCACTTGCTCAAAGCCGACTTTCTAACGAATGTTAAAGAATCTTGTCATGCACGACTGGACCGTCCTTAAAGCCTTCTCTCCCTACTTTGCAGGCTTGTACTTCATGCGCCTCAAGAAGGACGGGTGGCTATCGCTTGGTGGTATCTTGCTCTGTTTTACAGGTGTCGAGGCTCTCTTTGCCGATCTTGGAGCTTTCAGCAAGCGGTAAGCTTCGAACACACTCTTTTATGAGATCTTATGTCTGATGGTCAACAGCGCCGTACAGATCTCATGGCTTTGCCTTACCTTCCCCTGCCTTCTCCTGGCATACATCGGGCAAGCGGCATACATCTCAAGGAAGCCGTCAGCATACGCAAACCCGTTCTTCGAGACTGTGCCTCCGGGAATGTTCTATCCATCACTTGTCGTTTCGATCCTCGCTGCCATTGTTGCTTCTCAAGCACTCATCACCAGCACTTTCCAGTTGCTCATACAACTCATGCACTCTTCCTACTTCCCACAAATCAAGGCTACTTACACTAGCACCGCCTTCCATGGGCAGGTCTATATCCCCATCGCTAACTGGCTCATGATGATCGGCACAGTCATAGTTACTGCCGTCTACAGCAATGTAAGCATACTGTTATCTATCAGTGTAAAGAAAATAGACCGCTAACATATTCCTAGACTACCAAGCTCGGCCATGCCTATGGTGTCTGTGTCATCCTGGTCACTTTCATCACCACAAATCTGGTGACGCTCGTAGCCTTGATCGTCTGGAAGACGAACCCTATCCTCGTCTTTGCCGTGTGGCTGCCTCTTGTCACCCTCGATGGTCTCTACCTCTCCTCAGCTCTCACAAAAGTTCCTGATGGCGCTTGGTTCACCCTCCTCCTTGCCGTCCTTCTAGCTTCCTTCTTCAGTCTTTGGCGCTACGGCAAAGAGAAACAATGGGCCACCGAAGCCAAAAACCAAGCCCAGCTTTCCGAACTGGTCGTTTACTCATCCAACAACCTCGCTTCCACCACCGCCACCCCTGACACTGCTCCAGCTAAAAAGAGCTTCCACCTCTCTTGGCGCCACGGCGGCGGAGAACTGACGGAAACAAAAGGCATGGGCATCTTCTTCGACAAGGCTGGTACCGATATCCATGTCCCGCAGGTGTACGAACACTTTATCACAAAGTTTGAAGCGCAGATGCAGGTAGTGGTTTTCTTGCATCTGCGCGCGTTGTCGGAGCCTCATGTTCATGAGGAAGAGCGTTACACCATTGCTCGTACGCCTTTGCCCAATGTCTATCGCATGACTATTCGATATGGCTATATGGATAGAGTGGTAACCCCCGATCTTGCCAGACTCGTATATGAGCAAGTCAGAATGGCGATTGTGCGAGGTACAGTAGTCAACAGACCCAACCCTACCGTGCCAGAAACCGTGATCCAAGATCTCCACGCCGCCACCACCACCACCATGACCACTTTCATCCCCGAAGTCGAGGTTGGCATTGACGAACCCCACACCTCTGGCGCCACTGCTCTTGTCACTTCTCGTCGTTTGCGAGTTCTAGACGATGCGTTCAACACCCAAACACTCTATCTTGTTGGAAAGCAACAACTCAGGATCTATGAGGAAACATCTCTAGTCAAGAAGGCTTTACTCGGGGCTTTCTTGTTTGTAAGAGATAACACTAGAGCCAAGGTTGCGCAGCTGGACGTGCCAGTGGAGAAATTGGTAGAAGTTGGATTTGTTGGTGAGATTTGAGGGTGGTTTGGTGGAATTGGTTGCGTATAGTCATGAATTTACGAGGAACAAACATGATGGATGTGAAATGAGACGTAGATAAAGAGACGTATATTACAAGCAATCACCAAGTTGTTGTGTCTGCTGATCATGTCTCGCGGTTGGCTTGAGAAAGGCACGAATCCAACCAGGGTTACCCCTTTAGCATTGACTTCTGAGGAGTCAACGACAATATCAGAACAGCCAGTAGATAAATTAGCTGTCTAACGAGATTCATGCGCTGATTGGGCTATCCACTATGTCTGGCAGAATTCTACTGGCATGATGTCAAGAGATGCGTGCATGAAATCGCAATTGTTGTTTTGAAAATCCATTTCCCAAGACGTCGACCGAGACCCCTGACCCGTGACAGCATCTCTCACCTCGATAGATCGATATATGAACATTTCACTGCACCGAATCTGGTGGTATTTACAGATCAGTCGCACCAATTTTAACCTGGGAAGAACCATGAATATCTCTGGATTGTATGACAGTACGAGCAGCATTCGTCTTTGTAAACTACTGCGTGGAAGAAACTCAAGTTGAAAAGTCGCGCGCTAATGTACCGATATGCATGTGTATGATCTGATATCAGACCATTGAGACGATCCCTCAGAGGTTGTCGTACTTCTCCATGCCAGGGATGACAGGCTCCTCGAGCTCAGCCACGGGAGTCTGAGAGATCACAGTGTCCATGTCCATCTCATCATCTCCTCCGCCGAAGTCCATGCCAGCATCATCACCGTGTCCAGCCGAAGTAGTGTAGTTGGCCTCCTGATCATCGAGGAACTTGTCAATGTCAACAGCAGGCTGAGCAGTCTGGCCTGAGAGTGGGTCGTTGGTGTTGAAGTCTGGAGCGTAGCCGCCATTGTAGGTGTCGAGGGAGCAGTCGTTCTGGAAGGTTCCGGTGGGAGCATGGAACAAGTTGGCGGGAGCAATGTGACCGGCAGGAGTGATGAAAGGATCTTCAATACCGGATGGAACGTGGGGAGAAACAGCCATGCTAGTCTCTTCATGGTGCTCGATGCTTTCAACGACTCCGTTGCTATCGTGGGCGTGAACGATAGGTGACTGAGGGGATCTGATGCCGTCGACAGTGGCGCTAGCAGCAACATCGGTGGGACCGGTAGTGCTGTCTCCGTTCATCTTGACATCACCGTTGGTCATCTGAGATTATCGTTAGCATTGAGAAGGAAGGTGCCCTTGTCGCCATTGCACTTACCTCGTCGTTGACGTCCTCAAGCTTGACTTCACTTTCTTCTGTACCCCATTTGCCATATCTCATGCCGAACTGACGGCAATGCTTCTCCAAGGCGATCTTCTTTTCAGCGATGGCTTCCTCGTTCTCCTTGACTTGGTTGGCGTTTGCCTCAGTGAGGTTCTTCTTCAGTTTGAGAATGTTCTCCTTGAGCATCTGCATCTGTTGTCAAGATAGTCAGCAAGTGCTTTGTCAAGAGTTGTCGCGCGTCGACATCATGTTAGTTGATGTCGAAGATCTTACTTCAATGTCATAAGTCCAAGCTGTGACATCCTGAGGCTGGACCTTCTTGACGATGGAAGCACTGGAAGACATGATCAAAGACTGGACAGAGCAATCTGTTGTTTGAACACTGGTCGTGCGTCGTATGGGAGAGATGGTTCGAAAGTTCAGCGATTGAAGATGGAGAATTGGGTCGTTCGCGATGTGAGTGAAATCGCAACGAGAGTCCGGAACATTCTGCAACTTCCTCGATTCTACTGACTCAACTCGTTTGGTCGTCCACTCAAATGGCGAAATGCCAGCTAGGAAGCCAACGCCAGTGAGATATGCACACGGAGTCACACGATTTTTCGAGACATGTCTAAGGTCGCGAGTTGCCTTGATGTTTTTCACATCGATTCAGAACAGGTAGTTAGCAAAGCCCTGTAGCGAACAAAGTCAACAGCACCACCGAAGTAAGAAATAGTCTGATCAAATCAGCAAGGCCGTTATGTTCAAAGCTGGCATAATTCAAAGCGATCGATATAATCGACTCTTAAGTAGCTGTAGCCAATGAAAACCTACTCTTGGTTGTAAAACATGTCGAGAGGAGCTAGGTGATAGTATTACAAAGACACAGCGCATTTTAGCCTTTGTTGTATAGATTGAGTGATATAAAGTACTGTGTCAAGATCAGCCAACGACAAACAGACCTCAGTCATGATTAATCCTTCTGCACACGCGACATGACAAGCGTTATCCGGCAGTGATGCCACTTTCGCGTGCGAACGGAATTTTGATATTGATTGCATCTATTGTATGTCATTGTAGAAGAGATGTCACTGTGAGCCGCGAAAAGGCGCGATGTCCCTCATCCTCGGTTGAACAGATCTCAGCTTGGTATGAGCGTCTGCTTTCCCGGTTCCGTTTTGGCTTCCCGCCTTGTACGCCGACACGTGATATCGTACCCGACGTCATTTAGGGGCAATTTCGTTTTCGAGACAGCCGTCCTCAAACTCACCGCTTTAGAGAATGCAAAAGTCGTGATTGTCCTCTTGACGAAGATTCTCACAACAAGACTTTGCCAACATGTCGGAGGAACAAGATATTCCGGAGGAGCAGCAGGCCCAGGTGGTCTCTGAGCACCTCCCATCAGGCTATACTGCCGAATTTACTGGCAACAACTCTGGCTCTGGAGTCGAAGACTCTCTGAATCTGCAAGGTGGAGATATCCACAGAGACATCTTCAAACTCAATGCCCAACCTCGCCAAACTTTGCACCAAAGAGCAGCGACATTTTCTGCTCCTCGCGCTCGCAGGGAAAGCTGGGATTCTGAATTGACAGCTTCTCGAGCACGAGCTCCTGGTGCTTTCCGTCGCCAGTACATGCAGAGAAACAACACTTTCAACACTGCTACTATGCCCGTTACCAGGAACTTTGTCGAGTTTTTGAACCTCTATGGAAGCTTCGCTGGTGAAGATCTCAACGAGTCTGACGATGAAGCTGTCGAAGATGAAGATGAAGAAGAGCAAGCCCCTGCAACCGAGAGCAGGCCACTTCTCGGCCGTCGCAAGTCATCTCGAGTAGCACCCAAGGGTGACGCTGGTATGGTCAAATCCTTCTTTACACTTCTTAAGGCTTTCATTGGTACCGGCATCATGTTCCTACCAAAGGCCTTCAGCAACGGCGGTATTCTGTTCTCTTCGTTGACAATGGTCTCTATCTCATTGGTCTCGATGCTTGCTTTCCACCTGCTACTCAAATGCCGCAACCAGTATGGCGGTGGTTATGGTGACCTCGGAAAGGCCATTGCCGGAGACAAGATGAGATCCCTTATCCTCGCCTCCATCACCATCTCGCAAATTGGCTTCGTCTGTGCTGGTGTTGTCTTTGTGGCCGAGAACCTTCACGCATTTCTCGAGGCCGTCGTCAAAGGCGAAATGCCTGTATCAGTTCGTGCCTTGATCGCGATACAGCTTGTTGTCCTGGTTCCCTTATCTTTCATCCGTAACATCTCAAAACTCGGTCCTGTTGCCTTGTTGGCTGACGTCTTCATCCTGATCGGTCTTGGTTACATCTACTACTTCGACATCTCAACGCTCGCCAAAGATGGCATCGCTCCGACCGTTCAGCTGTTCAACCCCGATTCGTTCACCTTGACCATTGGATCAGCCATCTTCACTTTCGAAGGTATTGGACTTATCCTGCCTATTCAATCTTCTATGAAGAAGCCCCAGAACTTTGAGTGGCTCTTGGCTGTGATCATGCTTCTCATTACTGTCATCTTCACCTCGGTCGGTGCCTTGTGCTACGCCACCTTCGGAGACGACACGCAGATCGAGATTATCACAAACTTCCCCCAGGACAGCAAACTTGTCAACGCCGTCCAGTTCTTGTACTCCATGGCTGTGCTGTTTGGTAACCCAGTCCAACTGTTCCCTGCCATGCGTATCATGGAAGGAAAGCTGTTTGGTCATTTGTCGGGCAAGAAGGACCCGCTCACCAAGTGGAAGAAGAACGCTTTCCGAACATTTTTGACTGGCGTTTGCATTGCCATCGCCATCGCAGGTGCTGGCAATCTGGACAGATTCGTCGCTCTAATCGGATCTTTCGCGTGTGTACCACTGGTCTACATCTACCCTCCTCTGTTGCATTACAAGGGCTGTGCCGAAACACGCCTCGCAAAGGCCGGCGACATCCTTTTCATGGTAATCGGTATTGGTATGATGATCTACACAACCGGCGTCACACTGGTGAACAGTTTCTAGGCGATCGCAACAACAAAAGGATGTTGGATTCAGCTGCGTTTGGGTCTGTACGATATATGGAACGATAATGAAAATATGACCGCTGAATCAGCCTGTATTGAGAAAAGTGGCCCTCTTAGTAGGGATTTGCAAAAATAGCCAGTCAACAAATTTGAAAGTTCTACGAAAATATTAATGTTGTTCTCGTTGTTCGAAGTCCATACGCGCTGAAGGAGTCAATACAAAAAGCATTAAGATCAATCAATGAGTGGTATCCTACACCCGAGACTTTAGCCGCCGTGGTGTAGCGCGGGTCAAATGCTGACTGCATATTAATCTCAAGGATCTGCGAGATGCAGTAATCATTTGGAGGATTCGTGAGATAAGTACAGTAATCACAAAGCGGATAACATCCTGCAAAAGACCTCGAGATTCAGCAACTTCAAATTCAGTTCGCTTGTTCACACCAGTGTCTCCTCGTCAAACTTCAGATTACTTTGGTTTGGTGCTCATACTGAGCATGACTTACTTATCAGCAGTATCGGGCTCAATCTTCGGAGCCATACTCTTGCTACTGAGCTACAGAGCATTCTTTCACCCTCTGGCTGATTATCCAGGCCCTCGACTTGCCTCAATCACAGGTCTATGGCGACTTTGGCACTATATCATTGGAGACTGGTCAGAAATCATCCTCGAGCTTCACAAGAAATATGGGAAAGTTTTTCGACTGGCACCAAATGAGCTATCGGTCGTAGATGAATCGGCCATGAAGGCACTCTTCGGTCATAATACAACCGCCCTCAAGACTAAATGGTATTCCGCCTTTCAAAGCCCTCGGGGAGCTCCGAATATACTGGCTACTCAGGATACTAAAGTCCACGCTGCTATTCGCCGCAGATTTGCTCCTGCCTTCAAGATGACTGTTCTGTTGCGACAGGAGGACTCTATGCAGAAGTATTTGGATAAGCTCTGGCAGTCACTCGAGAAGCCTGCTTCAGATGGCACCATCATTGATATGTGCCATTATACAGAAACTGTGACATGGGATATCATAGGTCAACTCTGTTTTGGAGAACCACTGGGTGCGATTGTTGGTCCTGACGCCTTAGATCTTGCCAACATTCTGAACAAATTGCTGAAAATGTCCACGGTCCTGGGACACGTTTGGGGTCAGATTGCCTGGGTTGATAATCCACTGACACGATTCATTGGCATGAAGAATCCTATTCAAGATTCCTTTGAATGGGCATCCCGGGTGGTTCAACAGCATGAGGAAGCTGACCGTAGTAGTGTTGAGCCTGATACAGTTGACTATTTTCTCAACTGGAGAGACGCCCAAGGAAAGCCAGCGACACATCTTGAAGTTGTTGAGGGTGCTTTCGCAGTCACGTAAGTTTATGAAGATGGATCATGTCCTTTTCACATTGTCTGCTCACTAAGAACGCACAGTGGCGCGGGAGCAGATACTGTGGCGATTGCAATGCGAGCGGCTTTGTACCATCTCAACACCAACCCGGCAGTACTTCAGAAGTTGAGGGAGGAGATCGATGTTTTCGATGCTGACGGACCGCTCTCTTACAAACAAACACAGCAACTCCCCTACCTAAAAGCTGTTGTGAGAGAAAGTCTAAGAATGTATTCTCCGGTACCAGCGCAGCTGTATCGAATTGTCCCCTCGGGCGGTCTGTCAATCGATGACCGTTTCATACCTTCTGGCACAGTGGTTGGTATCAGCAGCCTAGCACAAAACAGAGATCCCGCGATCTTCGGGTTAGATGCAAACATCTTCAACCCTGACCGGTGGCTAGGGGATGAAAGCAAAGCACGATATTTCGAGGCTGCTCTGTTCAATTTTGGAGGTACAGGTATACGCTCCTGTCCAGGTCGAGATCTCGCAATGGTAAGCCAATCTAATATGCTTCGCTGTCAGTACTAACACCCGCAGATCGAGCTTTACAAGTTTGTTGCTCAGATGGTTCAGAAGTTCGATTTTGAGTTGGTGGATCAGGCACATCCATGGTCGGTGAAGACTTATTTCTTCGCCATTCATAGCGATATGAGGATGAGGGTTGCCCACCGGAAGAGATCTGTCGGAGTACACAACGAGTCCACTGATGATTTAGTTCAATGATGTTACAATAGCGAAGAAGATGGAGCGTAATCTCAGTTCTTACCAAGGTGTTCTTCTCGTATAGTGGATGATCTCTTCCGATTGCCAAAAGTGGGGGCGGGGTCGGTCTCAAGCTACCCCAACGGCCGTCGGCAGGTCCGACCTATCTACCTACCCCATCAGGCACCACGTTGGCCGTGACTCGATGTAACATCTTCAACAAGATGTCTCTCAGCATGTGTACTCCTTCTGTCGCTCACTTGAATACCAACTCACACCAAAATGTCGATTGTATCGCTTGCAGAGGGTAGCTTGTAAGACTTCTACCACACCAATAGATAAGCATAATCTAACCTCCTAGGCCCACGGTCACCAAAGAAGAACTGCATGCTGCTGCCAAAGGAAGAGGCTTTTCCATTCCAGCAGGCAGTCAGGATGAGATAGATTTTCTTCTGCTGCAAAACAGCTTCGATGCCGTTGCTTCAGCTGTAGCGGCTCTTCCTGAGTATATCGATCCAAGACTCGAGCCAGTTCCAGTAGAAGGTGGAGAGCGGAAGTGGACAAAACCCGCTTCGGAAGAGAATACTCTCAATGCTTGGTCGCACAAGGTGAGTGGATCTGTCGTATTTTAAGTTGAAGCATTTCTTAACAGTATCGTCAGACAAACCTCAAGGCATCTTCTCCAACAAGCACAGTACTTGCCGGTAAGACTCTTGCCATGAAGGACAATGTCAGTGTTGCTGGAGCACCTTTGCGTTTGGGCACTGCTCCCGAATTGTTCAAGGGTGGAAAACATGCTATCAGTGAAATTGACGCAACTGTGGTGAAACGCATCCTTGAGGCCTCTGGCACAATTTCTGGAACTGCAGTGTGCGAAAACTTCAGCTTGTTCCCTACTTCTGTTTCAGCAGACAGTGGACCCGTCCATAATGCATGGGCTCAGGGTTATATGACCGGAGGCAGTAGCTCGGGATGTGCTTCATTGGTTTCGGCAAAGGACGTGAAGGTTTGGAGCGAGAAGCATGGATTGACCTTCAAGACAACAGCACTAGAAGAAGGAGGCGTAGACATGGCGATTGGTGGTGATCAGGGAGGCTCCATTCGTGCACCAGCATCTTTTGGCGGATTTTATGGGCTCAAGCCTACTACAGGACTGGTTCCGTATACAGGCATAGTGTCCATCCTCCCGATGATCGACTCGACAGGACCCATGGCAAGATCTATTGAGGATGTTGCACTTTTGCTTGGCGTCATCGCTGGCTACGATGGCATCGATCCTCGTCAAACACCAGAGACGCCTCTTCGTCAAGCTGTGCCCGATTACACAGGGCTCCTCGCCGAATGGCAAGCAGCCAAAGAAGAAGCCAGCGAATGGACTACCACAGCAGCGGCAAAAGGGCTCCGGATCGGCATCCTCAAAGAAGCATGGGAGATCGCCGGTCTGAACACCAACGTAGCCGCGATCGTCAGGGCCGCAGCGGAGAGATTTAGTAAACTCGGGGCAGAAGTCCACGAGGTATCGGTACCACTGCATCTGCTAGGCCCGTCGATTTGGACCGTTGCAGGTCGCGAGGCTATTCCCCGATTCTTCGAGAACAGGGCTTCCGACTTACTTTCTCATCCCTTGCCAGGGCTTGAGCCGAACCCGACGGATCAGACTTTCTACGACAAGTTAGTCTACAAGAACCCGGCTGTCATCAATGTTGTGCTCAACGCCGAGCACATGGAAACTAAATATGGACCTTCGCTTACTCGCAAGGCTCATATGCTGGTTCATCAGTTGCGTGCCGAGTATGACAAGGTGTTCGAGAAGGTTGATATTTTGATCACACCGACAACGCCGACCGTGGCAGACAAGCACTGCAACTATACTAGTGTCATGGAGATTGCACAGAAGGCTGTGGGTGTCACGCTGAATACTTCACCTTTCAACTGCTCTGGGCATCCTGCAATGTCAATTCCATGCGGTTGGTCAGAGACTAGCGACGGCGAAGGCAAGCTTCCGGTCGGTATGCAGCTTGTAGGCAAGAGATGGCATGAGATGGATATTTTGAAGGCTGCCTCTGCTTGGGAAGTGCTAGGCAAGGGACTGGATTCGTAGTTCTGCGCGATGTGGATGGATGAGAGATCAAGATTTGTTGGAAATAAAACGTGAATTCATGATATATAACGCCCGGGTACTAGTTGCAGTGATGACAGCCATCTTTCAGTTCCCATGCTTCGCTTTAGTAAAAACAGACCCTCACTAATATGTTTAGTCGTCAGATGAACGCCATTTCGCGTCAACCTGCGGTGTGAACTAAAATAGGATCTAGTCCCAGTCACCAGCACCAAGCTCGACGGGTCTGCCATTTCTCATGGCATCCATGATCTCGTCGATGTTCCATGGCTCGTAGCGGTAGCCAGGAGGGTAGTTGGGTGGGACACGCTCGTCGTCTTCGTGTCTGATGCCCTTCTTCATACCATCGACAATGTTGTCGTAGTTTGAGTGAATGTAGTGCTCGGGGTCGTGGCTCCAGACCCACTTGGGAAGCTTGGGAGCAGCCCTGCGGGGGTCGAGCTTTACCTTCTCCCAGTCGGTGTCCTGGAGGAGCTCTGCGTTGCTGAAGCCAAGCTTCTGTGCGCAAGAGTTACGGATGAAACTGCAGTGATGTTAGACTGTGAATTCATATCAGGGTAGAGGTGTGACTCACCGAACTCTGACGTGAGCACGGACGGCATCGTCAATGCGGTCCTTGCCAGCAAGTTGCAAGCAAGAGGCAATAGTGACGGCATCCTCAATGGCTTGAGTGGCGCCGTTACCAGAGGCAGGCAAGAAAGAGTGAGCAGCATCACCGATCTGGACGACGCGAGCTCCAGGAGACAACCAGGTAGGCTGAGGGTTTCTCCACAGAAGCTCGAAGTTGATGATGGTATTGTCTGGTGTGCACTTTACAAGTCTCTTGAAGATGGGTGCCCACTTGTTGGGTCCAGGGACCTTGTCCATACCCTCCAACACTTCCTCGTGGTCGATAGTGTTGTTCCAAGACTCGGCTTCGCTACCAGTGGCGTCGTGGTTCATGATCCAGATCATGGTGTCAGGGCGGGTGAGGGTCAAGGCGTAAGTGCCAGGGCCAAGCCATGTACGGACGATGGGGTTCTGGCCGTTGACCATGGAAAAGAACTCCTTGACCTCAGGATCCTTGTCAAGGTGCTCGATAGGGAAAGCAGCTCTCCACATGGCTCTGCCTGAGGAAACTGCTCTGACCTGGCCACCGACAAGCTTCTGAGACTTGGAGCCGACACCGTCGGCGGCGATGACAACATCAGCCTCATACTTCTGGCCGTCATCACAGACAACACCGGCCTTGTTCCTCTCGATATCCTCGTAGTAGTCGACGACGCGGCGGCCGAACTCGACCTTGACACCAAGAGCTTCGACCTGGTTGACGAACATCTTGTAGACGAGAGGGCGCATCTGGAAAGTACCAGGAGGAGTGCCAGGGTCGAGACCCTGAGCCTTGAGACGGTCGGCAACTCTGAGGGGCTTGATCATTTGCTGACCAGAGTGCATGAAGGTCTCAATGTAGGCATCGTGGAGACCAATTGAGTCGTACTCCTTCTTCATCTCAGGCCAGTGGTTGAAGAAGCGGGTAGCGCTGAGACCCATGAAGTACATGTCTCCGGCAGTGTTGATTGTTGCATTGCGCTCAAGAACCTTGACATTGTGGCCCTTGCGAATACATTCGAGAGCAGCAGCCAAACCTGCAAGACCAGTACCAACGACGAGAACGTCGATGCCAGAGTTGGGGTAAGAGCCCAGAGGTTTAGTTTCCATCTTGGTCGCCATGTTGATGACAGTTCGGAGAATTGATCTTGATGAAACGAGAGTTGATGCATCTTTTCAACAGGATCTTGCCAGTTTTTGTGTTTTGTTTAGTTCTTGCTCGCTCTCAGAAATCTCCGACAGACCCCATGCAGGCATGAGAAGATCGCAAGTCGGTGGTTTGTTGATGCCGGAGAGGCGTGACATTGGATTCGGGTCTCCAAAAGAGTCCGGACGGAAGAGATTCATGACGAGCATGATAGGCATGATCAACGCTCGCACATGCCTTGCTAGTGCTGCTACTACCCATGACGGCGACCATCGACTCTGCGACCGGGGAGACAAGCCACCACCAAGCGACACCTTGTCACGACAAGCGCCTCAAACACCTCCCCGCCCGACAAGACCTCTGGGCAAAGAATCCCTCAAGCCATGGGTGTTGGGCGTGCCTTGCCTGACAAACTCTCACGTTTCGTCTGTGCGTCGGCGCGGGCCGAGCACACGACGACGTCCTTTGCAGGAGCACTGCTCATCGTTGCTCCTTCTTTACTTCCCACGCAATCCTAGCAATTGAACTCCGAAAGTCGTCCCGTTCCTGATTGTCCAAACCACTTTCTCTTGCTTTGGCTCAAGCTCTGTAATCGGTCTCGGACCTCGCAACGTTGAGCGAAACTATCATCCATAGTCTCCGTCTCGGACCCCGTGCCTGTTACACTGCTTCTTCCACGAGAATGCTGTGTGAGGCAGCTATTGTTGTCTCTGTACGGTACTACCCACATATCTCGCCCCCACATGTCCATGGGACATGATGTCTCGATCTTGGTGTACTCACGACTGGTCCTGCCTGGTCCCAGATAACCGAGCAGATTGAGTTGTGCCGTACCCCAGTAGTCACTTGTTTCCTGCGGCTGTGGCCTCTGTAGCGTCGGTATCCTGGCTAAGCTTCACCTCGCAATTAGCCTCCCTTGGCTAGTTGCCAGCCTCGCAGTTTATTTCCCAGAGCCTGCGCTATGGAACGCTATGGTATGTGTCAACGTAACTGCTCATTGCCCATGCAACCCATCATGCAGCCAGGCAGATCTTGCCATGTTTTTTTTGAACCAATGAAATTTCGTGTTTATTGTTGCTGCAGTAAGGATCTCATCAGCATGCTGCGACATCCTTCCAGAATCTCACCAACATGTTGTCGAGAGACGTCCCTTTCCAAGCTCTTTGTTCTTCTCCGATTCCTACACGGCTATGCTCATCTCTGTCAGCGACGACACCAACACTCGCTACAATTGATGGGACCAGCCTTGCGGTTTTGCCTTGGGTGGATGCTCGGGATTAGAGCGAGCAGATCTCATGAATCATCGTGCAGCGACGATTCTTGGGCTTGCATGCCCACACCCAAAACCCCCTGTTGGAACCTTTCCGAAGTGTCTGATCGCGGATCGACACATCGTTTCCATGTGAGTTTTAGACTCGAGCATATTGTCAGGCTCACGCTTCACGGCACGTTGAAGTCTCGATCGCCTGGTTCTTCTTGAGTTAACATCTCTGTCCTCCCGCTCTCTGATCTCCCTCTCATTTCCTTCTCTTTTGTAAGTCACAATGCAGCCCCTCACGTTAGCCGCTGTTGGCCTCGCCCTTGTGGCCTTTGTGGCCATCTCCTTCCTGAACAATGTACGGCGTCCCAAGAAGGCAGAAGCGGAACATCAACTGCCTGGGCCAAAGCTGTTGCCAATCATTGGACGCATTCACGACATGCCCATCCAGAAGATGTGGATCAAGTTCAAGGAGTTTGCAGATATCCATGGCCCCATCTACTACACCGAAATGCTTGGCACGAAATTCATCATCGTCTCTGATGAGAAGATTGCCGAAGAGCTTCTTGTCAAGAAAGCCAAGTACAACTCTGACAGGCCTGCCGTCCCATCGCTCTTTGACTCGAAGAGTACTCATGGCTCTATGGAATACCTTCCCTTGATGGGCAAGAATCGTAAGACATCTACCACCCTACTTACCCTCATGACTGACTAACGTGGTGTAGAGTACTGGGCTAGACAACGTCGCTTCACACATGGCTACCTGACCCAAGCCACCAATGCTGGCTACTATGGTGTTATGCAACATGAAGTTAAGCGATGGATGTTCCGTCTCCTTGAGAACCCTGATGGCTTCAACTTCTCTCTCGAGGACATGGCTTCCAAGATCATGTGCACACTGAACTGGGATGACCCAAGCTTGAGTGAGTACTGCATTGGTAGTGCCTGGGGTCTGCTCACTCAGATGTCTCCTGCTGGTCCTATTACCAACATCATCACACCTTTGTGGCAACTCCCTGAGTTCATCAACCCTTGGAAGAAGGCCGAACACAAGCGTCATGACGAACAGCAACGTTGGTGGATGGAAAACCTCGTCCGCGTCAAGACTCAGATGAAGGCAGGCACCGCTCGTTGGAGTTTCACAAAGCAGTTCCTGGAAACCGAAAAGACTAACAATCTCTCCGGTGACTACGAAGCCTCCTCTGTTCTCGGTATGCTTGCCCTGGTGGGTATCTTCACTGTTGCCGGCCCTCTCAACTACTTCCTTGTCGCCATGGTCCACCACCCTGAATGGCTAAAGAAGGTCCAAAAGGAAGTTGATGAGCAACTTGGCGGACGTATGCCCAGCATCGAGGACTTCCCCAAGCTTTCTACTCTTCGCGCCTGTATCAAGGAGTCTATGCGTTGGCGCCCTAACGTTCCTACCGGTGTGGCTCATGAAGCCGAACAGGACGATTACTACCGTGGTTACTTCATCCCCAAGGGTGTTCGCATCCTGCCCCTTGACTAGTATGTTCGAACATTCTCTCATTGGCTTTTCGTACATTAACATTGGCCTCTAGTGCATTCCTCCTGAACCCAGTCAAGTACCCGGACCCAGAGAGCTACCGCCCTGAACGCTGGCTTGAAGCCGGATGGCCAACTTTCCAAGAGCCACTGACACAATACCCCACCATCAAGGGCATGACATCTTTCGGCTTTGGACAAAGACAGTGTCTCGGCATGTCATTGACGCAGGACGAACTCATTGTGGCTTGCGGAGCGCTAGCGTGGGCGTACAACCTCAAGCGCAAGGTCGACCCTGCTACCGGCCGAGAAATCGAGGTCCCCACCGATAAGTGCAACTCTCTTCTTATCGTCAAGCCCGATCCGTTTGAGATGGCCTTTGAGCCTCGCAGCGAGGCTCGCAAGGCAGACGTCATCCGCGAATGGAAGATGTCGGAAGCCAAGGACCTCGAGGAGCGGGCTGCGTATGCTAAGGCTGCAGCGCTTGGACAGACACAAAAGTTTGACGATATTGTGATCTAACAAGACCAACAATGTCCGAACTTGCTGTTGTTTACCCGGAGGAGAAGTCCGTAATTCTCTTTTCTTGCGAGGCTGGAGATGGATGATTGGTGTAGCCATTGTGATGGCTGGGAGGCATGGTAATGAGTTTTTATTTGTTCTAACCTTCTTGTTGTCTGCCTTGTTCCCATCTGCTTCAAGACTACCCTTCTTCTTGTATGTGTCTTTTGTCCGCTACAGCAGGTCTTGTCTTGCAGCTCTTCAGCTACACTAGCAAAGATTTTGTATTTCTTTTTGTTTCGTACTCGTAGTCGCAAAGATTAGATATCAACGAATTTGTTCATTCACATTGGACTATCTTCGAACATGCATATTGTACGACAGTACGAACCTGAACCAGATCTTGCTCATACGGCCGCAGTTCCAAAACAGATCCGGAGCCATGGATGTCCGCGCATACTTGCTGCAGGCAGTCGCATAGTAGGTGGTTGGAAAAGCATCAGGGATCCGCCCTGTCAATCGTATCAAGAATGTTTGGATCCGACCGGCGGTGCGCGGCAACCCATCTGTGCAAGCAAGTCTTGACGACATATCACTTTTCTGGGGTATCTGGTGTTATATCAACATGGTAAAAGATCGTCAACGTCATTTCTCCTTCGGTGTTTGGATTGAGGAGAGCCGATGCATGCATATTTGGAGCAAATAGACTTTTTTGCATGGTTCGATTGGTAGGTCTTGCGATATCAACTTATCGGATCTGGTTTACACGCATGATTTCAACTTTCAGGAAAGTCAGACTGCAACATTTGCTTGGTTCGATGGGAATCAATATGATATTAGAACGATTAGCTAGATATATTGCGCTTCTGTCTGTGGAAGTGGTTGGCAGTCTAGCCATGTGGGCAGTTTTTTGAGTTTCAAGCTTGTGATCGGCATGTTCATGCCGCCCGAAGATGGTTCATGCAGGCAGCTTAGGAGCGCTGAGCAAAGATGGTCCGGCTGTCAGCTCGAGGTTGTCTTGGCTGCGAGCGAGGTATCGAAGAACACAGGTATGTCTCTACGACAACAACTTTTCAGCTCAGTTGTGTCGATATGCAAGCATGACGAGGAAAGGCTGAAACAAAAGCGACATGCAAGGAGATTGTGCAATGCTCGGTTGCAAAGCCATTGTATCACGAAGAAGCACGGCACAGCCCTAGAGCAGGTAGACAAGTGCAACAAGGATTTGTAGATATTTGAGAGGATTTGTGACATGTAGTGTCAGCATTGGCATGCAGATATAGATCCCTTCATCTCAGGCGAAGCAAGTCTTTTCTTCCGGTGAAGAAGAGTACAGCGGCGCCAGCCAGGGCGACGGGTACAGTGGTGGATACAACCCAGCCCAGCGTAGAGAGCAAGCCTCCACCATGTGAGTCGAAGTTCTTTGGCTTGACCTTGTTGCGCATTTCCATGGCTTTTGCGCTGTCGACAAACTCTCTGATCTGAGTGATCTTAGAGCCGTCTGGTGTGAAACGCAGCAGCATTATGCACTCGTTCTTCCATTGTCCCATGCCAGGCTTGTTCAGCTGACCGTCCATCAAGGCGTGAATGACTACGGCATTGTTGTCTTCGTCTTCGTAGATGTTTTGCGGGACCATGGCGAAAGTGGTGAAGATGGACGTGATGCCTTGAGCGTGGCCTCTGAACTCTTCTTTGGAGCGAGGAGGCATACCCAGCGAGGCGGGCAGGGCCTGGTGTGTGCAGTTGTCATCGAGGTGGGAAAGGATAGCGTCTGGTGAGAGCGAGCCATAGGCGTCGAGAAGCGAGTAGGCAGTGTTGAGCCGCGTTGATCTGGTTTCTGAGGCCATTGTATGTTGGTGATGACTTGAATTGTCCTCTGAAGGTACTGATGCAGATATGTATGGCGAAAAACTTCTACTGTATAATGCGGTGAAGAAGGCAGCACAGCATGGAACCTACAAAGTCAGGCCAGGTCAGTATCGCCGAGGTGAAGCATGTCTATGATCAACGTTTAATTCTCCGAAGCGCTGCATTTCGCACTACCGCGGCCATGTAGCACACACGTCTAAGCATAGATGGTCAAGGGAAATAGTTTGCAAGGAGGGCGATGGGGATCCGAGGATCGTCGCGCAAGCTTCGCGACAAAATCGAGCGCCGAAGCGTCGGACAACCACAACAAGACGCGCCCGCCCGGAATCTGCAGCAGACTCTCCAACCCTCCAACCATGTCCGTTCAATAGATGACGGGATTGCTGAACTCGAGGTCGAGCTTGGAGCAAGCATGTGATAAGGGTACTGCAACCATGTCCTTCGCCGGGCCTGCTATTTCTGCCTCTGCCCTGTTCTCTACGTCTTTTGCTCCTTGAATATACTCTTTGCACACAGATATCCACCATGTCTCGCGCCCTTCTCATCACCGGTGCCACTGGCAAGCAGGGTGGCTCAGTTATTGACGCCCTGCTCGAGCTCCCTAATGCTTCCGACTTTACCATTCTGGCAGTCACCAGAGACTCAAACAGCGGCAGCGCAAAGAAGCTTGCCGCGAGAGCATCAAACATCAAGCTCGTCGAGGGAAACCTTGATGATGTTCCTGCCCTTTTCGAAGCTGCCAAAAAAGTTGCCCAGCAACCAATCTGGGGCGTCTACTCTGTGCAAATCTCAATGGGCAAGGGCGTGACCTTCGAGGGCGAAGTCAAGCAGGGTACAGACCTTATTGACGAGAGTGTCAAGAACAATGTCCACCACTTCGTCTACAGCAGTGTAGAGCGTGGCGGTGACGAGAAGAGCTGGGACAATGCAACTCCTATTCCTCACTTCCAGACCAAGCAACTTATTGAGATCCACCTGCGCGACAAGGCTCAAGGTATGGGCTGGACCATCTTGAGACCCGTCGCTTTCATGGACAACCTACAACCGGGCTTCCCTACCAAGGTCTTCCTGACCGCCTTGCACAACCACCTTGGCGATACCAAGCCTCTACAATGGGTCGCTACCGCAGACATCGGCTTCTTCGCCGCACAGGCCTTCACCCACCCCGAGGAATGGAACCACAAAGCCCGCGGCCTGGCTGGTGACGAGCTTACCTTCCCTCAAATTTCAAAGGCTTTCGAAAACACAACCGGCTCCCCTGCAGGTACTACATTCTGGGGTCTTGGTTCTGTCTTGACTTACATGGTCGCCGAGCTTGGCCATATGATCGGCTGGTTTGCCTCTGATGGATACAAAGCCGACATTGCCAACCTGCGCTCCATCCACCCACAGATGATGAACATGGAGACATGGTTGAAGAAGAAGAGCGCCTTCACGACCAAATAGATTGTTCACGACGCTCGGCATCATCTGACCATCTTTTAGTGCATCCACGATCCAGTCTTAGTACGATGCGACTTGTTTGTTTTTGGTCTGGTCAAAGGTCTCTGGCGTTGTTTTGGGGCGGTTCATGGCAACGGGCGCGGAAACAAGCAGGCAAAAATACCAATATGGCATTCTTCAACCACTCCCAATTTCCTGTTCCCGTCCTGTCTTTTGCTGTGGAATGCCCACTTTCGTGGTCTAGTTCTTTGCAACGGCACGCTATACGGCGCTAATGAGGCGCTACTGGTATGCTTAAAACCAAGGCTTGAATCTCCGCTCACTCCGCACAGTGCACGTCCTCCTCAACGTCCCTCGAATTGTAATGACCTTGTTTTGATTGGCTGTTATTCTCAAAACATCGCTATTTGACTTCATGACCGTTCTCAGAAATTTCCCGCAACGTGCGCCGTCGTGCCCGATGCGTTCACGATCTACAAGATCAACGTTGGGTCACGCAGGGGCACTTGTCAAGTCTTCGAGTTTATTTCCATCCCTAACACAACACAGCCTCACACCAATACAACTCCTGAACGACCTGAGGTATGCGAAAGGCCAGGGAAATGTAAGTCGTTTTATGAGAAAGGTAAGGAGCATCATCAGGAATCGTTCGAGGAATCAATATGGCCACACGTTGGAGGAACGAACGGCTTCAGTGGATAAATGAATGAGGAAGGTTGCTTTCCCGCGTGTCATTCCTGTTCCTTATTCATGCGCCATTGACGTTGCTTGTGTCTTATTTCCGCGACTTAGCGGATGAAGCTAGATTTGGAATGGTCACAGACAACACGAGGAACGAGGAACGAGGAATGCTGAACCACATAAGCTCGAGACAACCCACCACTATTCCTTTCTTCTCGTTCATCCCACGTTCTTTTCACTCTACGACAATACACACATCCATCACTCTCTCACTATGCGTCCCTCCACTTTCGTTGCCGGCCTTGCTGCCGCTGCTGCTCCTGCTTTTGCCCAGAACATGTCCATCTGTGACAAGTACACCACTGCTCTCCTCAAGGAGAACACTGGCGAGAACCAATTGACCCTGTTGACCCTCCTCGTCAACACTGTTGTCATTGGTAACTACACCCAGCCCAACATGAACGCCGTCCCTGGTATCCTTGCCAAGGGTATGTACAACGGCACTGAGGTCAACCTCCTCCCTTACTTCAACGGTGGTCTTGCCTCTTCCAACCGCGGTGGTAGCTCTGGTGTCTCCATCAACTTCCTCGACGATGGCGGTGCCACTCCTCTCATGATGAACAAGCCCGCCAACGGCACTTCCTCCAACCAGTACAAGCTCTTGACCCACTTGTACCAGTACTTCGGTGCTCTCCTTGGCTGCTCTGCCACTGGCTTCCCCAGCTACGCTGGCTTCGGCTCTCAGGCCTCTGTTCACAGATTCATGGACCTCTCTGCTGCAGAGGTTGGCTACTTCATTGAGCAAGTTGCCCTCGCCGCCGCCTCGTTCGGCGTCAGCCAAGACGACATTGCTACTGTCGGCAAGGCCCTCAACTCCATCTTCAACGTCCGCTGCGCTCCCCCCACCACTGTCATCCCTGCTCAGGGTGCTCAGCTTCAGAGCATCTGCCAGGACGAGACCTGCCCTCTCGCCCCCATGCCTACCTGCGCCGCCTACCCTGCCACCATGAAGCCCGCCAAGGCCAACTCCACCATGTCTGGCTCTGGCTCCATGTCCAACGGCACCATGGGTGGCTCTGGCTCTATGGCCTCTGGCTCCATGACCGCCTCCGCTAAGCCCTCCGCTTACACTGGTGCCGCCGCCAAGGTTGGTGCCGGTGCTGCCGGTGTTTTGGCCCTTGCCGCCCTCGCTCTGTAAGCGGGTCTTGTGAAAAGGAAGACTGTTGTGTATGATGTGTCGACGAAGCTTTTAACATTTTTCGTATCTCTTGGGTTTTGTCGCGTCTTCATTTCTTGCAATATACCACGGAAAGGTCAATGTACTCTGTTAGTACTTTAATCATTAATCCACCACCATCTGAAAATTTCACTTCATACTTTGATTTTCTAGACTACCAAGTGATTTTGTCTTGTGCAACAAATGCGAGAGTACCTTCCTCCACATTTCGGGTTTGTTTGGAACGTCATTGTTAGGCACTCGCGTCGACTAAAACGCCAAGGCGTCGCTCACTGCCTCATTCGCGACTGCCAAATGATTGTTTTCTACCTTCACTTCGACATAAACAACAACCTTCATACAGTAGCTTTCTTCCAACCAGACTCATCATCAACGAGAAGTCTGGCTATCGTCAGATCGAACGTGTGCAACTCAACCTTGCCGCACTTTCCTCTGGCTCATCTCTTCACTACCCACATCCAATCCGTCTCCAACCATCGACTAATCGTCTTCGTGGAGCTGTGGAATTGTTTCAGCATTCGAACGCGTGTAACTCGACTTCGTCGCGCTTCACCCTGATCCCACCCCTTCACTTATCGACTTCAATCATCAACCAGACATTGGCGTCGAGCCAAATGCTCAGACTAGCACATTGACGCGTGCGGCTCAACTTCTTCACGCATCACGCCTAATCAACATCTTGACTACAAAGATCCTTCAACATGGCTCTTTCTCCTCAGCATCAAGGCGCCATTGGCTTTGACACACTACCGCCTGAGATACAGCAAGAGATCTGCAACTACCTTGCTGGTGACAGAGCTTCACTCTTCGCTGCCATTAGGGTGAGTAGAGCCTGCTACAACTGTTGCATTGGCATGCTATGGCGCAACTCCACCCAAAAAGGGCTGGCCAAAGCCTCAACACATGCTCGACGACAATACTATGCCAACATGATCTACGATTGGAACCTGAATCACGGTCGCGCCTGGAAGATGTTCGATCGACTTGAATTTCCCTTACTCGAAAGTATCACCTTCTCGGGAGGCGGTCTTTCGAATGTGCAACTACGTCGCTGTTTAGAGATGGGGCTGCAGACGCTACGCTATAATCGGTGTGAGTTTGACGCAACTATCTTGGAGCTGATCGCAACGTACTGCACGCAGCTTCGGGAACTCGAAGTAACATTCCCAACCACGCACAAGATCACCCCCAGTCAATTTACAAAATTTGTGCAGAGTTTTTCAGATCTACAGTGTCTTCGACTGCATGGTATACGGAGGTACATTATGAATGAAGTGTTCAAATGGCAGAGTCCTTTGGTCGCTCAACTCGAAGAATTAGCCCTGACAGGATATTGGGATTCGAATGATTATTATCCAACCACCGTTGCGGAATGCCTGTTTCGCAACAATTTCCTCGAACGCTGCACCGGCTTGCGCGAGCTTCGTGTGGATGGCGGTGAAGGATTTTCTGTGCGCACCTTTGCTCGGTTGTCATCTTTCGACTCGCTCGAAGTTTTCTACATCGACGGATGGATTGATGACATTGTTGCTGACCAGCTCGAAGCGCAGTTTTTCTACAAGCACAACCCATATCCATTCCCAAGTCTTCGAGAGTTTTCTATGCAAGGCGTGTCTCTGGCGGTCAACGCTCTTCTATCCAGCGCTCCTCGTACTCTACTTAAGCTGAGCCTTGAAGTCGATGATGGTGGTGCCGGTATTCGCTCAACGATTAGCCGCCTTTCGAATCTTGTCAGCCTGAGCGTCACTTTCAGTTTCTTCGGAGAAGTCTTTCGGGAAGATCTGGACTGTATCTCGGCCCTGTCAAACCTACAGGAGCTTCGTATCGACAAGAAAGCGGTCAATAACCCCGGTTTTGTGTCTATTAACTGCTCCTGGCTCACAGATCAATACTTTCGAAGCTGGATTGCAAAGCTCCGTCAGCTTCGCATCTTGCGTTTGGCGCTTTCTGGCTTTCCGTCCGCCTCAATCACCCAGGCTTGTCTACAGTCCCTTTCTGACAGCTGTCCATTGTTAGCTGATTGTCAACTCATGTGGGAACATGATCTGAATGTATGGACAAGCCTTGAAGCGCCTTTGTTTCCCAATCTCGAAGTTTTCCACCTCGGACAAGTCAAGGATCATGGCCACAACCAAGGTAAAGCAGCGATCGACAAGGTTGCTACAAGAGACGTGAAGGTGATTCAGAACCTTGCTCCTAGCCTCAGAAGGTTCTTCATCGAATCTGTACGCCCGCACGAGAAGGCTCTGATGACTATCTTCAAGGCAGGCGTTTGACCTTTTGTGCACCACTTTACCCTCTCATCCGCTATACTCCTGGCTCTTATGGTTTTTTCCCATCCCTGTCCGAGATCGGCTATGTTTCTCTTATTCATATGTTCACTATGAGCGCACGAGAGAAGCAAGCGGCCTTCTCCATCATTGCGGTTATCACCCACCTTCTCAATGCTCATCTTTGCTTCAGTATAGATCAGTACCAATCAAGTAGTCATAAATCACACTTCGCTATTCATGAATCCTTACCTCGCGATGATATTCCCAAGAAAAAAAAAAAAAAAAAACCATTCGTGTTATAAATCTTGTCGGTTGAGAGCGAGCAATACAAGACTTTGTTAAAACGCTCCTAAGTGTTTTGCCTCTCTACCTAGTCCCTTTTGTCATATACATCGACACTAATGTGTGATGAGATTCATTCCGACTTCTTCAGCGTCTGGTCCGAACTTCAAATATCCGAAGTGTCCTTCCAAGTTGTTGAGTGGTTATGTTGACACAGTCTTCCGTTCTCCTGGTTTCCAGCGGTGTGTAATACTGCAGCGGAGCCGGGATATTAGATACTCTTTGTTCTTCTTGACCAATTTCTTGACGTTTCTGTGATAATTACCCAACAAGATTTTTATATGCTCAGTTTGTGACTTGTTATTAGAAACAGCTGCCAACCATGATGGTGCAACATTATGAGCAGGAATCGAACCTGCGACCTTCTGAGGATTTCTTGGCCATAGGCAACAACATTTAGCTCCCACGTGCCGAAAACTCTTGGGTGTGATAGCCTTACATCACCACAGCTTTTTTGCTTGACAGGCGACGGTGAGCTGGCGGGATATGTAGGTGAGTATGTTTGAGCGGTGGTGATGGGGTCGGTAGATGTCAGCGTGGTTTGGTGAAGCTTTAGTGGGTTTCGATTGAAAACTGCGATGTTGAAGGGTATTCGGTTGTGAGATCGTGATATGAGTCTGGTATGCTTGTGTAGATAAACTGGAGGTTCGTGTTGCGACGGAGGGAAGTGGTGGGTTTCCTTTTGTACCGACTCGCCCTTTTCAATCCAAGGCAATGAAAAGTTAGGTCTCTGTTCGTCTGACGTTGTATCATCTATCGGCCAAGGTGTGTACGATCCAAGCATATCGGACCAAGTCTTGGGATGACATCGGAGCAGGTTGGGTTGGCGATCTGGTCTTTATCGATGATTGACAGAGAGCTTGACTCCGCTGGATCAGAGGTCGAGGCAAGAGACTGAAGCTGCCACACTTGCGTTCCTGCTCTTCTCAATTTGCTTCCTTGGTCTCGCACTCAAACGTGTATAGTACCGAGGAAGAGAAAGGCAGTCGTCTCCATGCGAGGATTTCAAGGTGAATGCAACGTGAGTGCACATGGGCGATGATCGAGATAGACAGGTGTCGGCTAGTTGAAGACGGCGGATGTTTCTTGTGGACGATCAGTGTTGAGGGCAGGATCATCTCAAGCTCACACGGTGAGACCTCAGTCGTCGTCTTCTTGACGTAATCTCTTGGTTTGCAGTAACCGTCAAAGTGTGTTCCGGAGTCAATTCATCGCTCGCGGTCGAAGTCGACTGCAACTCCTGCTCCTGCAATGTCACAACCACATCTTTGCTGGCCGTCGTATTAGTCGAACTAGACTCAGCCATCCCAATCCACTGACCAGCTCCCTTCCAAACAGCAGCAGCAACTTTCGATCCATAATCGTAGTAACTTCCTCCTTCGGGATCAATGCTCACATCATCATAGTTGGGAGCCGTTACCAAGAATTTCGTCGTAAAGCCATAGAGAACAGTAATTGCGATGATGATCGTGACGAAGAGAATAGCTTTTCTAGCAAGACAATCGCACTTCATGGTTGAAGTTGTGTTTTTGATAACTCCTTCTTTCCTTGAAGAAGGAGAATGGAAGACCCACCTTGAGCTTTAGACATTTCTAGTTTTGAATGAATGAGAGCTGCTTCGGTGATTGCAAACGCCCCAGCGTCCGTGTACAGGAGATAGAGCCATTGGCATTAATAACGCACGTAGAAAGTGGAAAGAATGCGAGATTGCGATGCTGAGAAAGGGCTGAGCAGGGCTAATTTTGTGCATTGTCGAATTGCTTGCATAAATGGTTGCATAAGCCCCAGAGTCGAAAGTGGCGCGTGAGAGCGATGACGTTGATGACGCTGCTCTCGATGCAATGAATATCAATAGAGACGACCATCTCACTCTTTCCTTAACCCTTACTACTTCTGCCAAACAACTTCAAAGCAAGCAAACACTTGAACTATAACCCCATATACCACACATATCAAAATGTCGGACAACACTCAACAACAACCCAGCCTCATCGGTGGCCACGCTCAATACGTCAAGGGCGCAGCAGAGGTAAGTCATCTTCAATCTCAAACCACTCCTAGAGCTCGCATCTGACACCAATTCCAGGGCGTCATCGGCAGCGTCACCGGTAACGCAGCATGGCAGCAAAGCGGCGAGACCGACAAGCAAGGCGGCATCGACGCCATGAAGGCTGCAAGCGAGAACCGCGATCCCGCCACCGATGGTTACGGCAAGGTTGAAGAGGTGGCTGGAAAGCTCTCTGGTTGCGAGGGTATGGAGAAGGAGGGTGCCATGTCGGCCAAGAAGGAGTAAACAACCAAGAAGAAGAGCTATGAAAGAAGAAGGCAGGGTTGTAAGATCATCATACCCTTTTGTCACGAGGATGAAGTTATGAAATCCAGCATATGCATTGTCGACAAGACCCACAAATTGCCCTCGCTGTGTGACGCTGTTGACCAGAATCGCGTAAATGTCTCTTTGCGTAAGAAGTAGTTTGACAATGGAAGGGGAGTGTGAGAGACTAAGGGCTGCTCTTGCTTGCTCGCTCTTTTCCCTCCTTGACCCATGCCCTAATCATGAAGCCAAACCTCGCTACGGCTGGACAGATAACCCCTCACCCGATCTATCCAACTTCAACAAAACATGAAGGAAACATAAGCAGCCTTTGCTCTGAACGATACGTTTGCGACCAGTGGAGATGGTGAAGATGGTGAAGATGGTGGGGTGACTGACACTGTGCTTGTCGTTGGCTGTCACGTTCACCAGTTTCAGGACATCCCACTACCGCAGGAGTCAGTCGCCAACATGCTTCTAGAAGACACAAATTCCGTTGAATCGTGCCCATTCACGTGTGTCAAAAGTGCATTCACAAACAGTATGCAGGGCAAAGGGGAGATCCAGGAGGCTGAAAAGACCAAGCTTCTGTGGGGGCGGTGGTGTGTTTCAGCAGGCTGATTTAACAAAGCATGGGCCCCTTTCGCATATCCAAGTCCTCGATACCAATCGAAGTACCTGTACTTTGGCATGTGATTGTGGATACAATTTTTCTGGAAAGATGAGGGCTTCGAAAAGGTGCAAGGAAGTCGCATACGTGAGGAACGAGCCTGGTAAGCGGTCTGTTTCACGTCCGCTAAAGGCTTGAAGAATGTATTGGTGACTAGAGGTCCAGAGGCCGCCACCATCATGGGCTTGAGACGTGGGCTCCACCTCTGCGATCGATTATCCAGAGTGTACGCGTCTGAACGATACGGGATGGTGTGATATGGCCGAAACAGGTGGCAGACAGCGAAGTGGAAGAGGTGTTCCGTGTGGACTTGTTTGACTTGTTAAGACTTGTGTCAGATCTAGATCTTAATCATCTATGAAGCGCCAGACATGCTCGTTCGTTTCCAAAGGACGAAACCAGAAAAACAGCAGAAACCTCAATGTTGCAGCACCCATATCGCTCCATGCCCGAAACGCCAAAATGCTCATGTCAGCCCGAAGAGACGTAGCCAGGCTTGACGGGAATCAAACAAGAAAACAGATTTTCATCAAATGCCAAGTGCAAGCTTGGCCCTCTCGTAGGCAAAGAAGCTGGTGGCGGTCATAGGGATGACTTTCATATAACCGATACTTAGACCTACAAAGAAGCCTTTGAAGCCAGTGGTGCGGAAGATGCGTCCAGCAACTTCCATCATGCCCAGACGGTGGCCATCGCCGACCACGCCACCTACTTGCATGCGTCTTCGTATGACTTCTAGCGGGTATGATACGGTTTGCGACACGAACCCAGCAAAGCCACCAGTTGTTAGTTCCGCCCAGTATTTGAGCGGCACCGGCTTGTTGGGATCGCGCTTGGTCGATTGTTCAGATGCGGGGAGTGTAGTGTATTTTGCAATGCGTGGATGTCGCATGAAATCGCCAGCTGTATCGTGGGTGAGGAAGGAGCAGCCGGCGTATGGGAGCATGCCCCAGAGGGTGGGTGTGAAGCCTCTAAAGAAATTGACCATGCCCGATGCAGGCGTCGCTCTGTTCAAGGCAGCAGAGGTGACGGATATTGATGAAGTAGCGGCACGGGTGACCGAGGACGTGTCTACATGCTGGGTAGCTGAGCCAACGGGCGGTGGGTGTTCGTGGTAGATTGTTTTGCAGATTTCTCTCAGACTAGTCCTGTGATTTGTTTTTGTCTCGAAGGCCAGCCGTACGCGGATAACTTCGAGCGGGTAGGTGAAGCAGACGGAGATAGTGCCAGCCAAGCTGCCACTGAGAAGTCGGCGAATGGGAGTCTCTTTGTCTTTATTCGGAATGATGACAGCGCGGATTTGCTCATAGGCGAGGAACTTGATACCGGCGTAGGGAAATATTCGGAGCAAGGTTGCTGAATGGCCACGAAAGAGACCTCGCGTGCCCTCGTTGTTGTGGATGTCGCGCATGGCTCTGAAGAAGCCAAACCATGAGCCCGTGTACTTTGCATATTGGGGACTTGAAGCCTGGAACAGGATCTTGACGCGATCTAGCGGGCCTACTACAGTCTTTGCCTATGTTGTGTGTGAGTAGAGGGCGAAAATGTGGGAGCGAAAATGACGTACGGCGCATCCGGCTATGCCACCAGCCAACCCGCTACGCAGAATATAGTCCCAGCTCTGCTTGTTGCCATGGGATTTTGTCTGAGGTGAGGAGGAAGGCGTCACGCGGCGAGAGTCCATTGTGTGTTCGGGGGCATGGTTGCCGCTGATGGCGAGGCTCGCCGGCATCAATTCAAAAGATGTTGTTCTTTGTCTTGCGGGGTGTGGACAGTCATTCGGCGGCAGCACTTCTGTTGGAGTTGGTGGATTCTGAATCTTTGAAGTCGGACGCAGACGAGAGCAGGTTGCGCAACAGTAGACAGGCGGAAGAGCGGCACGTGAAAAGAGTCGATAGTAGGTAGTCGTAGTAGGAGTATGCACAAAATAGAGACGATGACCAAAGTCTCTGGTGTGTGGAGAGAGAGAAAGTGACGCTTCCCGCATTTGCCGAGGTTCCTACCGTTTGTCCTCCGCCTCGACCCAATTCTAGGCCCGACACTTGGAAAGTCCTCCACAAAGCCGCTCTTGCTGCAACAAAAATCAATTAACGAACTCGCTCGCACCTTCCATCGTATATCAATCCCAATCTTGCAGTCTCAAATTTATCGGCCCCATCAAAGGCTTCATCAACTTCTCGTTACTGGACTGCCGAGAAAATGATCGCTACTGCTGACATCTGACAATTTGAGCTCCTTCTTTGATAACAAGCACAAGCATTCCCTGTTACAACAGCTCACATCCAAGGAACGTGATTGGGGCATCATCCTCAATGGGCGAATTGTCCGACAAGCAGTCCAACACTTCTGCTCTGTCATCTGGCCCATCGCTGCTCTCGTCATGTATCCTGTATTCAACAGACAGGGTCGCCCTGATTGTAAGTTGAGCTGAAGCTGCAGTCACCACGACGACTGCTGGCACTTCGTCTCACCTTGTACGCCAGGCTCCTACGCCGTGTATTGAAATACCGTCCAAAATGGCGCCTCGGAGGCCGCTTACACAACCAACTCTGTGAGGTCATGCTGATTGTGCCTTCGCTTCATAGGATATACCGACTTCAATCGCTGAGGCCCAGCAAAGCTCTTCTCGACACCCGATCTCATCTCTAGTTTCGTGCAATCCTCGAACCACTCCTTACCCAAACCATGAACCAAAATCGGAAGCTGCGCGTTCCAAATTGCGCCAGAAGATGGCCACTGAACATGATGATTTGTATGCACAATTGATCTCTTCTTCTCTGGCTACCATCCGCCAGAACCACACCGGTCCTTGGTTGCTACCACGTACTGTTATTTCGCAAGCAGAACATCTGCCACCTAAGCGCAAGTTCAATGACCCCGCGTCCGATACCGAGTCAGCGAGGGATGATCTACTACACCAACTCTCATCCGATACCACATGCTCATATACCTTCCGCTGGAGACATATGGATGATCAGCAGCGCGCGGCTGAACCCCTGCTTGAAACATCCTCTTGGCCGAAGTACCTGTACAATCCGTCGGATGATGCTCGTATGCTTGACATAGGAGTATCCTCAACCTCGATGGACACCGCTGCCAGCTTTTGCATCCCGCCAGGGGCTGCCTTCTATCTCGGCGATTGCTCAAAATCGCGCTCCTTCCATCTGGCCGTTAAGCATGTCGCCGAGCAACTCGACACAACGCGACAATTTGACGTGATTGTTATGGATCCTCCCTGGCCTAACGCTTCTGTCAGGCGCACAGAGAAGTCAGGAAGATCAGCCTACCAAGTTTCCCCTACTGTCTGGGATGTCAGGCAACTAATCTTCGAGATGGACATTGATGTTCTCCTGGCCAACCAAGGTGTGATTGCCATTTGGATCACCAACAAACCAGCGGTCCGCGATCTCGTACTTGGCGAAGACGGCCTATTTGACAGTTGGGACGTGCGGCTGGAAGAAGAATGGTTGTGGATCAAGACAACAACCGAGGGTGAGCCCGTCTCATCTATGGATGCTCTTTGGAGAAAACCGTACGAAGTGCTCCTTGTCGGGAGAAAACATGACCCAAGAAGAAGTGATCAACATGTCAACTTAGCCGACACTTCCAAGGTCGAACGAAGAGTGATAGTCGGTGTTGCTGATCTGCATTCTCGGAAGCCTTGCTTGAAATCCCTGTTTAGACGGTTCGCGATCAGCGCAACGTCAACATCAACAAAACAGCGCATTCTCGAGTGCTTTGCGAGATATCTTGTGAGTGGTTGGTGGTCGTGGGGCAACCAGGTGCTCAAGTTCAATCATACCGACTGTTGGCAATCTAAATCATAGATTTTGCCAAGAGCCACACTTCGTATCATTTCTAAAAGCATAATCACCCGTCACCAGATAATTATGGATCACGACACGAGCATACGAGCCTCCTTCACGACCTTATCCAGAGGTTATCTCGCCTGTTGGACATTTTCGCCAAGCTCTAAATCTTACTAGATCTCTTAGTCCAAGCTCCGGCATGGGTCCGAATCCTCAAGATGTGCAGAGTTACATTTGATGTGCTCAACATCTTTTCCGGTGGTCAGCTTCTTCTATCTGCTGGCCTATCGCAGATTTAACGCTTGAATTGCGACTCCACCTCCCTATCTCGTTCATGTATGCCCGAAACAACCGAGCTCTGACGATAGCGTCATCGCTTTCGAATGAAGGCATTTGACACGACTCTGTCGGTGGCTGTTGGATTTATATTATACCTTTTTGCAAAGTGCTGGTATGCTGATCCAATAGAGGTTCTGTGGTGCGGATGTCGTCAATCTGCGTCGTGATAGCTTTTTACGGCCCGCGAGCCGTGGTAGACTCAACAAATCATTCCTACTCCAGGCGGCATGATGGCATTTGGTGATATTTGAAGCATCAAATTCTGCGGAGAGTATCCACAAGAACGTGGACCCTATGACGACACAGCCAATTTTCATGTGAAGTTGCAAGCAGTCCTCGGGATTGTCTTGGTCCGACTAAATCCCGTCACGAAAAAGGTCGACACGTTGGAGCTTGGCCGACTTAGCCCGTTGATCCCAACCTCTCAAGCAATGCCATTTCCCTGCATCTTCCGAAGGAGATGATGCCGCCCAGCCGGCTGTAAGAGCTCGACGACCAGCCCTGTACTCCACCATTGTCTGATATCGCTCAAGAGGAGATTGCACGTTAGGCGTCGTATCAAGATAGGATGTGTTACAGGGGCACAATGGTAGCAACCAGCTTGAAACACGAGTCAGAAACACAACAAACAGAGCATTCAGCCCTTTGTGCTTTGAGCCCTCAACTTCTAGATACGAGGTTTCATGGAGCAAAGGATCGCGACATCAGTGGCCTTTCCGAAACGTATTGGACCCTTTCTCCTGCAGCGGCGCAGCAAAAATGGGCCCTGTTTTTTCGTGCAAAATCTGAGATCTGGTCGCATTGTTTAACCTCGCTGCGGAAATACGCAAGCCGAACACATAGCCGAACTGGTCTGCTAGCCTCAAGTGGATCAAGTGTGCCAAGTCGCGAGGCTCAAAACGGCTAGTCGTGCTGAGGGTAGGCTGCTTATTATTCAGTGCTCACACCGCTGGGCCGTCTATGACTCTCTAACACCGAGGAAGGCCCACCACATCTCGGGACGATGAATCGAAATATACACTGGCGGTCGCAGCGCCCCCCTAGCGCTCCTTGACAGTGTGGAGAATTCAGCCAACCACGTAGCTGTTTGTTTGCCGGGTACCTAACTATTAACGTCAATCTACCGGGCCCTGCCTCAGAACTACAAGAAGGCCAGAGCACCCCCCACCTTAGTTTCTGGAACACGCCCATACAACTTGACACCTTCGCACACCGTCTGGATTACGGTACAGCAAGCAGTAGCTTTGCAGCAGCCTCTCACCTCGCCTCTCCACCTCAACCTATTCCTCAACCTCTTCACAACCCTACATGTATAAAGCTGTTTGCTCTGCTCTGCACAATGTCGACCTCTACTATCTCTTCCGCACGCTTCACAACTCCTAGTTGCTCGTCGAACCCAACACAGCCGATCCAGATTGGTTTCTCTTCGTCGTCGTCAACCATGGGCAGACCTCGCAACACTAGCGATGCTTCCATTGTCTTTGGCAGCCCTTCTCCTAATGGACCTGCTGCTTTCCCCTCCTGGAAACTTGCCCGCCCCCAGCTTCCCCAAGGCCCCGCCAGCTCCTACATCAGCGACGAGGATCTCTTTGGCGATGACGAGGTTGCCTACCTCGACGAGGCACCTGAACCGCCTAGAACTGCCGAACAATGGATGACCTCCAAGCGCGGCATGGGTATGGCTGCAAACGCCAGCCTAGTGACTCTCGACAGCAGCTGTGAGAGCTACAACAGCTTTGGCTTCAGCAATGGCTACACGCCTAGCAAGCCCATCATGATGAAGAAATAAATATCATCTTGGTGATAATACTGTAAGTTTCACCGAACACTGTCCTTCTGTACATGGTTCTAATACCAATCAGACAACTAGTTCTTTACCTTATGAACGCGGGATGTCGTCTCTGGACTGTCACAGAAGGGCAACTCTTCTGTTTCGTTTCCCAGTTTCTCAATTCGCCACTTACGACTACACTTTCTTCTGGAGCCTGGATTATCTCCGACTTCAACTACCTCTTTCTGGTCAAAGATCTTTCATCATTTCTTTTGGCTGTCCACTCGTTTAAGCCCGTCCGTCAGACATTGGCTGGACCATCCGCGCGGGCCTTTCATGTGCTGGCGACACGCTAAGACGTGTCGCAGCTGAGAATCAAGGCCCAAACAGAGTGCCACGGATCACTCTGCATTCGCTTTGCATCATCTTCTTCAACTCACTTCTTTCCTTGCCTGTTTATCCTCTTGGAGTTTGCTGCATCCTGCATGGTCGGAGCATTGCGAAGCCCTATGCGATGGAAATCGTTTTTCTCACCTTCTCATTTGATACCCCTTGGCGAGATAAAGCCAATTTTGAGATATCCCCTTTTTCCCTTTACTGTATCTAGATAGCCTCTTAGCAGGAGGAGCCTGAAGAGGACGCCAGCTTGTTTATCAGCATAAGCCCTACTGCGATAGGCAGAGAGGCAGCGGAATTGCTGCGCAGTCATATGCAATCACCATGAAGCGGGGCGCTTACGGCGCGAATCCCATTTGCTCCCAACCCTTCCGTCAACTTGTTCCGAGTCACTTTGCCCTTCTGCCGAAATGCCTATCCCAGGAAATTGATCGACTTCCATTTAAGCTGATTTATTCCCTACGCTTATGACAGCAACGCAATATGCATATCGTGAGTCGGGTCAGAAAACGAACCCTTCATCTCCACGTCCTGCAAAAGGTATGCAGGCACTGTAAGAACTTTTTTCTCAATGCGTCCGTCGATGGTTCTACAACCGCAAGCTCAAATGACACGAAACTCGGCAACGCTCATTTGAGCACATATGCTAGAACCGCGGTGAGAGAAAACGCGCTCGTGACGCCCTATCGCATGGTCGAGTACGACAAAGAAAAACGTGACCTGTGAACGCTGCAGCGACAACGCAAGGAACACGAAATCCGGCGAACCAGCAATCCCATCAAAGTGGTTCAGACTTTCCTGTTCGACAGAATGTCGCTTGGAAGTATGATGCTGGTGAGATTCTGCCCAATAATCGATATATCTTGCTTGAGTCTAGCAGAATGCACAGGTGTGAGGTCGAGATGCGTGTTGGGCACGTTCCAGTGGGGGCCTTCTGGGCCAATCACTCGCTGCAAGCCTCCCTTCTTCTCTCTGCATCCTGCTCCCCATGCCTTCTACTTTGTTCGAGCATGAACCCCCGCCCAGTAATAGTGATGGTGGCAAGCCGTCCGCGCTGGAGATTGTCCTCCCTTGAAGCTTTAGTTTGCTCGCCTGTATTCGCCTGCCAACTGGTCTAGCATTGTATCCTCTCCGCAAGTTGATAGGTCCTTCTTCGAGCCGTCAATAATGTCTAGGCGCTCTGCACTTCGATCGCTTTCCCGAATAGGTGGCTCATCACCAGAGGCACATATTGCGCCAGCCGAACACGCATGGCTTTGGTATACGCGCCCAAATCTGATTTGCCCACTTGTAACATGAGTACGTCTCTGTTGTCTTGTTTCTTTCTTTCTCTTTCTCCCTTTTCTCACTTGCCAGCCCACACCAAGTTACTCACCAAGAACAACATTTTTGCACTTCCCCAAAGTTTCAAGAGTGGCTGCTTGCATGTCCGAGCTGCAGGCCATCCTGGTCGGCCCTTGACGCGGACGACTTTTACCGTGGCACAAACCACTGCTTGAGGATATTTGTGCCTGTTCATCGTTCCACGCGGTGTGACTGTATCCGCTTGGCACAAGTTTTTGGTACGTCGATCTCGCGCAACGTTACAGCAGAAATACACAGCATCCCACACCTTGTTTTCTGATTGCTATTCTGGTCCACGGCCATTTCGCCCACAGAGACGCGGCCCGGTTCATGACCGCTTGATTCGCTACCTTGGGGTCAACTCTGGCAGACCATTGTTCTGATTTCTCCAGACCTTACTCAGCCATGTCGACTGGTCGCCCTTCCGGTCAAAGGTCGCACTCTGCTGTGAGGAAGCAAGCAGCGACAAAGCCTAATCCTTCTCAAGCCTCGTTGACACCTAACCCTGATACCGAGTTTCAACCTTGTGCCGCGACTGCCTCGTTTTTTCTCTACGCCCAAAGAAACATTATCCTCTGTCTGCACCACGATACATTGGCAATAGAGCGACGATTTGATCGACATCAAGAAGATATACTTTGGATATGCGCAGACACTGTCAGCGAAAGAGGTGCGGGTCGTTTGGCCGTCAGTTATGACACAGGACACACTGCAATTGTTTGGGATATTTCAACAGGAGATGAGATCGCTCGCTTTGCAGCGTACGAGCAGATCAAGGTGGCAGCTTGGATGAAAAATGGAAACATTGCTTTCGGTAAGACTTAAGGTTTTGAGAATTGGAGACTGTTCTGACAAGGCTTCAGGAAACGCGCAGGGGAATATAATATTGTTTGAGCCTTCTAGTTCTGAGCACATATCCGCTCGTACAATCTACGATCCAATTACAGCGATAGCCCCGGCAGCAGATTCGCGGACGTTCGCAATCGGGTGAGCTCCTTCTACATGTGGCACACGTCGCTGTTGCTGACAGGTCGCAGATTCCAAAACGGTTCCATCTTGATTGCGACATTGCAACCGCTCTTTACAATTGTGCACAGTCTGACGACATCGAAAGCTCCTTCTCGGATCGCCGGACTTTGCTGGCATGGTTCTTCTTCGCGCCAAAAATCCGACATGCTTGCCACTCAGACCGCAGATGGTGATCTCCGAGTTTGGAGTATACCAAAATCAGCTGTCGTTGGAGAAACGCCAAACATTATTCGAATACTGAGTCGACTAGAAATTGGAAGCCTAGGCCCTTGCTGGTTCTCATGGTCTAAGAATGGCCGTATCATACAACATACAGACGGGTAAGAAGACCTTTGCCTCCACATCTAGGCTGTTACTAATGTGAAGCTTCTACAGAGAAACACGCTCTTGGGACGTCCGTACCAAGAATGTGAGTTTCCAGTCCGTACCAACTGTCGACGGTATTGTCGGCATCGCATGCTACGGCCCATCATCAACACTTTTTACGCTTGGATCAAACCACACTGTGCAACAGTACGATGTGAATCCGAGCGAAGTTCCAATGCAAGTCGCTAGTATACAGCACGCTCCGGGTCCACTTCCGCCGTCACCACCAAACTCGATCGAAGAGCAAAAGAAAGAAGAGACGGCTAGAAAACAAGCCGCAGCCAGCGCTGCTCCGTTACCGTTTGCCTATGTGGATGCAGATTCAAGCGAAGGTGAGCTCGGCACTATGTCACCGCTTGAGAAGATTGTGAAAGAAATGGATCAACTGGAAGACGAAAAGCAAGACCGGCTTGGTGCGCTCAGTCCAACATCTAGTAGAGCCTCTTCGGTGAGTTCGCGATCGTCCAATGGTGGACGCAGAGTGCCGTCATATCGCTACGACAAGGCCCCCTCCTCACGAGCCTCCGAGGCGTCTTACAACGAAGGGACAGAGTTCTCATTTGGTCTACCATCACGAAGGCCTCGTGAGAGTGCCTCTGTCCGTTCAATGTCTTCATTGCGCTCCTCAGGTCTACGCAAAGAAATCTTGAGAAGTTCAGACGAGGCTCAGCAGACGTCGCAGATGGACCTTTTCCCGTATACTCGAGCGAGACTGCGAGACGTGCCTTTTAGAACTCCCCATTATGGTCAAGCTCCTCGCACTGCAGAGCTTCTACGACAGGAAATGCTAAGTGTTGTGTTTGGTTGGAATGATGACATCGAGTCTCTGGTGCGCGATGAATGTAAGTTAGCACTATTACACAAAACAAAGACATCTTGAGCTAACACAGACAGTCATGAGACAAAGGCCAGGGTCCGCTAGTAGCGTGCTCCTCTCGAAATGGCTTGGTGAGTTTGGTGCAGATACCATGGCTGCTATGGCGGGCTCCGAGAATATGACTTCTTCAGACTGGATGTTGCTAGCTTTAAGTTCTATGGGACCATCTTCTGGAAAGCAGGTTGGTCAAGCATTTGTCCAGAGACTCCTGGAGAAGGGTGACATCCATCCTGCGGTTGCAGTGCTCTTAGGGTTCGGCGAACACGATGATGCTATAGAGGTCTACGTCTCTCGTGGCTTCTATATGGAAGCAGTTCTTCTGACTTGTTTGACTATGAAGTCAGACTGGCAGAGGCAATCTTACCTTATTCGAAAATGGGGCGAAGCCTCTGTGATGCAAGGTCAACCAGAACTGGCAGTACGCTGTTTCTCATGCACAAGCATCGAAACATCGGACTCGTGGTCCTCTCCTCGAGCACAAGGCGCAACCTTCTCTAGCCCAAAAGAACAAGGCATCGGCCCCTCTCCTCTGAGCCCTCCACTTTCGCCGCCATTTGCTGTTGGTGCAAATCGGAAACTCACAAGAAATGGATCGCTGAAACTAATCACGACATTTGGTGATAAGGGGAATGCTCTTGTATTGCCCTCTGCAGACCAGGTTACACCCATGGCAGGTATGCTTGGTGTTGGCGTCACACCAATAGCTGAGTCTGCAATTTCACCTGGTGGTGCAGCACCCTGGCTTCGTAGTGGTAGTAGATTCGATCGAGACCCATCATCAGCAAGGACAGCGACTCCTGGCGGATATATGAGAAGACAACTGCCTTCCAGAAGTGGGACATCACGAACACGAGATACTTCTCAGACTCCTTTGACAGCCCGTAGAGAGGTATCCGGACCAGCTCACGCTACAGAAAGTTCTGAGATGAAAAAGTCTTGCCACGGTCGCAGCTCTTCGTCTGTCGTTTCGACTGGCAAAGTTCGAAGCCTTGAGCAGGTGTCAAAACAGCCTTCTCATCCAGATCGATTGCCATCACCAAGCAGTGATGTTTTCTCGCGTCTGAAAAGCGACACTCGAATTAGGAACGGATCACGCGAAAGAGGCAATAGTGATCTCCACGTGCAAGTCTTTGATACAACTTATCTGCCAACACAGTCATCTCAGGCCTCTACTGCTCGACCTGAACATTTGGATTCTTTCACAGACACTCGCCAGAGGCGAGACCAAGACCCAGATGACACGTCAGATTATCGTGGACGGTCAGTCAAGCGATATATTGGCGCACCAAAGATATCACCTTCATCTCCAATTCCCATGTCGCCCGACGAAGTTGAAGCCAGTCGAGCAATGGCTGCGGTCACTACTAACAGTATAGATGAGTCTTATTACAGACAGCCCACACCACAGTACAAGAGTTCTGATGTAGGACGCACCTCACGAGCGAGCAGCCAGACCCCGAATAGACAAAGAGACCCTAGTCAGGTGGATCAGCGCCTTGCGGTCAGACTCCGTGAAAGAAGCGAATCTCGACAAAGACTCCAGATCAGCAGGAGCAGAGCACCTTCTGTCAAAGGGGAACCCGAATCTCGGACCCAAACCAATCCTACCGCTGAAAGCCTTCGAAAGAGCCTGGATGAAGATAGCTCTGCTTCTGAGTCTGTGCGCCTTAGAGATCTCCAAACTCTGACAAAGAAGCAACTCGCCGCCCGAGAGCTCGAGGAGAGGCGCGCTTCATTGGCCAGGCGACCGTCGGCACCGGCAATACCCTTGCCCAGTGATGTCAAGACGCCTCCAAAAAGGCCTGTAATGGCTCCTCGACATCATACTGAGCTCGGGGATACTCCTAGCTCATTCATGCCTCCTTACTCTGGTGGTCAAATCACCCGCAGCCATACGGCCGATCCGGAATCCAATGGTCGCTTCCCAAATACGAAGAATCCAGCAACCTCAACTCCAACAGTGCCGATCGGGCTGCCAGCTACTCCCAGAGCTATGAGACACCCACGCTATATGTCTGCTGATCCGAACGAAGGTGAAGAAGTACCTGCTGTGCCACAGATTCCGGAGACCCCTCCTCAACTTACATCTGCCACGTTCCAGCAAGAGTCGCCTTCCTCAAAAGCCGCAGAAGATGATCAAATCGCTCCTCTTCTACCTGCCACCGTATTCGGACAGCAAGCAGCTCTATCTCCGCCACGTTCTTCTTCGGCGCCACCTGAGACGAATATGGATGGCACTCCATGGCATTATAAGACGGTGCTGCCACATTCTTCCAGACGAGGATCTGTCACCAAAGGAGGTCCTAATCGCAAAGTGACACTTACAGAAAACAATCTCCAGCCTCAGCAAAGTCCTTTGACGAACAGGCCTAGTATTGATCAAACCTTGCATGACACTCAAATCGTCATTGTGGAAGACTCCGAATTGATGCTGCCGGAACTACAACATCTCGCGGGCCCCCCACCTCCACCTCCGCCATTGATGACAACCAATCGTGTAAGCGGCCTCGGTGTAATCGATATAGCCATTGGAGAAGAGGAACCTATGGTCATTGATGTCTTACCAACCATTGACCGAGCACTGACAGCTCCTCCACTGAACAATTATGCGCAAACACAAGCACAAGCCCAAGCTCATATGCAATCACAAGCCCAGAGGCGTGGTCGTGGCAGCATTAGCGAAGGAATCGGCTCACGCTTGCGAAGTGTGACGGAGCGTATCCGTAACAATAGCAAGTCCCGTACCAAATCACCGCCGATCGAGACTCACGTCCCTTCGCCTTATGAGACGGTCCTTCCTAGCATGTTTTCTAGACAGCCGCCTGAAAATAGTCTTGCTCGGGCAACATCACCCTACGAAGCTTCTCCAATCATAGCCAGCGCCGCGGCTTCTGAAGCATCGCTTGCCATGCAGAACGCCATACCACCACCCCCGCCGCCACCACCACCACCAGCTCCACCTGCATTTGTCGAACAGTCTGAGATCTCTGCTAAATCAAGTCAAGGATATCCTCACCCCCGTGAAGTTCGAGCAAACATGCCACCAGAGACTCTCCTATCTCCTGGAGTGTACCAACCAGACAATATGTTCTAGTCCAATCTGTATATTGCATATTCACCTTCATTTGTCATTTCCGGACTAATTTTGTTGTCATTGTTTGCCTTATTCTTCAACATATACCTCTTTGCACTTTTGTTCTTGTCTGTTTGTTTTGCTCGTCTCTCTTGCTTAACTACATCTTCATGATTGACGTTTACTAGTGAGAATTGCTTCGGGGACTTTGCGACAGAAGAGGGAATGGAACGTGCAGATTGTGTTCATTATTGTTTAGTCTAGAATGTATATCAATCATTACTTCAACGAAAACATTGGTTTGGAAAAAGAACGCGTTCAGATTTGCTCCTGCTTGATGATACGTAATGAAGACGAAGACTTATGCGAGACGCTCTGCATTTCAGTCAAAGTACCTACCGTCTCTCTTGCCTTCTTGATCATCTCAGCAGATGAGCACATCTCAACCTAAAATCATATCGCAATCTCCAGCACCTGCCCAAAACAACCAGAAAGGAACAAACCAAAGGCCCGAAATCAAACCTCATCACAAGATCAAACTCCTCCCACACTGATAACGGAAACACCGCCATTTGGTAGGAAGGTCCTCATTCAACGGACGTAATCATTTCCCAGAAGCAATGCAGATAAGAGCCTTGGAAGGATCATCGAAGGTTGGACGGGGGTTCCGGTGACTATACCCATTCGGGTAGGTGTACGCGGGGCTCCGCGTTTTGGCTTTGACCTCTTACAGGGTTGGCTATTATCAGGTGGGCAGGTGTAACCCTAAACGTTTCTTCTTCTTGCAGGAAGCGGGGGCCTTTGTTGCTGTTCTTTATGTGTGTTCATCTGTTCTGGTACTCAGGTAGCACAGCAGAAAAGATTCTTGGGCTGAAGAAAAGGAAGGAACGGAGAGCACTTCTGCATGGTCAGGGATATCGCTGCAAGGCGTGCTTACACTTCGGCGGAATAGTGAGACGTTCGGAAAGGCGCGATGATGAAGCTAAAAGCTCCTCGTGATAGCGGTACGGGCGAATCCGACACATGCGTGGCCCTGGATAGGAACGTGGGGGCTAAAGCTAATAGCGGTCGTATCTGAGTTGCTCTATCTGTGCATGGAAGAAGAATGAGGCGAAGATCAAGGAACGTATGTATTTAACGGCACTGGATCATCCGAAGCCTTGTCTCTTCCTCTGCTTCCTTCTTACTCTCGTCCAAACAGCAAGACTCGTTCCTCTCAACACAGACAACTGCTCTTTGCAACCAACGCCTCCAAACCTCGACTACCCTTTCCAAACGACAAAGCATCGCAGCTTTTCCCCTTCACGCCCTATCAGGCACATCGGCTACAGCCCAGATATTGATGTCGTTTTTCGTTGCCATCAACAAGAACACCGGACGCACCTTCATCCCCCTCAGTAATCACAGCAGCAGTACCAACCCATCCAATAATCCATCATGGAGGGTGTCAATCATCAAAAGACAACCTACACCCTCAATGGCAATCAGCCTAACATGAATGGAGACAATGTCGGTCACCAAAAGAATAATGTCAACCAGGCTGGTACTGCTGCTGCTACTGCTGGAGGGGATGAAGTGCGTCAGGTCACGCTGGCCGAGTACAAGCAAGCCGCTCAGTGCTTGGCTGAAGCCTTCGCCGATGATGATGTTGCACGCTACTTCACTGAAGTCCCCGACCGTGCCCACTGGACCGAGAAACAGAAATGGGATCTCCATGTGAGCATTCTGGAGTACATCACGTACGCTCACATCCTCAAGGGCTTGGTGTTGGCTGCAGGTCCCGATTACGGATGTGTTGCCCTTTGGTAGGTTTTGTTCAGATACACTGCGGTGTACTGCTGTTGTTGGTGAGGCTGATGACGAGACAGGATGCCTCTAGGTCAGAACATGGATGACTATCTGACCATTCTGCGCAGTGGTATGTGGAGATTATGGTACAAGCTCTCGGCTGAAGGACGCAACCGTTTCTTCGACGAGTTCTTTCCCCTTCTCCATGAGACCAAGCTTGAGGTTATGGGTGTACGCGACGAAGAGTCGTACTATCTCGTGTACCTCGGCACGAAGCCTGCAGCCCGTGGCAAAGGCTACGCACGCAAGTGTATCGAGTACGTGACCAGAAGCGCGGATGCCGAGGGCAGAGCTTGCTACCTTGAGAGCAGCAACGCTACCAACCCAGCCATCTACCGTAAATATGGTTTCGAGACGGTCAGATCCATCCATCTCAAGCGCGCCGAAAAGGTTGTGGACCTTGATATCATGGTTCGCGAGCCTCAACCGGGCAAGAAACAGCCCTTGTTAAGCCTTGAGAAGGTCGACAGTATGATGACTGATGTGCCGTCTGTCACTCGTCCAGTGTCTGTCTCCATGAAACTAGCAGGAGAGAAAGAGGCAGTCGCCAGTATCTCCGTGGCTTGAAGACAGATGGTGATGTGTTTTTGTTTTGCTGTGCTTTGCTTTGCTGTGTTTTGCATGTCGCTTTTCAACCATTGTCACTCCTTTTTCGCTTTGATGGCTGCCTTGCCGTACTCTTGTTGCATTAATTTGCCGTATCTCTCTTTTTCACGGTCGTTCTCGTTCAATTACGCCGCTCGCGTTCAATAGTGTTGTCCATATAACAGGTAGCAATGCACTTGGCTTGTCATCACCCACGAATCAAAATAGAAAATCAAAAGCTGCAATAGTGGTATCGTACAGAAAAAGGATTAGACATCACATCGTGCCGCCTTGGTATCATTGTTAACTCCAGAGATGCTGCCTCTATGACCATGGATGGAATGCAGCGCAAAGCAAGACGTGTATTTACAGGAAATAGTCCCTAACGGGGTCCGAGCCAGGGTTGTTGTGTTGGTTTTGTTGCTCAATGCGGTGGACTTCGTTCTCAGGAGCTGCATCGAAGACGTTCCAGTGTCTCTCTCCAGTAGGACTGACTTCGAGAACACTGGCCTTGTTTCCACATCGGTAGCAGTAGTTAGGAGCGCTCCAGACGGTGGACAGCCTGTCATCGAACATGACCATGTACCCTTCATTACAGAGTTGGTGAGCACGGAGAATGTGTGTCATGGAGTTGACTTGTAGGAATTTCTTGACGACTTGAGCACCAAAAGTGTAGCCAGCTCCTCTTGGACTTAGTGAGAATTCATCGCGGTCGGCATCGGGGTCACTCCAAACCAGGTCGGCCATGGGACCTTCGTGCGGGATCTCCCTGAAGCGGTCGATGATCTTGATCTGATCAATGCTATGGATGCTGGGCGACAGACCACCGTGGACGCAGAAGATCTTGTCGTCGATGACGCAGGAGAGGGAGAGGTAGTCGAACATGTCGGTAAAGTGGTGCCAGACAGCAGCATTGCCGTACTTGCGGCTGCATTCGGTATAGAAGCCGTAAGATTGGGTGACACCGCGGGATTCGTGATTGCCACGGATCAGATGGACGCGGTGAGGGTAGCGCAGTTTGAGACAGACCAGCAGCGAGATGGTCTCGACACTAAAGAGGCCGCGATCAACGTAGTCGCCTATGCACAGTCAGAGATGGGGTCTTGTTTGCGGTCGCGTGCCTCTGTCGACATACCGAGGAACAGGTAGTTGGTGTCTGGACAAGGGCCGCTGATTTTGAAGATCTCGAGCAAGTCGAAGAACTGGCCGTGGATATCGCCGACGACGGTTACGGGAGCCTGAATGTGGACGACATTGCTCTCCTTCATGAGCATCTCCTTGGTCTTTGCGCATATGGCCTCGATGACCGACTCGGCAAGCAGCTCCTTCTGGTAGAGCCTCTCAATGCACTCGTCAAGATCGATGCTGGCTTGCAAACGTCAGCTCTTGCCATGCGGCGCATTCTTGCAACAACAGGAGCCCTACAGGGAAGTCCGGGCATGACGGCGGCGGGTGTGCGTGCTCGCGCAAGCAGGTGCGATGGGCGTCGGAGAGAAGCTTAGGGCGATGGGAAAGGCGATATTAGTGCCTTGGTAGATACAACTCTTTCACACATGATCGAGGCCAAAGACAAAGCCCGAGATGCGTCTACCAGAACGACATGACGGCTTTCTTGAAATGCTGTTCAGTCTGGCCTCTCTCCCGAGAACCTTGGCCACTTCCGCACCCGCCAAATCTCAAATCCCAAACTGCCTCCCCACTGTCGGCCTGCTGCAGCACGTGACATGGACGTTGATGATTGGCTCGACAGGCAATTTACCATTGTAAATAATCTTGCACCTTGCTTTGCTGCCTCTTGCTGCGACGACAATCAACTACAGCCCAGGCAGTGGCTAGGTGACGAGACGCTCCGTTGGCAGTGCTGTCTCTTGCCTTCGCGTCTAACAAACAGCGCCTTCCCAACTCCTGCTACAACCCGCACCTTGCCGTCTTCGTCTGTGCGTGCACGCCCGACTTGATTCGTCTCTCCTTCCCTGTCAAACGACTGGCACAGGTTGATTCATATCCCTTGCAACCAAATCTCTTCACTGTCCTTTCTGCTTGACTTCTTCTACAACGCCTATGGCATCTCTCTGATTAATGCTGCCTGGTTCGCAAGGAAAATATTCTCTTCTTTCCCCACCTTGTCGTCAAAACTTTTTAATCTACTCATACGAGCAAGCAAACATTGATTCGTCATGTACACTGCCCCTACTGCTCAACCTCAACCTCCTTTCCAACAGCCCTATCAGAATGGTTATGTCCAACCTCAATATCCTGCGGTAGTGGCATATCCTCAACCTCCGTACCAGCCTGCTCCTACCCCTGTGGCATATGGAGCTCAGCAATATCAGCAATCTTATGCTGCTACATCACAGAACGGGTAAGATTCCCTTCTTCTGCTTTTTTGTCTTCTTTCTCTTCGCAGATCTGATGTTTTTGTAGACCTCCTTTGAAAAAGCAAAAGGGAAATCCTGTCATCACACGCTATCCTCCCCCGCCTGGCTATAAACAGCAGCCTACCTATACTGCGGCTTCATACACAGCACCGGCTTATCCTACACATACTCCAGCACCTCAAACAGCTTACCCTCAGGCGGCATATCAAGGATATCAACCTCCGGTCACCACAGCATATCCTCCGACGACTTATCCTGCTCAAGTGGTGTATGATCCCAATCAAGCTTACCAGCAGCCACCGTATCAACCGCCACAGGCCGCACAGCCTTATGCTGTCGCAGCACCAGTATCGTCGTATCCTGTGCCCGCCTCTGCATATCCACCCCAAGAGCATTCGGGCTACTATGATGCGAATGGTGCCTACGTAGCGGCGCCTCCTGCCCAACCAACCCCGTACGCGGATGCTTCTGCCTATCCTCCCCCTCTGAGTGAAGACGGGTATGCTGCATCGCATACACGACAGTCTAGTCTTGACTTTGGCCTTGACTTTGATTTTGATGGCGAAGCTGGCGTACCGGCTGAGGAGGTCGTGCCAGAGCTGAGCCTCGGTCTAATCACATGGCATCCAGCTCTACCTACCACCAAGCCCTTACCGTCCAATTTCGAGGAAGCTGGACCAAAATGGACTGAAACGGCCAAGGCCATTGAAGGGTCACACATCAGTGTTACATCTGAGTTCTTCCCTGACGATATGTCTGTTGACATCAGACTCAGTGTGCGAGACACAGACGAGTGGCAGAAGGTCAAGGATGACCTTATCTTTGTCGAATTCGAAAAGACAGCTGTGACAGTACCGCTTCTTACTGTCATCGCTAACCGCGACCGTCCGGATCCTGTTATCGAGCAGTTGGAGCCCGTCATTCAGCACAAGGATGATATGCCAGAGGTCTCGCATCCATCACAGGTGCAGCAATCTATTGCAGGAGCAGATGACGAGCAGTCGGACGGAGACCAAGCCATGGACATGAGCGACGATGATGACGAGCCTGTGAAGCCTGTCATCCAGCCAACCATCCAGCCTCTTGCTCATCCCTTGCCGCGACCAGTGACACAATCAGCTCCACCTGTGAAGCAGGTCACCATCCTTGACTCTCTTGAGCTGGCTCTCGGCCCCAAGTCGCCTCGAAAGAATGACAGACAAACATCCCGATCTGCTCGTTACTCAAGGTCGCGATCGCCCGAGAAGCGCAGCAGACAGGGCTCTCAGCAGCCTAAGGCCAAGCCTGCTCCCCTTCCCAAGGATACAGCACAGGAAAATATCTTGGCGGCACTCGGTGTCGAGGGTTCACCGAAGATGGTGTATCCCACCCCACCTCCTGCACTAGGCTTGCCAGTGCCCCCAGGCAACCGGTATGCAAAACGCGTCAAAGTTAAGAAGACAGCAGATCTGACAAGTCGTAGCAAAAAAATCACTCCTCCTGGCGGCTTTGCGCCTCCAACTGGACGTTTCGCATACGGTCCTCAGTTTCCCCCTCCTCCACCACCTCGTGAAAGCCGTTCACCTTCCTTCGATCCATGGCGTGCACACGACCCCGCCAGCCCCAAGTCTACTACCTCTCAGCACACAGCGGCTGGTTCAGACTTTCATGGTGACGATGCCATGGACATGGATGCTACCCCTAAAGCCAAAGTACCAGTCGCCGCTGAGAAATCAGGCAGTGGCAGGAAGCGTCCTTATGAAGAAGTTTCTGCTACTGAAGGCGGACGCCGCAGACAGGATGACGATACTCCCCGAGCACGACGCATGCGACAGAGTAGACAAGACGTCTACAGGTATGTTGAGGCCTTGTTCAGATGCAAGACACCCAAACTAACAATGTTTGCAGCCGTTACCGCCGGTAAGCGATTGTCATGCTTGGGCATGTTTGATCAGTTTCAGGCACAAGTCTACTCCTTTTGCCTCTATTTCTTCTTTCAATTTTCTCAATTTGCTATCTGCGAGCCTAAATGCTCGATGACGCGAGATGCCTTTCTCGGGGATTTGTATGTGTTTCACAGTCAAGAAGCAGGGATGTTCTTGCACAATAGGCAAATGGTTGAGACGCAGGTGTACAAAAAGCAAATTTGGCTCGGCACAGGAGAAAGAGCAGATTACGGTAACGATTCCTCTTCTTCTCCATCACTTCACTTTACCCTTCTATTTCTTTCTCTCCCTGAATGGAGACCAGCTTTTCCTTTATCTTATAGTTTGATTACGACCTTCACCTGTTCTTTCAATTACCAGAAAGAAAATTGATTCTCCTTTCATTTTGGTTGTGCCGATGGCACACTTCTATGCTTTATAATTTGCATTACCCGGACTGTATGATGGTAAACGCGAAGCTCAGGTGACTGGACACGCCCTTCGTGATTATGACAAAGGAGTCCGCAAGACATCTTCTTCCATCCAACGTAAGATAAACCCGCCAACGTGGTATCGATCAAGCAATGAGGATCGAGTCTTGCAGTATCTCGTCGAATACAAAGAAGGTGATGGGCTCCGTCTCGTTGCTGCCATGAACAGTCGAGTCGGTACCCGTTTCAGATAAAGAGAAACAAAAAGAGACTCGAACGAAGTGTCAATGACAAAAGAGAAACAAGCAACGAGCATAATGTCTACCGAGCTCGTGAATACCTACACAAGCATAGCTTTTTTTTTGGTTTTCGCCTGTGAAGGAGTTAGAGCGATCGGGACATAAAGGTTGGTGCAATAGGAGGGAAAGCAGGATGGGAGCTCGATCGAGGGGGTTTTGTACTGTGGGTGAATATTTTGCTTAAGAAACTCGGAGTGCTTAAAGCATTTGCATGATCTACGAACCGCATCAACGAACGATAGTCTGATTGCCTCATCGTTTGTGGCCAGAACACTAGGGCGTTGAATGATTTTGAGAAAGGATCGACCACATAAACCAGACATCAAACAGACACTCTGTAGTCACCAAAATTATGGATCAAAGACGATGGTGGTTTGGCCGTAGCCTGCAAGTATGCATACATTGGGTATCTTTTTATGTTGAGACTCCTAACCAACAAGTCTTCTCTTCTCATCACCATCATCACTTTCGCTTTCTTCCTCTTCTGAAGAATCTTCTTCTGTTTCTCCTTCATCGTCCGTTTCCTCCTCATCTTCGTCAGTCTCCTCTTCATCATTTTCAGACTCGTCAGTTTCTTCTTCCGATGTCTCTTCGTCTTCTTCGTCAAGCCAGTCGTCCAATGTCTTTTCCTTGGCGGGAGCGCCAGATTTTGATTTGTAGACAACAGGTGCGGATCCTTTGAGTGCATCGTCGAGCATTCTACCTGCGGGTACTGTTGATCCACTGGGTCTGTATTCGGTCTTTGTTTCCGCCTCGACATTTCTGAGTTTTGCGTCTGGTTCATCACCGTCTTGAACCCAGTCGGGAAGGGGCGTGTAGCCACTCAGACCGCTTACACCGCTCTCTTCACCGATGACCAAGCTCGCGCTGCCGAGTACGTAGCCCTTGCGACTTTCGCTTGGACTTGGCGCCTGCGGTACAGGTTTGGGTGCGAGCAGGAGGAGAGATGCAAGCTCGGTGCTCGAGGGCACTGCTAGCAACGCGCGGAACATGCGGGCGCGATCGCGAAGATCGTATGATGGCGTGTAGCGGGCCAGCAGCAGAGTGTGGTTGTACAACAATGATATCGGATGGGATCTGTCTTCTTGTGACTCGACGTTCGATGGTTCCTTGTCGTTGAATCCTTGATCTCTGAATCCTGCACCGTCTTCTTCCTCATTAGGGGCAAGAACAGTCGAGCTGGACTGACGTTCTAAAGCAGGACTACCATCCTTCTTCTTTGCTGCATTCTCGGCATTCAGCCAATGCAAGTATACCTTCGCTGCCAGTAGCACAATCTGCTGTCTAACAAGATCGTGTTCATCAGGGTAACCACGAATAAGGATACGTAGAACATCAGGTGCGATGCTCTGGTCGGATGAGTAACCAGCAAATTCGCCAACTAACCAGATAATACTGGCGCGTGCAGCAGGACTGGTCAGTGTGTCGAGATTCTTTGCCAGACGGATAACTGTTTTGGTGTGTGCAAGCGGATCGCGCTGGATCATGTGTCGGATGACTTCCAAAGCCTCAGCTACAAGATGTTGATCTGGACTGTGGACTTGACGAAGTAACAAGCGCAAGCAGCGCGAGCTGGTAGCAGCATCCGAGTTTTGAGCACAACGACCAATCGCTCGTACCGATTCACGGACCAGAGCAGGGTCGTGACCTTGTGAGAAATGTTCGAGTTCGGTAAGAATGAGGCCTTGTACATCAGCGGTAGAGTGAGGGAAGATAAGAGTTAGAACTTCGAGCTTAAGGCGCCATGTTTGCTCGCCCTCACCAGACCTGAGCAGGAAGTGACGGAAGTGTGGAACGAAGTGTTGTGGGTAGAGAAGACAAATTTGGACGATGTTATGAAGACCGATTTGGTTGATGTCAGGAGGGCCACGGAGAAGTGCTGTAAGAGGACCGATGGCATGATGCAGATACTGTTCAGGAGCGAGGTACAGATAAGCTCTGGTGACGGCGACAACAACGGCCGAAGTACGAGACTGTAGTAGCGGTAGTGCGGAAGTAAGAAGCAGGTCGAGATCGGGATCCAGGGTTTGGACATCCTCATATTCGACCTCCTGTTCTTCATCATCGTCGTCATCGTAGAAGCCTTTCTGCTTGTCGGTCTGAGTGGTTGCTTTGCGGACACGTCGAGTTTTCCTGGGGAAGCATTTGCGCGCATAGATTGTCATCAGCTGTAAGGTCGAGACCTGACCCCATTCATCCATATCCACCAATTTCTTGACAATACTTCTGTAGTGTGGGTGAATCAGGTCCAGTCGCTCCGGACAGATCTGACTGAAAGCGGCAACTGCAGCACCAACGACAAAGTACTGCTTGTCTCCGAGTAAGGTTGAGAGGTATTCGGTAACCTGAGGAAGAGTAGCAGGGTCCAGCTTGACACACTTGACGCAGGCAAATGCAGCAGCCTTGCGAACGATAGGACTCATGTCGGCAGTGCCTTTCTTGATAGCGAGCGAGACAATTTGGCTGATGAGCGGGATACGAACACCAGCCATTGTCTTTAATGCCATAGCACGTACTCGAGGGCTAGTATCCGACAGCGACTTTTGAATTGTGTTGATAGACAGCAGAGCGGTATCCGGGTCGGCCTCGGCATGATGTAGCAAATATGAGTAGACGAGCGGCCTTGTTGACGAAGTAGGATGCGAGAGAGTCTTGAGAACCGAAGGAAAGAAGGGGAGTGTTTGCGCCAGCGGAGCCGTGTATTGCATCTGTCGTTGAAAGAGTAAGTTGATGTTTCGTGTCTTCCTTGTCTTGAGTAGCACTGACTTCGATAACACGGCGCAAGCCTTCGAGGACTTCCCGTTCGTTCCTGCTGTCCAGCAACTTCTTTATTTGCGCTGGAGGCATCTGCTTGGCCGGCCTCCGTCCAGCGCCTGCGTCTCGAGCGGCCTCAAGTGTGAGGTCGCGTGCTACGTGGGGTCAGACTGGCTCCTTGATCATGGTCATTTGTCTGCAACTAGTATACCTGTTTCCAGCATGCTCGAGATACGCGATATCGACTCCATCTTGGCTGCACTGTGTCAAGGCGCAATCGTGCACTTTCCATGTTCAAATGGTCGAGCTCGAGTGTTTGGCGGGGACGCAACTTCCGTTCGGCGCAACGTCACCGCCCGCCTTCTTCCTGCAGCCACTTTGAATCTCCTCCGACCCTGTCACACCATTTATTTATCTCGACTTTCGTTACAACCTCTCTTTCCACATACAACAGTACTGCTCTTGCCAGGGCGCATGTTCAGACAGGCAGAGAGCAAGTCTGCATGATCGTCTTCACATGCTCTCCAATAAACCACGGCCATCGAGACCAATTGTGCTTGAGCCTTGCAAAGCTCACCATGTTCTCCAGACTTGCATGCGCCACCCTTCACCCAACAAGCATCTGATTATATGTTCAACTCGAGATGCATTTCTTCAGTCCCTCTTGTATGAGATTACTCGAGAAAGTCGAATCGACCACAACACTGCACTGGACTTGCTTACTCCAACCTTGAGCAATCTACACAATTCACGCAACACGAAAATCACTTTTTGTTCAGATCTCACCAACCTAAGAGCCTACCTTGCGACATTGAAATATCCTCCTCAACTGGCACAAGTCGATTCAGAGCCTGAAGGCATACTCGACCAACCTTGTCCACTTCTAATGATTTTAAATCCGATCCAAATTCATGAACATACTCTGTCATACTCAGCTCAGGGCTTCAATCGCACATTCGCTGCCATCATAGACGCTGCACATTACCTTGACCACCAACTCGTCATGGTACAATGCATCAACCCAGAAGACAAGTTTGAGACTGGCGTCCAGGAAGACGAAGACATGCTCGATAGACGGACGCTCACAAACCCCTGGGATCAAGACGTCTCAATGCTGAACATAACCACAAAGACCTTTGGCACCGGGGGTCGAGGTTGGGTCGGTAGAACTGTGAAAATCAGGCAGGTGGCTAAGCGCTGGTGCAGATTCCGAGAGCTGGACGATTACAATGCAGAGTTGCTGTAAGCAGTAGATGAAAGGGGTCGTTTAGGGGAAGATCTAAATCGATGTCATGGTATTGGAAAAAGAAGAAAATGTACAAAAGTTTCCGCCGTGTGCTCTACTTGGTACGGATGTGCTTCAGCTTCTTTGGGCTGTGCACGAAGTTGTTGGCGTAAGCCTTGGGGATGATTCTGCGCTCGTTGGGTTCCTGAACAAAGTATTCGTAGCCTTGCTTGTTGGCAAAGTTGATGGCATCCTCCTTAGACTTGAAGTTGAGGTGGGTGCCCTGCATGTAGTCGGCAGATGATTGCCAGCCCATCAGAGGGTTCTCCCAGCGGTGACCCTTGCTGAGGACGTCCCAGTCCATGCGCCAGTGGTGAGCGTTCCAGTCGCCAGATTGAGTCGCGGTCTTAGCGGGACGGAAAATGCTAGAGAGGGCATGTAAGTATAAACACCTTCAGACAAGCGGCGAAAGGCGAGCATTGACGAACCGAACGGTACGGGCTTGGAGATCGGTGGGGGCGCCGGAAACGACAGCAGCAGCTACGGTCTCGGTAGGCTCGCTGCCATCCATGACGCGCTTGGGGACGGGAGAGAAGGCCCTGTCAAGTCATAATAAGCCTACAATGGCCTGTGGAAATGATGGCGTCTCGGGCGAAGCTCACGAGGTTCTGTAGTCGACAGCAGCACCGTAGTTGGGAGCATGGCTGGGGGTGTTCGAGACAGCAGACTCGCTGCCCTTGGTCTCGCCCTTGGTCAAGTGGACAGGTGAAGGAGGCTCGTCGCGGCGTTGAAGGTTGTCGACCTCAGCCGAGTTGGAAGCAACGAAAGACTGGTTGCTGGCGAAGCGGGGAGCCTGGCGCGAGAAGGCGGGTCTGGAGGCGACGGCGAAAAGCCTCGAGGCTGCTGTCCTGTTCAATGGCGACATTGTGTGGATATATGTGACTGGCAATAGCCTCGTGTCGCTCTACCGGTATGCGCTCACGTAGGTCAGCAACTCGAAGAGGCATCCGGAGTGAAGCCGGAGGGCTTGGCATGGCGATTGGGGAGCCTTCGCAACGCCGTGTCAAAGCACATAGCACCAGTACAGAAGAGTCACTTGTCGCAACCATGGTCTCTACGCTCATTCCTCCCAAGGTACGTCTGCTCCAATCTCTGCTGCCGAGCGCTCTCCATACTGACTGCTTCCAGATTGCCTCGCCCTCGGTACGTTGAGCTCTATCCTCCGCAAAATCTACACCACACCACACCGGCAATCCGGCCTCGATCGTCCGCGCAACCCAGATTATCGCACCATGCCAGAGAAAGAGAGATTTGGACCAGACTGACAGAGTCGACAATCAGGGCATTGGTGCTTCGGCCGACGCCGCCCGCATGCAGCGTGTCGTCTCGTTCTACGAGAGACTCCCTCGCGGTCCCGCTCCCGAGCACAAGCCTCACGGCCTCCTCCAGAGATACCAGCACCGCTACTTCAACGGCAAGAACCCTTCGGCCATGCGTACGACTCCCTCTATCTGTATACCTATGCTCTGGACTCGAGCTGACTTGCCCCGACACAGCCCTGGTTCACGTTATTGGCACCATGATTCTTCTTGGTTACGCCCAGAACTACTACTTCCACTTGCGTACGTCCCTTCTGGCTCGGTCACACTGCGAACATGTAGCTAACCGCTGGCTCGACAGGTCACCACAAGAACAACGCCCACTAAACGGGGCAACGGGACGGAAATGGGCGGTATGCAAGACGGCGAGGAGGTCAAAAGTTGAAGTCCCCGTCTTTGTAATTATACAGCATAAAACCAAGAGTGAAGTAACCGGGCTCTTCCTGTGCGCCTATGATCTTGTGATGTGTGTCCAACGTTGTATGCATAGCCATGGCAATACCGGGTATATATAGGGCACGGTCCACCGTTTGGCAGTGACAGCAGCAACACAGCCGTCGTGATTAGATCGTCTTGTGCAAGAGAGGTCCAGCTCATTCTGGCAAGGCTGCAACTCGATTGTTTGCGAGCTTTACTTCTGCCTGATATTCGAGCTGCCAACTCTCGTCGGGCTGACAAGGTACCGTGGACGCCGACAAGTCTGGAGCCGCATCATCCTTCGTACTCCATTTCCAGTAAAGTAACGCAACGCCTGGGAACACGAGACACCTTCACCCGTCGACCAACTACCAAGCGGGCGCGCAACTTGCCCACGACCTCACCACTGTCGACTTCTCCCTCGCCGAGACTGTTATGGCCGAGCTGAGCCCCCATAATGTGGTGATCAACGACCAGTCGGTGGACGAGTCAAAGTCCGCCGGCGTAAATGCATCTCACCAAGACAACGAGTCCGCCGTCACTGGCCACCAACCCGAAAGCACTCAGCACCAACTTCCACCACCACACGACTCCTCCGACACGCCTTCGGTAGATCAGAACACTTCCCAAGATCATGCCCATCTCAACGGCACAATCAACAGAGATATCGACAATGCGACTCCCGACCTTCAAGGCTCCGACACAGACTCCAGCCGGCCAGACGCTTCCAAGGTCGCTCGTTCTAGTTCGGTCAAGAAGCCTCTGTCATTCAAGCCTGTTTCTATCACAAAATCTTTCCTAGCGAAGACGGCCACAACTCCTGGAAATACCCCTCCTCCAGTCAAGGTTGCCGAAAAGCGTGCGCCAACCCATCTCATCTGCTACAAGTTCATGCTGACTCCTTCGAAGCATCTCCTCAGATGTCTACACTACAACTGAATGCGAAGCCCCGTCTGATTGCGAAAACTGGTACCGGCGGATTGCGTGATGTTCCCCGTGCTCGCTCTGGCGATGGCACGAGCACTCCGAATGGTAGGACTGTGTGGAACAAGAACCAGCGTCAGTACCACCGCACAACCACGCCTTGTCGCATGCTAACCACAAACCAGCCGCTCCGCCTGCTCCAGCCAAGCATTACACGGACGAAGAACTTAAACAAAAGTATGGAATTCACCTGGCCACACGATTGGAATCCGAGGAAGCGACCGAACAGAAGGCAAAATGGGCCGACATCGACGAAGACGAGGAAGAGTGGACTCCTGAGACGGTCGAATGGATGGATGGAACCAAAACAACTATTAGTCATGCGGATACCGCCCCTCCTCAACCACAGGACAAACCTGCAGACAAATCGCAGGAAGAGCTGCCACCGATCACCAGCACTCCTACTCCATCTGCTGCCCCGATCAAGCCCGCGATGACTGCGCTGAAGCGCACAAACCTCGCCCCTCAATCGCGCACCATTCTGAGACCTGGAGCTGCACAACAAGCCAAGCAGATTGGCGCCGATGGAAAGGCTACTCCCGACAACAAATCTCCTATGCTGAAGAACACGGCACCTGCGCCTATCAAATCGCCTTGGGCACCTCTTCCTCCGGTCGAGAAGACTTCTCCAATCACAGTCAATCCTCCTCCACCCGCACAGGCTCCTAGGTTCGCACACAGAGACGTCCATGGATTTGACGCCTTGACCCAACCATTGCCTGCACGCGAGATGGCTACCGATACGTTTGACCGTTCGTGGAAGGAAGGCGAGAGAACGCATAGAGAACTCTTCAATTCGCAGTCAGGTCGTTATGAGCCAGCCCCTGAACATCGTAGGGGCTCGCGACAGCACGATCAATATCAGAGGCAACCCGCAGTCTTGCAACGACCCATCCCTGGATCTGGTCCTGCAGAACCCTCGGCTGCTTTCCAAGCCCGTACAAATTCTCAGGCGGACGCAGGTCCTTGGGGACGCAGAAGAGGCTCAAGCATTAGTGGAAATATGCTTCGCGACAGACGCATGTCTAGTTCTAGCAAGGTCTTTGATCCAGCTGACCCGTCTTCTGAAGTGGTACCCGAAGCCAAGGCAGAGCTCCAACCACCTGTCCAATCTTCTGAAGCACCGATACATCAAACGGATGGTGCTGTACCTAGTGCCTTGTCGATCGAGGAAGAGCGCGAGAAGCAAAAGAAGCTTATGCAAGAAAAGCGTGAAGCAGCAATTCGACGCAGACAAGAGGAAGAAGCACGTGAGGAAGCCGAGAGAAGAGAAAGGATCAGAAAGAAGATGGAGGCTCTGGGAATGCCTCTCGAAAAGACGCCATCTCAAGAAAAGGCCGAGAAGGCCGAGAAGAAGGAGCTCGAGGTGCAAAAGCAAACAGATGCACACAAACCTCCTACTACGAATGCGTCACCAGTGAAGGCTCCTGCTGCCGAACCAGCTGCGCCAATCGAGGAAACACCGCGCACAGAAACGCACGTGTCACCAGTCAAGCAACTTTCACCTCGCAAGGAGAAAACTGTCGAATCCTCACTTCCATTTGGACAGAACCAATCATCCATCACTCGCTCTACACACAAGACTCTTTCTTCACCTCAGTTGCCTGGTCTTCAGCAACATTCGCCGAATGGTCCAACGCGCAGTCCTTATCAGCAGTCGTCTTTACAAGGCATGAACACATCATCCTTTTCGTCGCCCAGCGATCAGAAGGCGCAACCTGCGCGCTTGCCATCAATTTCCAGCGGCGATGCGTTCACGACCACGCCGTGGGGCAGCGCAAGCATGACCTCTCACACTGCACCCGCTCTTTGGGGTCCTCCACCCAGCAATAACAGACACATCGGGAACGGTACTTTCGACGCAGGCTACTCGAGCATCTCGCCCAGTTCGCGACCTCAAGCCCAGAATGCGCCATTCAATGCGCCCTTCAACCGTCCCTATCCTTCACGTGTCTCACCAAAGGCGTTTGGTCAGCCAGGATCTGCGCAGTCTGATCCCATGAACCAGCAGTACGCCTCCCTGTCTACTATTGACTCGCGTATGCCGGAGCCCTCCGGTGCTTCGGCTCTCGCTGGCACATCACCTCTACCTGAGCCCGCACGTCTGGCTTACCCAGCCCCCATTGCTCCGCCACAGAAGAGCGCCTCTCGCCAGCAGCCTCTGCGTGATACTTCGGCCTGGACCAATTTCTCAGATAATGCTCAAGCAGCTAGAGACGATGCACAGACACGCCTCCAGAACGAGAGAGGAAAGCCATCCTCGCCCCAGCAATCTCATCATACTCATTCTAATTGGACTGTCACCGAGACCTTCAGACAGACACGAGGCAGTGAGAACCGTTGGCTTGAAGACGAAACTCCTACCCGCACTGCAGCAAGGGTTCCTGGCCCTCACAGAGCTGGTGCAATCGGTGCTGCACGCTTTGGCCCTCACAGGACTAACCAAAACGTGCCAGGTCCTCACAGAACGAATCAAGTTGTGCCAGAACCTCAGTCGCCTATTGACCAACAGTCGATGCACCACCCTCCTCCCCTTAGCAGTGATCAATTGCACATGCCGGGTGAAGGCATAGTCCGTCTTCCTACCGGTCCTTCGAGCTTCTCAAGATCCTTTGGCAGCCCTGGCGACGTTACCACTGGTGTGAGACTACCTCCTCTCGCTGCGTATGCCAACAACATTCAGCCTCCACCTTTGCCTGTGCAGCCTTCCACTCCGGGTGCTGCTCCACAGCAGTCGAGATTCTTTCCCTCAGCTCTCTATGGCGGATCTCCTCCTCCTGAAGAGGCAGACCATCCAGTCTTTGGTGGTAATTCCAAACATCCTCATGTCAATCTTCCCACCCCGAAGCCCAAGGTCAAGCTACCACCCGTCACTGCTACAGATCGTGAGCAGCCTAGCCCGGTCGCCATGCCCCGAAGCGTGCACTCATACAGCGTTGGCGCAAGACCTCTCGTCCAAACATCGGACTGGCAAGCCAGGTTTAACGGGCTCTTCGGTAAAGCTCAAGTCACGACCACGACTCCTCCTTCACCGCCAAAGACGCCACCAAAGGTGCAAGCTCCCGCTCCTGCCGTCGCATCCGTCTCTAGGACAAGCTCGGATTTCGTGATTGCGCAGAGCGGAACAACTGTCTCGTTGCCTCGATCGGCTTCTCCTCCATCCACCTATACCAAGATTGTGTCCAAGCCTGGTGTTGACGATATCTTCGATGGAGAACTTAGTTTCGGCTCCACTCCTAGAGTTTTCCTACCTCGTGGCGTTACTTATCTTGAGCCTCCTGCCACCGTTGCCTCGCCTACAAGACCGAACTCGAGATTCCACAAATTTGTCGATTCTCAGTCGAAACGCATTTTCTTCTTCCATGACAATGCTACCCATGACATTACGGTCCAGATCAAACTACCTTTGCCTTGGTTCGTTGCCAGACACGTAATTCTGGAACGCAAGAACAAGGGAGCACCAAACCACAAGAACTCCAACAGACCAAACAACAAGAACAAGCGCAATGCATCGAACAATGTCAAGGCGGACTTGCCTGACATTACAACAACTTCTACCACCGAAGCCGCCAACAGCAAGCCTCAAGAAACGGCTTCACTGGGCGAGAAAGGCGTAAGAACTCCGTTGGCTGAGAATACTGTTTCAGCCAACACCAACACTGAACACACCGGCCACAAGAAGAGTGCCTGGGCCAAAGTGCCCAAAGCGCCTCGTGGTCGCGGACGTGGTGGATACAGAGCACAAGCCTGAATGAATCATTCCATGTCAGTTGAATCTCATGAATGGAGTTAACAGTCACCGGAGTAACAAGGAGCTTTCTGGTACAACCAACTATTCGTTTTCTGCGTTTTTCGCTTCTTTTTATGCTCATCTGATGGCGTGTTCTACACTTTAACCTCTGGTCTTGGGTTTGATTGCACAGTTGCTACTTTCACTTGCTAGTATGCGAATTGATGGAGGAACTTACTATGGATGGAAGCAGTGCCTTTATACATTTTATATCCAGATCAGTGGTAGTGCCACGAGTCAGAGAGTGGTGACAGAGTTCACTTTCACTAGCAAACACATACCATGCTTTACCTCGACAATCAATGCTTATTAATCGCCTTGAATGTGCCGCTGTGATCTGATATATAATTTGACAGTTCTGGGTACCTGATGTGTTTCGAGCTGTGAATGTTGCCAGTCAGTGGCGTTCAGAAGTGCCGCCAAGACCCACATGCTTCTGGCCGCCGCATCTCCGTCACCAGCGCATTCAACTTTTGTGCTGTACGCGACTGACATGGTTGCTGTCCCATTTCACTCGGTACACTAGGCCGTATCAATATCGCCAGAAGCTGTCTTCCAGTAAATACACCGCCGAGCATGGATGATCTCGAAGCGCTCGAGCATCTGTCGCTCGTCTCAAAAGTGGCTTCAGAGATCCAGAACCACATGGGCATCAGCGACAAGACCATCGCCGAATTCGTCATTGCCCAACATGAACAATCCAAGAACCTCGATGAGTTCAAGACGAAGCTGTCCGAGTTTGACTTTTCGACCACTCTTGCTACTGCTATCGATCGCCTGGTTCTGACCATGCACCCCAAGTACAAATCAAAAGCCAAGACACAAGCGCATACCGACCAAGAGGAAGAGCGAGATCTTGAGGGCGAAAGAGACAGGAAAACAAGGGTCTTCAAGGGATTGGTGATACCGGATAAAGATGTCGCATTTGACGACCAAGACGACAACACGCCGCAAGAGGAGGATTCGAAGCTGGATGCAATGGACGACACTTTTGCCCTGCTCGAGGGACTGGCAGGTGCAGGCAAGCCCAAACCGAAACCCAGCGCTCCTCGCAAGCGCAGCGTAAGCCCCGTAGGAGAGGATGACTACGATTCGCGCCGGAGTAAGAAGTCTCGAAGGCGATCTCGCTCACCAGAACAAAGACACGACGACTACGTTTTTGAGGACGAATATGGCAGAAATCGCACATGGCGCAAACCTGATCAGGATACGGATCGCAGGAACAGGCATCGGCAGAGAAGTCGTAGTGAGGACAGACATCGACGCGCAACGACGCCCGAGATCGACGACGCACCAGTGCTATACAAGATTTATGATGGCAGAGTCACAGGAGTCAAAGACTTTGGTGTCTTTGTGAATCTTTATGGAGTTAGGGGCAAGGTAGACGGCCTGGTACACATTTCTGCTATGGCCGAGGGTAAGGTCAATCATCCTTCTGATCTAGTGTCTCGCAACCAGGAAGTCAAGGTCAAAGTCATGAAGGTCCAAGATAATCGCATCAGCTTATCCATGGCTGAAGTTGATCAAGTAACTGGACAAGACTTTGCTCCTCACAAGCGCATTGGTGCTGCTACTGGTGCAAATGCTCTGGGCATGAATGGAGATGAACGATACGGTAATCTCGCCTCAAACGTACCGGTGATCGAAGGCAACATGAACCAAAAGCGCAACAGGAAAAGAATGACATCTCCGGAGCGCTGGGAAATCAAACAGTTGATTGCGTCTGGTGCAATCTCAGCCCAAGATTATCCTGACATTGACGAAGATTACAACGCGGCACTCAGAGGAGAGGAAATCGAAGAGGAGGAAGATGTTGACATTGAAGTCAGAGAAGAAGAACCACCTTTCTTGGCCGGACAGACCAAGCAGTCTCTTGAGCTTTCCCCTATTCGAGTAGTCAAGGCTCCTGATGGGTCCATGAACAGAGCGGCGATTGCTGGAGATGTCCTCGCAAAGGAACGCCGTGATTTGAAACAGCAAGAAGCAAGAGACAAGGCCGCGAAAGAGAATTCCGGAGTCGACCTGCAGGCACAATGGAATGACCCAATGGCAAACCCTGAACAACGACAGTTCGCCAGTGACCTGCGCCAAGCTCGTCAGAACGACGGAGAAGTACCAGAGTGGAAACGTATCGCATCGCACAGCAAGACTCAGTCTTTTGGCAAACGCACCAATCTGTCAATCAAGGAACAGCGCGAGAGTTTGCCCGCTTTCCAATTCCGAAAACAATTCTTGGAGGCTGTTGCAGGCTATCAACTACTGATTGTTGTTGGAGATACTGGATCTGGAAAAACAACTCAATTGACACAATATCTTGCCGAGGAGGGCTATGCCAACTCTGGCGTGATTGGATGTACACAACCTCGTCGTGTTGCTGCAATGTCGGTCGCACAACGTGTCGCCGAGGAAGTCGGATGCCGTCTGGGAGAAGAAGTTGGTTACACTATCCGTTTCGAGGACAAGACTTCAAGCAACACGAAGATCAAATACATGACGGATGGTATCATGCAACGTGAGATCCTTCTGGATCCTGAGCTCAACAGGTACTCCGTCATCATGCTTGATGAGGCCCACGAGCGTACAATTGCGACGGATGTCCTGTTCGGTCTGCTCAAGAAGACACTAAAGAAGCGACCTGACATGAAATTGATCGTCACATCAGCAACCTTGGACGCAGCAAAGTTTTCCGAGTATTTCAACCAATGTCCTATCCTTACAATCCCTGGTCGCACTTTCCCTGTCGAGATCATGTACTCTCGCGAGCCCGAGTCAGACTATCTCGACGCTGCTCTCACTACAGTCATGCAGATTCACCTTACCGAGCCTCCAGGTGATATTCTGCTTTTCTTGACTGGTAAAGAGGAGATTGATACATCTTGTGAGATTCTCTACGAGCGGATGAAAGCACTGGGTCCAAGTGTCCCAGAACTCATGATTCTTCCTATCTATGGAGCCCTGCCTAGCGAGATTGCAAGCAAGATCTTCGAGCCTGCGCCAGTGGGTACCAGAAAGGTGGTCATTGCAACAAATATTGCCGAGACATCTATTACCATTGACGGCATTTACTTCGTCGTTGATCCTGGATTCGTTAAGCAGAGCGCTTACGATGCTAGACTTGGTATGGATCGTCTTCAGGTTACTCCTATCTCACAAGCTCAAGCACGCCAACGTGCCGGCCGAGCTGGCAGAACAGGACCTGGAAAATGTTTCCGTCTGTATACTGAAGCTGCCTACCAATCCGAGATGCTGCCAACCACCATCCCTGAAATCCAGCGGCAGAATCTTGCCAGCACTATCTTGACACTCAAGGCTATGGGTATCAACGATTTGCTTCACTTTGACTTTATGGATCCGCCACCAACGAATACTATGTTGACTGCTCTGGAAGAACTATATGCATTGTCAGCGCTCGATGATGAAGGATTGCTCACTCGACTTGGAAGACGCATGGCAGACTTCCCCATGGAACCTACCCTCGCCAAGACTACAATCATGTCCGTAGACCTAGGCTGCTCTGACGAAGTGCTTTCCATCGTCGCCATGATCTCGGCCGTGCAAACCGTCTTTCACCGCCCAAAAGACAAGCAAGACCAAGCCGACAAGAAAAAAGCAAAATTCCACGATCCGAGTGGCGATCATTTGACGTTGCTCAACGTCTACAATGCGTGGAAGCAAAGCCGCATGAGCGATCCTTGGTGCTTTGAAAACTTTATCCAACCACGCAGCATGAAGCGCGCAGAAGATGTACGCAAGCAACTCGTCCAGATTCTCGATCGCTTGCGTTTGCGGGTTGTGAGTTGTGGTCGTGATACCACACGCGTACGTCAAGCCCTCTGCAGCGGCTTCTTCAGAAACAGCGCGCGCAAAGATCCGCAAGAAGGATATAAGACTTTGATTGAAGGCACACCAGTATACATGCATCCTTCCTCGGCATTAAACCGCAAAGCTGCCGAACATGTGATCTATCACAGTTTGGTGGAGACGACCAAGGAGTATATGCATAATGTTACTGTTATAGAGCCCAAGTGGCTAGTTGAAGCTGCACCTACGTTCTTCAAGGTTGCGGGTAAGGAGGGTGGACTCAGTAAGAGGAAGAGGGCGGAAAGAATTCAGCCGTTGCATAATAGGTTTGCGGGTGAGGATGATTGGAGGTTGAGTGCGCAGAAGAAGCAAGGAAGGGGTGGTGGTGGAACTTGGGGTTAGTTTTTTTTTCGATAGTCTATCTGATACCCAGAGAGTGTTTCCTTCCAGACTTCTACTTGGGTGCATGAAAATGCCATGGTCATTCATACTATGACAATGCGTGCCATTTCAACGTCTATCGTTTTTGGTGATAACACGTCGAAACATAAAAGAACTATATCGTTGGGCTTGCAGGAAATTCTTGTTGCTAAATCTATCTCATACGCTCATGATCACATGCATTTCAAGCCTTAAGACAGCTAGAAGATCTCTATAACATACCACTGTCCTTCAACCTCCTCTCTATCTCCTCCTGCTCCAACTGCGCCGCCGTCTTTACCTTCGGCAGCTTGACAGGAATTTCCGCAAAAAAGTTCTCCCAAAACCTGACACCGTCGAGTCCTTGTTCGCGACAGAGGGCACCCCTTTCTTCTGCCATTTCGAGCTCTTCTGTTGCTACACCGACGCTCCAACCAAATCTCTCTGCTGTCTCTTGGGCTGTGACGCCGCGGCCGAAGGTTTGCCAGTCCCAGGTTACTGAGGGGCCTGTTACGGCGCCGAATTCGGAAGTGTTTGACATGGAAGGGGGGATGGAGTGTAGGTCTTTGAGCCAGGATAGGATGCTGGCAACTGTCTTGTCGTCGGTGCGGTCACGGCCCTGCACGACGAGGAGACCGCTCTTGAAGCGGCGAAGACGGATGGGTAGGCGTAGTGTATCCCACATTGTAGCTGCTTTTTCAAAGTCGCGGGGAGAAACTAGTTCGATGCCATTGCGTGTGCGGTTGAAGACTGCCCAGAGGTCGACTAGGGATATGATGCCGCCTTCTCTACGTAACACGCCTCTTTTGTCATCGGTGAGAAACTCTGCTAGGTTGCGGGAGAGTTCGGCGATGTAGGTGCGATCGGCGCCGCTGCCTGAGAGCATGTCTTTTGTGGTTACGAGACCCATGTCTGAGAGTAGAGAGGCTGCTTCTGCATTTGCATCGTTTTCGGTATCGCTGTTGCCGTTGCTATTTTGCGACCTGAAGCGTTCGGCCATGGCAATGACTTCTTTTGCCGATGTCATGAGGGCTTCCAAGTCTTCAAATGCACTGCCGATGACAAATTCGTTATTTTTGCGTAGTTCTGCTCCCCGCCGCTCCAAGCCTGCTATACCGACGACTTTTGGAGGTGGAGGCGTCGGTGTATAGCCATCTGTTGCCGAGTACGCTGAAGTCAGGTTCGGCTCTCCGGTGTTGGATCTCGGTATTGGAGGTGCGTTCTGAAGAAGCCATTTTCGTTGTATCAAGGCGCCCTTCAAACGGTCGTAGAAGATCTTGTCACCGCCAGCACGGAACGATAACTTGACACTCTCTGGTATAGCTTCGCCTAGAACTGAGGTTGGAAGAGATGGACCTGGGGATTCAGGGCGAGTGGTTGCGCTTTCGATTATTTGTGAGCGTCTATCTGCTGAGCTTGAGAGTTTTGCTCCGCAGATCTCACAGGTAGTGAGAGAGGGGTGGTTTGAGAAGGTGCATCTTGGACATTGATTCAAGGACACGTCCACCGGTGTCTGTGTCGATTGTGGTGAAGGTGATAGTGTGGACGCAGGTGTAGGTGCTAAGGACGAACCGCTTGGCCGATTTGACAAAGCAGCGATGGCTGCTTTGACGACATGGACTAGAGGAGGTTTGATACCACAAGCAAGACACGGTGCTAGAGGTGTTCTATCATTCGCGGTGCTTGGGTCAAAGTTGGATGGGACAGGATTCGAAAATGAACATATAGGACAGATCCAAGTAGCATTTGGATCCCTTACGGGCGCCGGTGAAGGCGCAGCAGCGCGCCCTGGTGTGGGATATCGACTCGGCGGCGTGGAACCTAGCAAACTACCCGGACTCGAATAACCAGGCTTTGGACTCCTGATAGCCAAGGCATTATGTTTTGGAGCTTTCGGGTATAAAGTGATTTTCGCTGATGACTTTAGGAATCCAGCATAGAACTCTGGTCTATCGACATCCTTGAGGTCAATGGCGATGGAAAACTTTCGCGGCTCCTGATTATCGACGTAGCATATGCGATGCGAGGTCAAGTATGCGTGGCCATTTTGATAGTTGGGTATTTTGTATTTGCCTTCATAGAGACCGACCGAGTCCTGAACAAACAACAAAGTCTCGTCTGGTAGTAGAGATGGACGAAGAGCAGTCGTCAGGTCAAGTTGACGAAGAAACATCCAGCAATGCAGTTATCCGTAACCTCTCCAAGGTGGGGCTGTTATGTGCGAATGAGAGGGCGACAGACAAAGATGAGAATCGAGGCCGATGTCTCAAAGAAAGCCCAGGGGAATGTTGTATCCTGACGAACGTTCAGCAGAAATTGTATATACGTATAGCACAACAAGGGCACGTGAACAGAAATGGAAGTAAGTGGTTATCGGTGACCGCATAGTTGGAAGTCTTGGCAAAGGGTTGGTCGCGCCTTCCATCTTTGTGCGCGGAACAAGCGCTTTCAGCTTACGCACAAAGACAAGACAACCTTCTCATTCACTCTTGCCCCATCTCGTCTCGTTGTATTTCTTTGTTGCCTCGTGTGATCATCCAACATGACTACAGCGCCGTGGCAGACCGGTAAGAACGAAACGACCACGGCCCTTGTTCGCCTCGCCCTCACTAACACATCTTCTCTAGGCCCGCCGGCATTTACACAAGTCGCTGCTCGTCGAACACTAACCCGTCCCACTCCAGCGGCCAACCCTCCAGCCCCAGCTCAGCCGCAAGCTGCCACTGTTAAGATCGAGTGGCCTCAGCCTGTGCGTGACTACGTCCAACGCGCCTTTGCCGACAAGAACGACAATCACGCAGACGACATCGAAGACAGTGCCATCGCTGCAAAATTGAAAGCCGTCATCACTCAAGCAGCCGAAGCAAATCAACTTAATATCATCGACTGGCCTAGCCATCCTCTACCAAGGGAACTTCTCCGTATCGAAAGAGCCGCCCTCATGAGCGCCTCGAAAAAACGCAAGTCTATGGATGTCGACTCGACCGCGGACGCTTCTTCGCCCATCCCTCCTTGGAGAGTGAAGAACCTCACCCTTGCCGATCGCATCACAAATCTTAGTCCCGACAAGCGTCAGAAAAAAGCCGACCAGTTCCGTGCCACTGCCCCTCCCAGTAAGTTGAGCGACCTCGAGAAACGAAGGCAGCGTTTCGCGCTCGGCAACCAAGGTCCCAATTCTCCTTATGTTTCTTCTTCTCGTGACGACTCTCCCATGCCCGACGCCAATGATGGTCCTTGTGTCGGCACCTGTCAAGAGCTTGAGAAGAACTATTTCCGTCTCACCGCTCCTCCCAAACCCGAAACTGTCCGTCCCCTTCACATTCTCAAGCAAACTCTCGATCTTCTCATTCGGAAGTGGAAAGATGAGCACAACTATGGATACATTTGCGATCAGTTCAAGTCTTTACGACAGGATCTTACTGTCCAACACATCAAGAATGACTTCACCGTCCGCGTGTACGAGGCTCATGCACGCATAGCTTTGGAAAAGGGGGACCTTGGTGAGTATAATCAGTGTCAGACTCAACTTCGTACTTTGTACAAGATGAAGTTGCGTGGGTCCCCTGGTGAATTTTTGGCGTATCGCATTCTTTACACTATCTATACCTGTAACCGCCAGACCATGAACGATGTTTTGGCAGATTTAACCTCAGCAGACAAGCAGTATCCAGCCGTCAAGCATGCGCTAGCAGTGCGTGCCTCTCTGGCTACTGGCAATTATCACAAATTCTTTAGGTTGTTCAACGAATCTCCCAACATGGGTGCCTACCTGATGGACATGTTCGTCAACAGAGAAAGGGTGGCTGCCCTGGCCGCGATTTGCAGAGCGTGAGTTCTTCGTCGCTTTCCGTTTTGTTCTTTGGCCATACTGACTTGGTGTTAGATATCGTCCTGCTGTCAAAATCTCTTTCTTGACAGAAGAGTTGGCATTCGTGACTGATGAGCAATGTGCGCAATTTCTATGTGAACATGGTGCACAACATTGCTTTGAAGAAAAGCCAGATGGTCATCTTCTCTCTTGTCAGAAAGCTAGTCCAATCTTTGAGACAGCCAAGAACGGTGCATATCGTGTCGACATCAAAGGCCAGATCTGAGAAGCTTCCAGCTGTACAAGTGGGTGGACGAGTGGCCGGCAACGGGGTTCGTAGCTCCCTGCTGTGCTAGTCAATCCTTGCTTGACCCTTTATTTTCTCGATCTATCTACGTCCTTCCCTACCAAATTATGTCTTTGCGACTTTCTGGTTGAGGTAGTCGACATTTTCGTTCAAAAAATGCGTCGCTGGCGCTGGCATGAAATTCGACCAGGTGCAATATCTGCTGTAGATACTTTTCATCACGCCATCAGCCTATGATCAAGGTCCTAGATCAGAGGATCCGGCAGGCCGGCACTTGTTAGAAGTTTCAGACCATATGCAGATCTATTCCTTTCAACTTGGAAGATTTAAGCATTTGGGCCTTGCGACCCGAATCAGAGCCCAACGGCACTGAGATCCTGGAAAATTCTTACAGCTTTCGTTCAGGTTCAAACTGCATGCACGTTGAGGTGCAGCCTCAAGTTTCGCACCAGTTTCATTCTGACACATGGTCACTTTTTCTTTGCTCTAGTACCATCAAGTTAATAATGCAATACTTCTCCTTCCATGTGATGGTACAAGCAATCACGCATTTAATATTGACCGTGTTGGGCATGAATCGGTCTGAATCCTGATTGCCTGATCGACTGCCGGGATCCGCCAAACCATTCGTATGCGCTATAACAATGTCTCGCTGTATATATCAATTCAAGACAAGGAGCCGCTTTTGAGATGGCTTAACACTCTCTGAACACGTCGACGTCAGCCAGTCAGCCACCCGTTTCATGCACACAGAGTGGCACACGAGCGGATGAACAATGAATTTGGGTATCCGGATGCGGCAAGTACAATCCACAACAATTGACGACTAATCGCAGCGAGCGCTTTCCCTTCCTATGAGTCGTCAAGCCAAGCAGCAAGTTTGAATGGTTCGCAGGTTGTGTAAATAATACCTACTACAAATTGCCGGCCTAATCGCAAGCGCGAACGAAGATAGAACCCCCACCCCACTCTGCCAATCGAGAACTACTCCGTACCCTGCAAGACGCTCAAAGCAACCTCTACACTGCTACAGAGCACGCACGCGTGGATCGTCTCCACTGAGGGTCGGATCTGTGATCAAGAGACTCCCTATCTGTCTTGATCACTTTGCGATCGAAGCAGCCCACATCGACCCCCTTTGAACGCGTCGGGCCAGGACCGCGAACTGAACGCACGACCTCGACAGTTGATTAGCCCGAACTTAAATCAATACAGCCATCGCGCCTCCTACAGCCAGTGATTGAGGGCAGATTCATTCCTTGGTTGAACGTTTGGCCTTCTTAAGAGCGGCTCTCTGACTTACCGGTTTGCTATTCCTGGATCTTCTCTTTCCCATACGCTCACGTTCACGTTCACGTTCACGACATTTGCCTGGTCGTGTCACTTCCCTGTTCGACATTGACGGGCCAAGAAGCGAAACAAGCTAGCAATCTAATTTCGAAATCATGGTCAAGTTCAGACGCTCGTCGCATAATTCGCATACCCACAGCTCCTCAATACACGCCAAAGACCCCACTGCCATCATCCCGCCGAAGAAGGTCATAAAGGCCTTGTACGACTGGGACGCTCCGACAGACAACCCTTCCGTTCGCTTTCTGTCCTTTGCCTCGGGCGACTTCCTCCACGTTACCGGACGCGAAGACGACACGGAGTGGTACGAAGCCTGTAACCCGCTTCACAACTCGCGCGGCTTGGTTCCTGTGAGCTACTTTGAGCAGATCGGCAAAACAGTGCGCGACAGCGCTTCGACCACCTCGTCGCCCAGCACTCAACACGACAGTGGTTATGCCGACAAGTCTGCGCACAACTCCGCGAGAATGAGCAAGTCCTCGATGGGCAGGTCCGGTGGTGCCCCCGTCTATGGTATCGTCGCATATGATTTCAAAGCCGAACGTCCCGACGAACTCGAGGCCCACGAGGGAGAAGCCATCATTGTCATTGCGCAATCGAACCCGGAATGGTTTGTCGCAAAGCCCATCACACGACTGGGTGGTCCAGGTCTCATACCAGTATCCTTTGTTGAGATCAAGGATCTCACAACCGGTCAGACTATCGATTCGGCCGAGGCGATCGCAAGAGCTGGTATTCCAAGGGTGGAAGAGTGGAAGAAGATGGCAGCGGACTACAAGAACACCAGCATTCCGCTAGGGCAGATTGGCAACATGCAGGCCGCTCAGTCAATGGCAGGTCTGCAATCCGGCATGGATCGCATGAGTCTGAACAACGGCGGTCACTCTCGCAACATGTCGACAGTGTCGCAGCGTGTAACGTCGCAGGCGCATTCACAATACCCACTTGCGCCTCTGCGCGCATCGGTACCGCGTTACATGTACCTTGACGAGAAGTTTCATTTCATTGTCGAGGCGACACTGGCCGATGGTTCTCATTGGGACTTGACGCGCATATATGAAGACTTCTATGAGCTACAGATCAACCTCATCAAAGCTTTTCCTGATGAAGCTGGCAACACGGGGCATCCTCGCACTCTTCCCTTGATGCCTGGCCCTGTACAATTTGTGACGGACCGTATTACTGAAGGTCGTCGCGAAAACCTTGACGAATATCTATATAAGCTGTTGCGTCTTGGCTCACACGTCGTCAACAGCACACTAGTTCGCGGTTTCTTCAGCCCTCATGCTGGTGATTACGAGGTCGACCCGAATGTCGTCGATCTCAACGAGCATAGTCGTGCTGCCGCTGAGTCTAAAGCAAACCGCTACTCGACCGCTTCTCATGCGTCTGGCCAGTATGCCACCTCAACTCATTCCGCTCGACAGTCAACTAGCGCACAGTCTTTCGCTGCACACCAACGTCAGCAATCGTCTGTTGGTGGCACTTCTATGCGCGCTCCTCCTGGTCACTACCGAACACCTTCCCAGTATACGGATACTACTGTAAACACCACTCATGCTGCGGCTCCTCCTCTCGCACGTCAAATCACAGCTATGTCAACTGCAACAACATCTTCGACAACAACCAGTGGTGGTGCTCTAAAGGTCAAGGTCTGGTTCGACCGCGAAACCTGTGTTGTTTTGCGATTGCCGCCACGAGGTGCTTTCACCTTTGATGATCTATACCGAAAGATTCTGGAAAGACGCAGGTTGGAATACGGCGAGACAGACCCACGTTCCGAAGAGACCGAGCTAGACATCGAGGTTCGCAACGAGCGAACTGGCGACTACACACCGCTTATCAACGACGAAACTCTGGAAGACGCCATCCAACAGAACGAGAAGATGATGCTTGTTGTGCGAAGTGCTCACGGAAAATGAAGGCACTAGTTCGTTTGCTTGTATACTCGAGCACATGATATTTGAGCATCATCTGTTTCTGTTGATAGAGCGTCTGTGATTGCTTCTTTTCTTGTTGTTTTGCCTTACAGCGCGGCCTTCGGAGCGGCGTCTGGTGACATGAGGTCTACGAACATGATTACCCATTTCCTTACCTGTCACAACCACCACGATCGACGACCAGTTTCTCTTGACGACCATTTGACGAGGAACACCAACATGAAGGAGGGCAAGTCCTTCTTTCTTTCTGGACATGGAAATGACGAAAGTGGATCTTTTCTTGCTCTTGCATTTGTTTCATCTTGTTACGTTATTCACGTGGGCAAAAAGAAAAAGGCGAATGGCGAGAGAACGCTTTGATTTTCTGTTTCTTTCTTGCGTTTTTTTTTTTTTTTTTTTTTTTTTTTTTTTTTTT